ACCAATACTCTATCAAGCCACAGCACACGTACAATATGGATGAGAAGGGCCTAGCGATTGGATTGGTGAATAGGAGCAAAAGGGTGTTTAGTAAGGCAGCTTGGGAAGCCAGAGGCAAACGCCAAAGCTTGCAGGATGGCAATAGAGAGTGGGTAACAATTCTCGCAGCTATCTGCGCTGACGGTTCAACGTTGCTGCCAGCCATCATATATGCAGGCCAGCCAAACAGTCTACAATCCTCCTGGATGGAGGACCTGGACGCAGGCAAAGACTCTATATACTCTACTGCAACGCCCTCTGGCTGGTCCAACAACGAGGTTGGTCTTGCCTGGCTTGAACAGGTGTTTGAGCGGGAAACTGCGAGTAAAACTCACAGTAGTTGGCGCCTACTCATACTTGACGGCCACAGCTCTCACATAACGATGGCTTTTATCGACTATTGTAGTCGCCACAAGATTCTACTACTTATCTATCCACCTTACAGTACCCAGACGTTGCAGCCGCTTGATGTAGGTTGCTTCTCACCTTTTGGCAACAACTACTCCAAAGAAGTCACTGAACAACTCCACCAGAGCCAGGCCTTGACTGGCATTAAAAAGCGTCATTTCTACAAGCTTTTCTAAGCCTCCTAGTACAAAACGTTCAACAGCGAGCTTGTGCTGGCTGTGTTTAAAGCCACAGGCATCTCACCACTAAACCCAGCACGGCATTCCACTGCCTTTGAACACACAAAAGGGATTCACCCTAATGTATCTACACTGCTTAGTCTCCCCAACTGGCGGGGGAGCTGTAGCTTAAAACGGTAGCAATACCCGCGCAGGCAAGAAATGCTTTCTAAGGTAGTGTGTTAGCACTGTAATCCCATAGCTCAGCACGTCGTATATGCCCTTCGGGAGGCGAGATAGTGGACTTTATCCCTATTATCTAGACGTAAAATGAATACCAACCAACCAACCAACCACTAAACCCAGCTATTATACTTGACAGGTTTCAGAACAAGCCAAGCGAGCTTCCGCGAACTCCATCTCTATTACTTGACGTTAATAGGGTCGCGATAGAACAGTTTTGCAAGGCAATAGTGAAGGACTCTACAAGTTATGAGGCAAGGAAGCTAGTTCACACGTTCAACTACTTAGCAGCTTGCAACGCCCTTCTAGAGGTAGAAAACGAAGGCCTCCGCAACTAAATTGACACCTAGAAGACCTCTCAGAGGTACTACCAAGCCCTACTGTTACAGGCCTCCAAGTCCTATACTTCCAACGCGATGTTGTGGTCTCTAACAAAGGTGGATGAAGCCTAAGCTCAACTGCGTCAAAATACCCGCCAACAGGCTGAGGAAGCTGCTGCAAAGGCTCGCAAAAAGGCAGAGGCAGCTGAGAAGAAGGTTCAAGATGAGCGGGAGAAGGAGCAGCGGAAGGTGGAACGAGCGAGGGCAAAGGAAGAGAAAGCCCTCAGGAAGGCCGCTGAGAAGGCCGAGAAACAACGAAAAAAACAAGAGAGCAACGCTGCCAAATCTATCCAACTATCCCAAACAGGCAAGCGCAAGGCCTCACAGAAGCCACCTACAGAACCTCTAGCCAAAAAACAGCGTGCGCGTGGCGCTACTCAGGTTGTAGTTGAGGCGTCACCTTCCCTAACACCTCCACCAATTACTACACGCAGCGGCCGCACCACGCGACCAAATAGAAAATGGGAGCAGGACAAGCATCATAGGCGTTAGTAGACTGTTACAACAAAAAAATCTCAATATAATAGCTTTTGTGTGTGGCTCTATAGTCTTATTTTTGTGGTTGCCAAAGGTGGTTTTCGCGTGCACGATGTGAATCCGTGCACGATGTGCACGGTCCCTGTAGTGTTGAGGAGAAAAGTATGTTTTGGTGCTCGCGTGCATTGACCCGACGCGCGCATTGACCCGGTGGTCTCGGTAGTACCCTAATTCGAACAACAAAGTACAGGACCTTGTACATCCACATATGTATCCTCTGGTGTATCGTCACAGCGGGGTCTTCGAGGAAGAGATTGTCGGTGTCGAGGATGTCATCACCAACTGGTCTGGCAAGGGTGCGGTGATCCAAGGGAAGGACCCGTGGGATCGATTCAGATACAAGGTCAGTGGTTCGGCCCCACCTGACTTCTGGTCCGTGAAGTACTCGTGGCTGCTTACCAATATTGCGTTCTACGATGGCAGTACTGCTTGATTCACAAGCTGCATGAGCAACTACATCCCATCAAGTATCCTGAGGTCTAAGAATCGGTCGAGAAGCTTATCGAGACATCTCTGACGCTCTTGGATCAGTGTCTCATAGCAGCTTCCCTTCGCAAGGGATCGCAAGGCCACGGTCGCAATGGAGACAGGACTGATGTTCCAAGTGATACGAAGCATATCAATCGATTTCAAGATAATTCCAAGCCATTGCTGGCAAAATTTACAGTGATGATAACGCCTCAAATTGGGGTCCGTCCAATTCAAAGCACTGTCCTGACGACATTGTAATCGACAAAAGGACTGTTAAAGGGGGGATGGTGGGACGGTTATGAGAAATAAGGTTACAACGCTACATGTTTGTTCTTTGAATCCAAATGGAATGTACTCCGTAAGTCTATCCTGCCGGAGCCGATCATCGAGGGCGGGCACTACGAGCCTGCATCTGGCAGACGCGTGTTCGAAAGGTTTCTCAGGCCAGGTCTCCAAGTCATCGTCAAGATGGCATCCATCAAGCTCACGCCTGAGCTTCGAGCTTACCGATCTGACGAAGCCTGGACATTGACAGTTGGTCGCGTTGTGGCTCGTTGACCCACACAAGCTCATCATCTCGACGGTGGGTCGGATCTCTTGCCTCTTGCACGGCTAAGCCTAAACACGGATGTAGCGGGTTGAGGAGATCAGCTGCGGACTTACCGCCTGAGATCATGCATGTGCTACAAGAGCATGGAGCGGGGCTACCGCCCTCTACTGGCAAAGTTACACTGCCAGAAGCGTTAATTGCTATGGTTCGAAAACAGCTTTTGAGAGACGAGTTGTCCATGAGTCTGGCAGAAGCGAAGCATCATCGCTTAGGCCAGAAAAGAGGTTCTCATGTGGATGAGTCTGAGAAAGTGTTGCAACAACAGAGCTGTAACTTCTGTGAACATTATTCAAGTAAGTCTTGAGGGCCGATCAATGCACGGCATCGGCTTCATGGATTAAGGTAGTCATGACCCATTGTGGCTTCTGTAATCAAGTGCGCTTTACATCGCTCCTCCTGTTCATGCCCCCTGCCATAGCGCTTGCCTGCAACCTAAAAGCCCTCAGATTTCCTGTCGTGCTTCGCGATCTTGAACGTGCGCCATCGCTTCCACTTTGCGCTTCAATTGCATTGCCTGAAGCCCCGCTATTCAGCATCGAACCCATCGCGGTGGGTTTCTGCAAAGTGAACGAATGCATCAAGCGCACGCGGTCTCGATCAAGGAGGTCAGGTTTTAGATCTACGGGCGAAGTGATGGACTTTGTCCGTGTGTTCATCTTCGTCATCAGAGCTGACATAGTAGCAGCCGGCGATACGTGAGCTGGTGTGACCGGATTTGATCGCGCTGAGTCAGAAGTTGCAGTGTTACGGCGTTGCAATAACTGAGGCGTGTCCTGAATCGTTCGGCTCCGGCCCCGGCCCAACGAAGTCCTGGATGAGGATGAAGCTGATGGTGATCGACTTGTTGGGCGACTTGACGGAGGCGTCGGTAATGGTTGATAGTTTTCTGGCAGCGAGCCGTATACTTGTATCAGCTGCTGGAGATCCATGGAAGCGGGGAGCTTGCTGAGACGGCGAATGGCCTTCTTGTTGGAGTTCATGAAGGCCGACATGGCTTTGAGCGCGTTGCTTTGCGTGTGTTGCTCATATGCGGGGGCGCCACCAGGCGTGTTCATTGCGCGGGCAGCGTGTTGTTCGTTGAGACCCATGCTACGTGGTGCTGCGAGCGAAGCCCCGTTCAAGTTCATCTCGATCTGTGAGATGACCTGATCGAAGTCCACGCCGTTGATTCGGTGCGATGGCGTTGGCTGCATCGATGCTTCACGAGTCAGGACAAAGAAAGACCCATCCCAAATCTTGCGCTTCAGAATGTTCCAGCGTGCACGTGCTGGGTTCCTCTCCATCTCTGGTTGGAAAACTGAACATCGAGCAAGCTTCGCGTAGAAGCCCTCTAGTCGATTTGCCATCCTCTCGAGAACTTGCATGAGGAATGTTGAGAGTGCGGAGATGCGGTCCGCATCTGAGGCTGCATCAAGGTCCACAATGCTGTCAAATGCGTCCATACCAATGCACGCCTCATCTCTAATGGCCTCGAGGAACTCCATATCATACTGAATCGATCGCTGTGCGTAGGCAATTATGCCCTGGGGTGTATGTTAGCGTGTGGAAAGACTGGCTCTTCGAACGTCACTTACTTTCTCATGATGACGAGCAGATTCGCTATTGCAGGTGAATTGACCAATCTGAGATATCTCGTTCGAGGCAGTCATCGCATCATTAGAGCTCTTGGCCCGAGCGATGATACCGAGGACATCTGACAGTTTGGTGCTGGCCGAAGAGTTGTTCGCCAGGGTGAATGAGATCTTCAAATACAACTCTTGAAGCTTCGCGCCGAAGAGGGCGGAAAACCCCCCTTGGAGGAGCCGTGATTGATAGTGGTAGAACCTGCGAACTCCGCCCATATTGAAGAGATCACCCTGAAACCACACCAATGAGGACTCCATGATCATGCCGACTTCGAAATTGGAGGCCACGACCTGTTCGGTTGCAACACGTAGGTACGCGTTCCAGAGATCGTAAAGCATACTCAGCTCCTCAGCATGATAGGCGGGCTTCGGTGTCAGTTCGCCCACGTAATATTTGGTCAACAGCGACGAGACCTCTGGATTGTTCGTGTGGGCCAACAGATCGAAAGACTTGGAGCAGTCTACGCCGCCATTGGACTTGATGATATTAGTGCCACCAGGATGCATGGCACAAAAGTCTGATCAATTAGCGCTAGAGGTAAGAGCTGATCGGACACACGTACCTGTCACATCGTAGACCTTACCATGCACACCAATCCAGACACTAGAGTCCTTGGTATGTCCAGTATGCACTGCGAGCTGCGATAGCGGGATAGTTGACTGGTTGCACGGCAGGGGTTTGGGCGTCATGAATACGTCCAGCATAAAACGGCGTTCGGCGAAAGCGGTGTTCAGAATGGTTTCAGCGGTCTCCATGGTAGGCGACCGGTGGTTGTAGAGAGCCCTGCGGATGCCTGACATGACCGAGTCGAACACGCCGACCGAGCCGCAAACGTATAAATAGCCTCCAATTCCACCCTGCTTCTACAACGTTCAGTGTCAGTGTATTGTTCGAGATGTGACTGAACGGCCGCTTACCTTGGACATGACCAGATCACAGATTGATTGCCCCTGCTCGACGATCAAGCCATCAATGTAACGAGGGGACATCTCCTTCTCGAGCAGATCATTGGATGTGGGGTCGTACACAAGACCGTTGGAGTCTCTCGAGAAGGCAGTGTGGACTTCCATCAAACCCTCGTTCACATACTGACGAAGTTCAGCTTCGTAGCAGAACTTCTGCCGTGACTGAACACCGAGGTATAGGATCGTCTTGCCCCACGTCTGTCCACAGCGTGCTTGCCAGAAGCTGCGCATGGGCGCGATACCGCTACCGCCGGCAAACATGACGACTGGAGACGTGTCATCGTGCGGTAATTGGAACGAGAACGGCCTTGACACACCGATCAGTAGCTCTTCATCGTCGAGGACATCCATCTCCTCGGCAACAGGCGGGTTCAGAAAACCGCTGCTTACGCCATGGCGAACAATCTTGCTGTTAGCAGAAAAGGTGGAGCACAGGTCGTAGTCGGAGCGAGAGATCGTCAAGTCGACAGTACTTGGTAGTAACTCGTCGGAAAAGTTGGAGATACTGTAAGTTCTCGGGACTTCGACAGACACGAGATCTGAGAGCCAAGATAGATTGCCTGAGAGATCGAATGCTTGGTCCCAGATTCGGGGCGGGGTGTCATTGACAGCTGCTTGGAGGAGGTCACCGAGCGAAGCTCGTACCGGCCACTCATCTGTGGCAAGAACTTGCAGTACTGTGTGTGATGAGGCGCGTAGGATGGTGTGGAGCTTGGTAGCGAGCTCCTTCGTGATTGGGGCTAGATGGCCCTTACGGAGAATATCGATGATGTGCAATTGCGGGCGACTTGAGTATGTGATCGCACCAATGTGGCTGGCATACCGTGTCCAGGTACGGTCGAGTGCCACGGGATCTTCCAGCATGGTATCCAACCCTAGCGCAGCGGCAACCTTGGCACATTCAGTCCAGCTGTTCATAGGCATAACGGCAAGTCGATCGCCGGGTTGGAAAGTAATGCCGGTCTCCTGGATGTCGAGAGTGACCATCGCAATCGAACGCTTAGGGTCCGCATCGACGAAGTTTCTGCTCAGGATGCGGCCTCGGTACCGACACTCCTCGAATGTGCCGCGCATTTCGTGGGGTTCGATATCGCGAGGACCGCGAAACGGCTCGAGGCGCTCTTTCATAGCCTCGGAGAACTCGGCATGAGTCTGTTCCCAAGGTCGCATGGCGTCTGCAGCTCCAGATGCGCCGTTTGTCTCGGTCCGACCAGACTTTCCAGCGCACTCAAGGAGTCCAAATACTTTGTATCGATGGGCACCCATGAACCCTCTCTCGCCTGTGTACGCCTCAACCACGCCATCAAGGACACCCATCAATCTTGCATCTCCTGAGGCTTTGACATACTCGGGTATGCAGTAGTGGTACTCAATGGACGCAATGAAGGCGCGCAAATTCGACGGCAACCACGCTCTGAGGTGGACCCCTTCGGCTCCAAGGAAGCTGTCGTACTTCTTGCGGCCCAGAAAAGCGTCCATGACTAGGTACCTGAGAGGAGTCAGCTATAGCGCTGGCTAGGGCGGAAATTACTCACGGTGGGAATTGAAGCCCAGAAGTAGCCGGACAACGCTTCGACAACGGTGCTGAGAACTTGGCCCAGCGTACCCATTCGGTGGGCGAAACGTAGTTCTCGCCGGACTTGTCATTGGGCGAGATGGTATTGAAGGCAGTAGGCATGCGTTCCAGAATTTCCTTCAGACGGACGAGCTCACGTAGAAGACCTTCGTTGTTGCGGTTCATGACGTGCTCCTGACAAGCGGCTATGGCATCAGGGCCGTGCTGAAAGCTGGCCGATGTATCCGCACAGCCTTTAAGGAAGGCGTTCTCGGCACTGTCACCAAACATGGCCCATCTCAGTCGTGTATTATCGAAGCGCCCGACGTAAGGGTGCTTCGATTGTGGGTCGATGTAGTCGACGTTGTATGATGACTGGTCGAAGAAAGTAAGGTGAGGTATCGATCGCTGTTGCTGTTAGCCTTGACCTGATGCATATTCGTGCGTACCTACTCCCATGCGTACGCAAATCTGAACGTACGCAAGACCTATGCTGCGTGGGATGTTCTGGACTTCATCGCCTAGGTCGTCGCACATCGGTACGCCCTTGAGCTTCAATGTTTTCGCTGCTACGTTGATGCCCTCATTGCCGTCATGTCGCTCCTCGTATCTGTATATCGAACACAGCATGCCGAGAGCGACAAGTGCAGCCCACAGGGCTTTGTCGGGAATAACATCAGCGGTACCCGCGACTATTGGCAGAGCTGCAACAGACTCCCGCACACGACCGCGCGCAATGCAGCCAGGCATCCGTTCACAGAGATCCATCCAGATGCGTCCTGGAGAATTTCGAAGAGCACCAGTGGCTGCGTTCGTGTCCGGTGGTTGAAATCCATACTCTGTGCTCAGGTAGCCATCTCGCCACCCTGTTGCGGGACCGACTTCTTCTGCCCGGAGGATGACTTGGCGAGCAGGTGCACCAAGAGCAACTGCTAGTAGGTCTCGCTCATCCATGTTGAGTGTGTCGAGACTCTTGACGCCTCGTGCATTCTGAATCTCTTTGATCTCTGCCATCGAAGGTACATTCGAGTAGATCAGCTCGTTGATTGCTTTCCGCTCCCTAGACGTCTCAGTAAAATATCACAATTGGATCATACATACGCACCTCTCTCGCAAGAAGTCTTCTACACTTTCGTGTAGCGGAATCTGCGGTCGTTAGCGGTGGCGCTGTTGGTTGAACCCAGCACTAGACTTACGCCAAAGGCAGCATGTACATCCCCTGATTGCGCGAAGCCCGACATTGTGCAGCCACGAGGACCCGTTCGACTCCCCGTCTTGCACCCAGTAGCTGAGCCTGCCGGGCATACTGCACCCGCCATGCCGGATACTGGGCAATGTTCCGACATTCTTGAAGACATCTGGAATTAGTTGAAGTTAGAAACCTGCCCTTTTTGGAGAATTATGTATTATAAAGACCTCCAGGGTCAAGGAAAGAGATTGGGATGAGGGTGGTGGTGAAGAACACTTGTATTGCGTGAGCGTGTAGAGCTGCAAGAACTATCTGCTGGAGACATCAAGTAGGTAAAGTAGGCAGAGGTTCGCGCCAATGCGTAGTTATTGCTGCAAGGTACTCCATAGCTGCCGAGCTGACGTGTGCTCTCTCCAGCGGGACGCTCTGCCATGCTGTGGAAAGCTTGATGAAAGAGTGGATTGCTTGGCTGGAACAAGAGGCAGTTTTGACGGTGGGCCGTTGCGTCTTGACAGGCGCGCCGGAAGAACCCCGCCTTCGCGAAGCTCTCCAGAGCCGCAGGCTGGTCGTACGGGAGCGCCGGTGTGTCCATATCGGGCAAAGGTAGGGAAATGCGCGACGCGAGTTGTTTGTGGCGGGAAGAGGATGCGCGCAAAAGTAGTTATGGCCCGGTCCGACGGCTGACCCAAGCGCTTCCGCCGGCGGAGCGCCGGTCACAACAAAAAACACACAACGATCTTTCGTTACAACCTGCCTCAGACAGTATTCCTTGGCTGTGGGTTTTGTAGCGCGTCAGACCAAGACAACGACCCCTGAAGTCATCTGGACCCAGCCTCATCTGCACTGATATCTCGAAGGTGTCATCCCCTCGCTCTTGCCATCTGAACTTAGGTGGAAGGGTCACCATCATCCACGGAAATGTCTTGTCCACCGACAGATAGCGATGTCAGAGGGTTGTAATATCTCCTCGTCCAGTACGACAACTCTTCGAGTGCCCACATGCGTGCGGAAGATGTCACACGCTCTCATCAGAGATGCTTGGCGTTCGAACAAGCACTCGTGACACGCGGCTCTTCAGGCGAGTAAATTTCCGTTTCGCACGAGAGATGTTTCAAGTGGGTTGCATATTCATTGATGCCTCACGCCAAATCGCCTTGGCGACGACTGTACAATTAATACTGCCAGGAGCTTTCCGATCGAACACCATGAACGCCTCGACCCTGTCTCCCAACAGATGACAGCTCTTTAATTTCAGACCGCAGAGCTGATGATCTATGCTCGATCAGATCGTTGGACACGCGCTAAAAGCCGTGCAGGAGACTCTAAAGCGACGTGCTGCCACATGTAAAGATTGTACGACGAGCCTGTACCCAAAAGCGCTGCCTCCTGCTTCGACTCGGTCACATGGCTGACATTCCTGGTATACTCCCGTTCATCAGGCGCTGCACCACAACGTCTTCACCCAAAACACGCTCTCCGTCAGGTAATTCGAACGCGTAATGGTGATGCTCCGCAAATATTGCTCGGACGACTCGGTCCTGGTCACTGGCAAGCATGTCGTCGCAGTGCTTCTCGTTGTCGCAGCATCGGTCGTCGTGATGCATATACGCAGATGGGAGGCGCGAGTAGTAGTCGGACTCGGTCCCTTCGATGCTGTTCCCGCTAGTTGTGATGTGCGGGTCCAAAGACCGAGAGAGGCGGTTCAGGTCCTTGCTCGTACGCTGACTCAGTCGCCATGAGACGTCGGGGAGAACGGGCGGTTCGAGGTCGCCAGGGTCGTTGTTGCATCGGAATTGCGCTGTGACCTTGAAGTAGTTGCGGTGAAACCCTGCGGGAAGGTTAGCTTGGACACACCTGTAACAGAAGGACAGAATCTCGTGGTTGTGATGATAATCGGGGTAAGCTCCTCAGCCCAAAGACTGCGCAGGACAAGGTAATCCACGTAGCTCGACGTGAAGCGCACACCTCTAGCGCTAGTCCTGATGGTCGACCTGAGCAGCGAGTGGTGTTTGGGATGAAGACCTCGAGACTTGCGTGCTACATACTGTAGCCATGCACAGCTCAACTCCGAGATGTAGCGCTGCAAGCTTGTGAATTCTTCCGATATCGCCCTCTTGTTCGGCCGCACGAATTGACGTCCAAATTCTTGTGGAAAAAGCTTCTGTCCAGTCTTGAAAGCCGACTCGGGATTTAGTGTCGCTCGATACACTCCTCTGACGGACGTCAGCTGCTTGTACTTCGATAGTACGTATGAATACACCACGAAGCGCACCACTTGTCGGCTATCGAAAGGGTTCCAGTTGACTCCATCGATCTCGTCGTTGTTGTCCGATGTCTCCGAGCCACGTTCGAGTATTGCGCGGCAGCTCACGCCCGCATCAGTGTCATATAGGCTAGACTCCATGCTGGAAGAAGAGTCCTGTGAGGTAGGAGACACCGACGATGAAGCACTGCGGCTGTGGTATCGAAAGGATCTTCGACGAACTCCAACCCAGCCGAGCGTTGCCAGGAGCTCATCGGTAGTCATCCCGGCCTTGGGAACATCAAGCTCCTCCAAGCCACCAGCCCGTACCTTATTCCAGTCAAGACCAAGCAGTCCGGCAATGAGTTGTTGAGCACCCTCTGCGACTTGCTGGAGGCTGCAAAGAGTGGCACGAATGGCATCAATGGTGTTGCGTGCCTCGGGGCTTCTCAAGAGCTTTATGACTTCCAACAGCATGCATGCTCGCAGCTGGCAGGCAGTATCACCAACGTGAGCGTCGAAGGCGAGGTAACCCGGGCCGTTGACCGACGTATCGCCCTTTGCGGTTAAGGACTCGGAAATCAGCTCGAGAAATACATCCAGAGCTTCAACCGCATCGATAGCCCCACGGATGATGTAGAACAGCTGGCGGGGCAGCTCGGTCGGCTCGTGCCTCACGTTGGAGGGTTTCACTAATGGTGTCTCAGTTCGCAGCAAGATATATGACATGGTGGCGCAAGCCTACAATATGGTGGAAGGGTAAGGAGCGGACTCAGAAGGCCTCAAGCTCAACAAGTGGTGACGGAGAAGAACTAGCTCTAGATTGGATTGAGGTGAGAGAGCGGTGAAAGTTGCTTTGAGCTTGCTATTCGAGTCCATGATGGCTTTAACTCTGATATAGATTTCCGAATGTGGGCGCACAGCATCTCAACCAGGGTAATTGGTTCTGAATAGGGATGACGCCAGTACTGTCAACGCCGTCTTCTTTGGCAGCGCTCACCGACAAAGGACGCCGCTCGCATAGATCGTCCCTCGGGGCATCACTGTAGACTCGCAGTTGTCCATTGTGTAGCAATAACTGTTGTCCTTGGACGACAGAGCATATCTTGCTCGACGCCCAGGAGCCTGGCTTCGGAAACTAAGGTGACGCTCGGACATGATACGTCTACACAAGTGACAATCGGGTCAGTAAGCTGTCCTATTTGCTTCCAACTGCCAAACCAGTTAGGGAAGGGATGAGAGGCCGTGTACCTGCATCTGGATTCTGGGAGATCTGTGTCGATCTTGCGATGCATTCGCAGGTGTAGTTACGAGCCTGACTCGTTGCGAACCCAATATGGTCCATCCCTTCGTATTAGAGAGCTTCGAATAATGCACTGTACCTACCGATCCGAGTAGCCACGATACATGGCCGCTGCAGCCGTTCACAAATCCAAGTTGACATGCCTCATGGGAACACGGTGAAGAGCCATGTCGTGGCCGGCAGACTATCATCGTCCACACAGTCCTGGTACCGAGCGTACTGTGCCTTCTCGTCGCATCTCTGCGGAACATGAGTGACAGACAGCCATGCCATGTTCGCACGCGCGCCTGGCGGAACGAAGTCGCAGCGCGTCATGAACCATGCGTCTCCTTGCATAAGGTGTTGAATCGGCATGCGCTGTGCCAACCTCGATCTCTGATGATCTCTGATGGAGTTGGAATAGGATACGAGGCGGTATGAGTATTCGGCCGTTTAGCGTCCTTCACACTGTCATTGGCAGCGGAGTTTGCCATTGATCAATCCTGTTGTTCAATTCAAGCACTTCGGGAGCGCCCTTACGCAACATGGCGATGCCACGATTCCGGATGTGACATGCTAAAAACATCATCTACAGGCCGGTCGTATCGTGGACAGGTTTTGAATTCAGTATTGTGGAGAGAAGTACAGTGAGGATACCGCTTCCGGATTTGGACTAGTCAGCGCCGACGTCATCTTATTCACGCTCCGTAACGTGATCATGCGACGACTCAACACCATCTTGCGCATACGCGGAATCGAACAATAAATTCAAAGCACGCGTCGTATCGAAGAAATCTCAGATACTGTCCTCCTCTGGCGCTTCGCACGCGGACCACGGCGCCAGCCCAACGGCAGCCTGTTCTCCAGCCTCATCAGGCCTCATCAGCACGACGCTTGGCAAGGATCCAGCACCGCAGACGCGACAAGCTTGCGGAATCATCGAAGATCAATTAATCTTTCAAGCGAACGGTCTGAACACACCACGGGCTTCCAAACAACGCCATGACAACGAAACCATTTCCAGCGGTAACAGGCAGATGCTACTGCGGTAAGGTGAAGTACCGGCTCCTCACATCTCCACTCTTCTGCTACGCATGCCACTGTCCCGACTGCCAGAAGGCGACGGGCAGCGCGTTCGCGCTGCACGCAACTATCGAAACGTACAACATCAGCATCATCTCCGACGCCAAGCCGTCGCTGGTCACGCTCAACAGCAATGGCTCAAAACCAGACGAGTTACGGCCTCAGGAAGGCGCGAGACGTGCGCTTTGCCAACAGTGCGGGACTGTGTTCTGGGGCCACGATAATCCGTGGGGCTTTGCGGTGAGTGATGTCCGCATCGGCACGCTGGATTACCCGGGCATCATGGAGCCGGACGTGCATTCGTTCGTGGGAAGTAAGGTGGGGTGGCTTGCGCTGCCGAAAGACGCCAGGACTTCAAAGGGGCATTACGACTACGAGCAGATGTGGCCGAAGAGCAGTCTGAAGAGGCTGGGGGTCTGTCTGGAGCGATTCGAGGCTGCGAAGAAAGCGATGGCTGAGAAGAAGCCGGCGGACGAGCAGGCTGAGGCGGGCGTCGGGGAGAAGAACGAGATTCGCGTCGAGGAAGATGGAGACAAGACCCCGACGGCGACAGGCGATTCAGAGAGCGGCGAGGACGACGAGGCCTTCGAGCAGCGCTTCAGAGAGACGGAGAGGGTGTTGAACGAAAGGCTGGCCAAGCTGAGTTTAAAGCTGGAGGGCGGGGAAGAGCAGACTTCGAGTGCGAGTCCGATATAACAGCCAGTTGTGGCGGCACGAACGACAACCGACGTCTCGCGTTGGCTTTCCTTTCAGACCGTCAGCAGTAGCGTTCGACGATCCTAGCAAGGGCGACGTATTGGCCGTGATAAATCAATGCTAGAACACAATCAAGACCTGTAGGCTACTTCAATCCACCGCCGGCCAGCACTCGTCATCACGAGCAGAGTGCGACAGCTTGGGTGCTCATCCCAAAGTTGTCAAGAAAAGAAAACAAGGATTTGAGGCCTATTTTTGTTTGTTCAACGAGTGTGTAGGGTTGCAGTTCAACGAGTGTGTGGGGCTGCAGTTCAACGAGTGTGTGGGGTTGCAGTTCAACCAGTGTGTGGGGTTGCAGTATGTTTGTTTAATTTGACGGTGCTGTAGAGCTACTTTTTGTTTATTTGATTGTTCTATCAATTCTCCATGTGGATTGTGGTGAAGCCTACAAATCATCTAAAGGAAAAAAAAAGCCGTTAATTAATACTTCCAAGACCTACTTCGTAAGTTTAAATAAGTATTCAATCGGCAAATGAGCTTTTCTTCTACAACTGTGGAGCTGCTCTGTTTGCTGTTTTTTTTTCAATTGCACGACTCTCAAGTAGACCCGTTTAGTACCACCGCTAAGTCAAACGAGATTCAAAATTTTGACTGATAGCACCTCTTTTGTGTGGTTTGACTATCAAAATTGCAGCAGTAGACTTTAATTCAGTTGACGTTGTCAAATTGTACTAATCTCCAACAAAATTTCGACGCGACTTTTGTCGTTGACAACGTTGGCTTAGGTATTCATTCATCGCGACAAAATTTATTTTTACTCACGCTCGCTCGTTCCATCATAGCTTCACCCTAACCCTCACGCACCAAACGCTCCCAGGAAGTGTACGCCAGCACAGTCGGCCTGCACTTCTGCACGCACTTGTCCAGAACGCTGCATTCGCACTGGTCCAGGCTATGGTGTAGACGCCTAGCTGCTCGTCAGAAGGGCACGCGCAGACAGGTATGAGGAGCAGCGGACCAGGGCTCGCTGCCCAACGAGGTCGACTTGCTCCCCCGCATGCTCCGTAGTAACTCTGTAACATGTGCAAACAGCATCGTATCTCGAGCGCCAGATGCACCCAGATTCCCAGTGGCTACAAACTGCAAGTACACTCGATGCAGATACATTACCCATTGCCACTCTGACTCTCCATCTGCTTCCTCGCCGACACTCTCCCCATCCACTGCACCGCGCATCACTTCTCTCCGCCGACCCACCGCGCATCAGCTCTCGGCGCGCTTGACATGCTCAAACCCCTCATCCAAGTCCTGCACACCCAGCACCTCGTCATCGCACGGCTTCATAACCAGCTCTGCCTCACCCTCACACTCCCCAGGCACACGGCCCTCGCTATCCTCATACCACGCGCCCAGCACCCAGTCGCTGACGAGCTCCTTGGCCGTCTCGCTGAGGGTGTAGTAACCCGGATTGCTGCGGGGATTGAACATGGCCATGTGTGCGAGTGTCTCAGCCTCCAGCTTGTCGTTGCCGGCTGGCACGAAGAACTCGCGCGCGCTGCCGGTGGGCAGATTGCAGAAGGTGCGGTCACGCCCCGCCACGGCGCCGGTCCAGGACTCGCGCTTCTGGGCGTCGACGGCGCGGCCGAGTGTCGTGTGGATGTTGGCGAAGCCCAGGCCGTGCGCGCGCGAGAGCTGGATGACGGACGCGAGGCGCGTCTTCAGCTCCTCTGGACGCGCGAGCGAGCCCACAAACTCCAGGTGCGAGGTCGCCCACGTCACGCCCTGGCTGATCTGGTCTTTCTTCATGTAGGCTGCGGCGCCGCCGGCGGCGATGGCGCCCGCTGCACCGGCGAACATGGCGACGCGGCCGTAGCGCTGCCAGAGGGGTGCGGAGGCGGCGTCGGCGCTGGAAGTGGGCGCGGGGAGGCGCCTGCTCGGGTCGACGGCGGCGGTGGGGGTGTCTTTGGAGCCCCAGCCGAACGCGCCGGCGACGTTGCTGTAGGCGGCGTAGGCGGAGCTGGCCGTGTTCCAGTGCTTCTCAGCGCCGTGGGCGACGACGCCAGGCGCAATGCCAAGGAAGGGCGTGTCGAAGGCGAGCAGGCCCTGGATGTACGGGAACATGAGCGTGCTACCCTCGGCCAGGCCCTGCGGCGCAGTCTCGGCGTCGGTCTGCGAGCGCTGCAGACTCGGCACCGGCTGCTCGGCGAGGATGCGTCGCAGCGTCTCGGCCGCGACGATGCCGCCCATACTGTGGCCCACCAGGATGGTGCGCACGCTTGGGTCGACGGTCGGCGAGGGCGTTGCATTGGCGACCTCGAGGTCAATGACCTTGTCCTGCAGCCATTCCTTGAAGCGGCCGACGCACTCGTGCAGGTCGCCGCGCGTCTCGTACTTGGGGTACGTGATGGTGAGGACCGTCACTTTGGGGAGCGCGTGCTGCAGGAGCGCCTTGAGGTGCGAGGGGAACGTGCCGAATGTGTCGTCGCCGCCCTGGGTCAGTGAGCCAGGGCACCATGTGAGGTTCGTCGAGCCGTGTCATTATCGTCGAGCCTCGAGTCTGAGCGTGCCTACCTTGAAGCCATGGATAAAGCACAGCAGGATCGTCTTCTGCATCGTTTACGGTCCACGACTGTGTTCCTGCATAGCGCCGTCAGACATACTTCACGCGACACCGCGGGATCACGAGTGATTACGTCGCGTGGCGCTGCGGCTGTCCTGCGTGGTGATTGGCGTGCGCACCGGTCAGCGATTGGCTAGGCTGTGGAGCGGATGGTGGGGATACGGTTGATTGTCAATACTTCATGTCAGTGCAGGAGTGACGGCTCTGACATCATTGCTATTCACGAGTTTGTTGCTGCAGCGCGTCAGGCCAGAGGGGAAGCAAGGGAGCACGAACGTCAACGTAGGATAGATAAGGGTATCATCCATTCAATTCAAATCAACGTGCAGGAGCTGCAAGCCCCACACGTGCATCTACAAAAGCGCATTGTACTCGACCGGCTGGGGTATATAGGACAGAAAACACACATCCGCCAAACGCCATCCATGCCCTCACGCCATGCATGCCCTCACGCCATGCATGCCCTCACGCCATGCATGCCAAACAGGTAAAAAGCCCGGCCCGTGATTCGCCTCACAGCCACACAGCCACAGCAGCCACGCCCAGCATGCCCCACGCCGCACATTCAATGCCGTAGCCGCGGCCCGCGCCACCCGTGGCGACGACGTCGAACGGACTCCCGCCGCCCGAGTCCGAGTTGGAGAGCTGGCTGTTGCCGGCGGACGCGCTGCTGCTTGACGGCGTGGCCGTCGGGCTGTTGAAGCGGAACGACGACTGGCTTGCTCGCGAGGTCGTGTCGATGGCCAGGCCGCTGCTTGTGCTCGAGGGCTGCAGTGTGCTCGTGGGCGGAGCGGCGGTGGTGGTGGCGGGCGTGGAAGCGCGCGAGCTCGTCTGCAGCGTTGATTTGGTTGGGGAGGGGGGCGAGCTCTTCGCTGGACTTGGGCTGGCGCTTGACGACGGCGAGGGGCGATTGTTGGGACACAGCGCTGCGACGCCGATGTCGTTCTGGAATACGCCGATGATGCTTGTCTCGCCAACGTCGACGTTGCGGCACCCGCTCTTCACGCTGGCGGCGATGCGCGTGAGGCCCGCCACGCACTGGGCGCTGCACGTCGCGCTGCTGCTGAAGTCCGAGGCCGTGCAGCCGTCAATCGTGGACGTGTAGACGGCCTTGCATTCTGTGGGCAGGTTGTTGATGCGCGGTGTGAACTGCGAGAGCGAGATGTCGGATGTTGCTGCTGCGAGGCTGGCGAGCAGCACCAGGAGAGGCGCGCTGAGTAGCGAGTGCATGGTGGTGTTGCGGTGAGAGGTGTTTGCGAATGGTGGGTCGAGCGTGCGGTGCGACCAAGCGCAGACTTGTTGTCGAGTAGGTGGGCGCAAGAACTGCGTGACCCAGGGAAGGCGAGAGTGGCCGGCTGAGACGAGTGTGGTGAGGTGAATGCGGCAGCGGGGTGCTGAGACGCGTGGTGTTGCGGTGCGAGTGTTTCGCAGTAGCCGGTGCCGTATAAGTGAAAGCTGCGTTCCGCTGTTGATGTTTTTTCTTTTCACGGTGAAGATGTTCCCGGTGAAGATGTTCCCGGTGAAGATGTTCCCAGAAGATGTTCCCAGAAGATGTTCCCGGTGAAGGTCAGGCCAACGATTGCAGACGCCCAAGTACAAGTGAGGGAGTGCTTATGTGAGGCGTCAGATGTCTATACACACGACACCAAGACCGAGTGCTGCAAGGTGAGAGAGTGACTGTGAAACACAAAAGAGGGGACGTTCAGCTGCGGCCGGCGCAAGGAAGCAGTCTTGAAGGAGAGACTGAAAAGCACAGGTTGGGTATGACGCCAGCGGCTGCTAGGAAGAAAAGCAGAAAGGGAAAGATCCAAAGTGTAATGTACCGTCACGCATCCCTTCTGAGGCCGTGATGGACGCTGTGCCTCGATGCCGGCCCAGGACGGAGCCGTGGGTGCCTCGTCTTTAAGCAGATCTACACAGCTGCCCGCGCGAGTGGCCGCAGACCGCAGACCCCGTATACCTAATGGGATAGCCAAGGCCAGGACTGCGCGCTGGATAGGTTTGTGAGGTGAGTGACAGCCCGAACCTGAAACAATGTCGTGCTAGCGCCGTGCAGTGTCGGCTGCGGGATTGGCTGCGCCCATGTCACACGAGCCAGGAACCGTCTTGTACGCCTCAAGTACGTTGCACAACAGCAGCATCGATTCGCCCGAGGGCGGCGACGTGAGCAAGAGCTCTTCATCCGCAGCGCTGCAAACGACCTTCGAAGGGCCTCGCGGATTGTTTGAACGCAAACAACACTGCCATAGTGTACCTTGCACGCGCTCGAAACGCGCAAAACACGCACCTTATCCACGACACGGGCGCAGTGCATTGACGACGATGATCCCAGGACGCATTTAGGTATACGACTAGATCGCATGAACGGCCATGTCACCGAATCTACGATCGCGCACGTCAGGTTGATAGGTGACCAGGCCCGAAGCACGATCTGTAAGCTGGGGCACGTTAGTGCATGGCAGCCTAGTCAACAAGCACGTCAATTTCGAACTCCCGTTCACGCACCTACCCAACGAGGTAGGAATTAATCCTATGCAGGTCACTGCAGGTAATCAAGCAATGCAGGTGATCAAGCAAGTCATTCCGAGGTCGCGGAGCCCCACTTGACTGGTTGTTGGCAACGATGGTGCATGGGTAGCTCGTCCGGGGTATCATTCTCCAATGTCTAGTCGTGTACGTTGCCACAGTATCGCAACGAACAAGTCTACCAGGCGTCAAAATTGCCAAACCCGCCCGTCTTCGCCTTCTTGGGCGGCGGTGCAACGTCCTCTTCCTCGTCGACGTACTCCAGTATCTCGTCGTCGCCCTGCTCGACAATGTCTGCCTTTGCAGCTGCGAGGTACTTTCCCACCGCCCGTCCGTCTGCTGTCCCACCCTCAACAGTCCCGTCAGCACGGATGCGCTTCCCCGTCCACGTCGTCCTGTCGTCGGCGGTGCCGCCCTGCTTCTTGACCTCGGCGACCTCGGCGTCCTTGGTCTCCTTGTCCTTGCGCTCCTTCTGCCACTCCTCAAAGGGGTCGACGAAGACGACCACATCCTTGATCTCGAGATCGTCGAGCGGCTTGTCCTTTTCGCCCGTCTCGGCGAGCTCCATGGCGCGCAGGGTCGTGTCCAGGCCGCCGACGACGCGGGCGAAGATGGTGTGCTTGCGGTCGAGATGCGGGACGGCGCGGTACGTGATGAAGAACTGGGATGTATTTGTGTTTTTGCCCTTGTTCGCCATGGAGAGGATGCCGCGCGCGTTGTGCAGGTTGGGGCCCTCGAACTCGTCTTCGAACGGCTTGCCCCAGATGCTCTGCCCCCCTCGCCCCGTGCCGCTGGGGTCGCCGCCCTGGATCATGAAGCCTTTGATGTTGCGGTGGAAGATGGTGTTGCGATAGTAGCCCTTCTGTGCCAGCTTGACAAAGTTCCAGACGGCCTTTGGCGCATGCTCGGGCAACAGCTCCACGTTCAGGTCGCCGAGAGAGGTGGACATGCGCGCGTAGCCTTTGTTCTTCACGCGCTTCGGCTTCAGCATGTAGTCTTCGTCGGAGAGGAGGGCGCGTTCGCCCGAGGTGTGTACGTCCACGCCGGTGGACGTGAACGAGGCCGCTGCCTTTCCAGACGTGTAGACGGCGGCGTTGTAGGCGGCCTTCTTGGGCGCTGCGGCCGTCGCGGGTGCTGCCGTGCCGTTCCTCGATACTATCGCAACGGCGCTCGACGGCTGGGCTCCCTGCGCTTTCGCCTGACGGTCGGCCCGCGCCTTTGCGACGGCATCCTTTGCCTTCAAGATCTTCGCCGCGTTGCCGGACATGCCCGTGTCGCCGTCCTGGACGTGCTTGTAGGCGCTGAAGTTGCGCGACTCGATGTTCTGCGGATCCTGCAGCGTTATCACGTCTTTGCGCGTGAAGGCGTCGTCGCTGACCAGATCGCGCCAGTTCTTCGCCTTGACGTTCAGCCGCTCGACCGTGTCCCACGCAAACACATTCCCGCTCGGGCGCAGCGCAACAATGTGCGTGTTGTCCGTGAAGACCTTGAAGGTCACGGGGTCGACGTATTCGCCATCTTCGTTCTTCGCAAAGCGCAGCGACACGAGGTCGTCGCGCTTCAGAGGCGAGCCGTCGGTCGGATTCGTGTTCGGGTGCTTCGCGAGCCAGGTGAGGATGTGCGTCAGGTCGAAGACGGTGCCGGCTGCGGTGCACACGGGGTCGGCGAAGGGCTGCAGCGAGACGGCGCAGTAGTTGAACGGCAGCCGCTTGAACGTCGACGCCAGGCCCGCCGCCGACGCCCGGTTTGCGCTGTTGGCGCCGCGCGCATTGCCGAACGCGTCGGCCGATGACCACTCGGAGTGGGTAATGTAGAGCTTGTCAGTTCCCTTGCCCATTGCGTGCGGTCGGATGCGAACAGTCGCCGACTGCCGAGTGCTCTGCTACGGCGCTCTGCAGAAAGTAAGACGAGCGTTGCGCGCCAAGCCATGACGCGCGAGTGTTGAGCTAGTATTATACGATTAATAACGTCACTTCGTAGTGACGGCTGTTCTCACCATGACACCATCCTTTCTGCATCTCTCATTACTGCTTTCATGTCTGCACCTCTCATTACTGCTTTGATGTCTGCATTTCTCATTACTGCTTTCACGTCTGCACCTCTCATTACTGCTTTCATGTCTGCACCTCTCATTACTGCTTTCATGCCTGCACCTCTCATTACTGCTTTCACGTCTGCACCTCTCATTACTGCTTTGATGTCTGCATCTCTCATTACTGCTTTCATGCCTCTACAGACTGCCTCGGTGCATCGTCTTTTCAGATTTCGTGTTTTTCGCCTGTCACGTTACCACCGAGTCGACACGCACAGCACCTCACATCTCCTTCTCTTCCTCTGCCGCAACATGCTCGTCCTCAATATATCCAATGTATACGCCGTTCTCACTTCGCCTCTGAATCAGGTCCACACTGCTGCACTCAAACTCGGCTCTCCAACGCTCGAGGAGGCCCATCTCACCGACAAAGTACAGGAACCCAACCTCAGTTGCCGCAACATCCACCAATCGCTGTAGCTTCACAGCCTCTTCCTCCAGTCTCAATTCCTCCAGCTCGGCTGCATCCATCTCCTTGTCTTTCAGAATCTCAGAAAGAGCGAGCAGGCTGCGACACGGCCTGTAGCCCTCCGCTCGCCGCTTTAGTCTTTTTGCGCGGCGCTCGGCAGCGTGTTCGCCGTTCTGGAGCTGCCTGTGGTGGTGCCTGGCGTGTGAAGCCGGAAGCGGATTTTCGAAGAGCTCAGCTTCGATCTCGTAGTCGTCGGGCAGGTCGTACTTTTGCCGGATGACTCTGTCGAGCTTGAGACGGTCCTCCCAGACCCGCCTTTGCTCGTCAGACACGGTTCTCATTGATCGCCAGCTCTTGATAAACTCGGCCAGGTACGAACGCTTACTTGCTCGCGGCTGCGCTTGTGCCAGACGCGGCGTCTTCGCCAATGCGCGAGGAGGTGTCTCAGGCACGACCATCACCTCCTCCACCAGCGCCCCTTCACGCTCCCACCACGCTGTCGTGAGAGATACGACTGGCTTCGCGTACCGCTGATTCCGCCTCTCCAATGTCGCGCAAATAATGCAGGGCGAGCAAGTCCCCAGACCTGACGCTACGTGCCCGTGCTGAGACAAGTACCACTGATGCCCTTCGTCCCAGAGTCTTTCCCGCTCCTGGCGCTGCCAATCCCTTTGCGTTATCTTCTTGAACCTCCGCTTCGCGGCAGTATACTGGAGGCGCGCAATATTCCAAGCACGATCGCGCATGTACGCAGACGCATCCGCTCCTCCTTCGCCTTCAAACTTTCTCCGAGCTCTTTCTAGGTCTTCCTGGGCTGCAGAGATGCTGCAATGGGGACACTGCAGTATGTGTGGAGGCGCTGACAAATGTAGGCTGTGCTTGCAGACGCTAGCGATCCTCTCGGTGTGATTCGAATATATGTTGTACATTGCAAAAACTCCGACTTGGTTGGCCGGCGATGACCGTGCTGAGTTTGTAGAGAGGACGTCGAGGCATTACGATCAATCCGGGGTACGACCCTGCTATTGTGCGTAGACTTTAGCGACAAAGACAGTGAAGGCAGGCAACACTGACGGTTGCTGAGCGCTGGCTGGTGCCGGACCACGCGTTTGCTTGCTCTGTCTGCCTTCACTTTCGCAAATGTACACTCCCAGTAAGCGTCACTTACCCATGTGACCACAGGTACCTTCACCAAGGATGTCGCGATAACTACTCTCCTTCTCTTTACATCTCTCGCCTCATCGATATCTCCTTTGTCTTTCCAGCGCAACATCAACAGCTTTCACGCACATTCACACACAGCTCTTCAGTCATTAACCCATACCTCGACCGCCGGAGCCACTACCAGTCTGTCTACCTTCCTTCCCCAAACCGCTATTGTGCGAACCCGGAACGTGACTCCACATTCACTCAAGGCCTAAAGGCCCACAAGAGTGACTTCGACATGGAACAGCCTGTCTCAGTGCTACGACAGCGCGCCACATCCTTCAACCCGGAAGCAGCAGCTTTCAGTCCAATATTCGGCGATTCGTCTCCGCAAGATGTTGCGCTAGCGCCGGCTACATCACCGCCACCTCTGCGCGACTTCGACTACACATTCGCAATGGCGCCGATGTTCAATTGTGAGCCTTCTCCGTCTCCTTCTATATGTCCACAACTGACTATAGAACACCAGACTCGCCCTTCCACGACGTCGCCAGTGCGCGTTCACTGTACTGCAGGGATCCACTCACGTCAGTGCCGGTTCGCTTGGAGGATATCCTGTCTCCAGACGTGCAAGCCCTGGTGAAGAAGCTGGAAAGTAAGCAGACCCACGAGACAATCTACTTTCTTGTGCTGGGAATGCACTGCATGGCGTGACTGTACTAATGTGTACAGAGCAACCCGATGTGGAAGAAATCCGAGCACCGCAGACGCCGAGACCAGCAGCAGCACCAGTCGCAGAGGCCAATCGTACCCCAACACCTAGATTGCCTCCATTCACGTTCCCTGAACCTACTCCGGAGCCTCAGCCAGACTTCACTCTAGTCGGCATCAGCGAGCTGAGCGCGGGGCTTGGTCTTCCGTCCGTGAAAGCCGATGCCAGTGGAGACGCTTCTACAACTGCGTCTCACGAGTCTCGAGCACATCCCGGTGCACTGTATGGTAAGCTAATTGGATGGGCACTGGAAAAGCCTCTGACCGCCAAAGGCCTTGCAGACTTTCTACAGAAGCAGGACACAGCCACTCCCACCAAACCGCCGGCTCTATCATCGGTCACTCCCACCAAAACTGTTCCTCAGACGACAGAGACAACTCCCAAGAAGTCGCCACCGCGCTTAGCCAAACCCAAGGACACGTCCACTCCGCGCTGCGTCGCCGCACCAGCACCCAACGAGACCATCACGACCCCCAAAGGCCCATCCGCGCAGCACCAGCATCGCCGCAGCTCAGTATCCACCACCTCGCACCACCTACACAGCCGCATGCCCTCGCACCGCCGCTTCCCCCGCCGCGCCTCGCGCACAAAGCGCATGGACCAAGGCCCCATGCCCTCCTCTGCCGACATCTACCCCGACGACGCACACCCCCCACTGCCCACCCACGAACACGCACACCCGTGCTACCCGCCCGCCACCCCCATCATCGCCAACCCGTTTAACTGGCCCCCGCCCGCACAAGCCTACGCGCCCGAACCTCCGCCCTCGCTCGCCGACATGCACGCAGCGGACACAGACGTGCTGGCGCTCATCCACGAGATGCCGCAGCCGAGCCTGTGCACGCTGGTCCGGCTGGGAAATAGTCACGATCTGCGCGCAACGGGTGCGGTGGGCTCGCGCCATGCTTTGGACGGCGATGCGAGGGCGCTATCGCCTGCGCAGCGGGATGGGAGTCGCTACGGCATTCGGTTCTGGGGGATTGGGTACGGAGACTCGTGGGAGGTTGGTGTGGCGGGGACGTTCGAGCAGAGCGAACAGTTTCGCGTGAGGCCGAGGGAGCATGAGGGGTGGGGCGGGCGGCAGTGGGCGCGCGTGCGGGGATGGGGGGCTTGATGTTGGTGATGGGAGGGAGACGCTGGGTTCGTCGGTACGATGGGCTCAGGGTGTTGTCGGCGGTTGCGCGGTGTGGTGCGGGATGGTGCTGGGAGTTGGGTTCTGCATCGCACCGCGCGGTGGCGTAGATGCACATAGACGGTGGGTATCTTTATACATCTCTAACACTTAGCCTCAACAGCTCCGTCGCGGCCCTGGCGCCGCCTTTACGCATTCAACGGACCACCAGTACTCTTCCACATATTTATGGGCAGTGACGATTCGAGGCCACTTACGCATCGGGTCGTGATTCTAATGCATGGAGACACCCCGGCGTGCAGGAAGAGCGATATGGATACAATGACATCACACGATGGTAGGTTGTCAACGGCACTCCGTCCACATCCTCGTGCTTTGTCAAGCGGTGTCAGATCTGCGGTGCCCAGGTACAGCAGATTCGAGTACTGCGAGAACAGCTCGGCCGTCGTCTTGGGTGTAGGGAACATCTTCGACTGCGCCTGCCACATCTCAGGCAAGAATCCGAAGATACCGAACCAACGGTCTCGGATTTCGGTCGCCTTGCGTTCTTTGGTAGCGCTAGTCACCATGCCCAGTGGAACGCCCAGACCGTCTTGAGCTGCTTCTGCAAGGAACCAGCGCTGAGCGTGGACGGCTCAACACTGCGTGTAAGTCGCCCCAAATTCGCCGTCGTCGCGATTGGATGTCGTAATCGGTTGCCCTAACCACTTGTAGAAGATCGAGTTGTTGTGGTGCCACATCGATTCCACGCCATCGAGCAACCGCGAGAGCCTAATCGAGTATGGAGGAGCGTGGACGATCGGATCAGCTCGTGGAAGCTTTGCTTCTCGCAGTGTCCACACGCGCGACTACCATGGCCGAGTGACGAGCCAGCGGACACGGTCCATGACCGCGAGCTAGTTCCGGTGAAGTATGTATCGACGGGTGCGTTCGCCGTGTACAACCGAGGTGATGATAGGGTAAGTGTAAAGGTGATCGCCTTTGGCCATGTCGTCCAGTATATCTAGGGTATGTAGGAAGATGTCGGACTGACACTGGGCCGCGAAAATATCAGCTGCATGCTGACGGAGAGATTCGAAGCCTTTCTGCTCCAGTAGGTACGTGGGAGACATGGAGCCTCCCTACTGATATAACCTCCACTTCTCTGGTGTCATATTTGGAAACTTGGAAGGGCGCTCCATCAACGTCGATGTGCTTCGTGCTATATCGGTCACCCCACATGTAGGAGAGTACTTCAAAGTATGGCTCGTCATCCAACGATATGACCTGAAGCTTGACTCGGATAGGCTCATCGCCTGCACCTTGGCGCAGTTGTAGTATCCGGATGGTGGAGCGGTTGAGATCTATCCATGGTGTTTCCATTTTCGTGTTTATTTTCTCCCAACCCAGATCGACAGGCTGTACATGCTTTCTGCTTCGCTTCGCTGGAGGCGAGAAGGGTCGTGTTAGCGAGCCTATGTCACATGGGATCTTGTCCATGCTGAGTGCAGAAATGTGACTTTTAGACTTGCAGGGAAGGAGTTTGTTGATCAAATGTCAACCTGATCAGTAAGGGGACCGTCTCCAGACACGATGATTGCATGCAATCAGGTGTTGGAGAGTAGGGAGCAAGGCTAGATAGCTGCAGAGCCTTACACGCGCCGTACTGGCCATCAGCTTCAGCCTCGCGCATGTCGCGGGTCGCAGTCTCATCTGCCATCCAATGACGACACAGCATGCCTTTCACCAGTATGGTGGGCGTTACGTGCCTTGTAGCTCGACGTTCTGGCGATGAGGCTGCGGAGGGAGATGCTGAGAACTGTGCTACATTGCGCTCGCTGCGAGCAATTTTACAAGACGAGCGCGATCAATAATGTTGTCGCATGAAGGATAGTGCGTAAGTTCCGTGAGGCGCATTAATGCCATGTACCAGTACCTAGGCGACCCCACTCGTTTGTCAGCAGTGCGAACTCCATCGTGGCCTCCACAACCACCATGTCTGACTTCGCCGGCAGCATTAGCATTAATTTGCTACTTCTTGCCGATCCTTCTTCTGTACAGGAAGCGTGAGACTCATGAAACGCTCTGATGATCTGCAGCTTGGCAAGCAGCGGAGATTGGCAGACCATGGTGAGGTCGGGTGAAGTACGAAATTTTACCAAGAAAGAAGGCTGCGAGAAGCAGTCATGTCAGACCTAAGGTTCGGTCTCCTGCAGGATTACGACGATACAAGTCGGCCTTTCAAGCATATCGCATCTCCAGTGTTCCGATTGCGAAGATGCTTTCGTCGAACGGTCGAAGAGGGAGATCAACGTACATTTTATCTCGCTAGTAAGACGCTCCCTTGGTCAAGTGCTGGACAATTAGGGCGAGCCCCGGCGCAGCTGGTCGGCAAAGCGTTTACTGCAACTATGTCATCCGCATCAATGACCGCATTGAAAATTCGGGACAAGGTATCACTGGGAAAAGAAGTGCTGGATATTTCTTACCAATATCCTCTAGGCAGCTGGGATCGTTTCACTGAAAATTTCCCGAACTTCGATTGGCTGGGTGTAAGAAGGACCAGGTCTACAGGGTTCGGTTCCATATCCCTGTCCCATTTAACGATATCATTGAACACCTTGTTCAGGACACGAAAGAGCCATTGGAGAGTCACGTTCCACTCTTCACATGTGTACGGCTTGTACATAAACGATGCGTGTCGGAATCGAGGTGAAGGCAACTGCGGGGGTAGATCCTACAATTGCATAACATTTTTGGTACGGGGCTTTCGGTAACACGCTGCATTCCCCTAATTTAATATCGAATTCGGTGATGTCTCTTGTGAGGGGTAGTGCTGTTGTCTGATTGGATAGGTGGGTTCACATACAAACAGCTGACTTCTCACTTCACGCGGTTCTTCACCCTAACGACACCAAAATGACGACAACTTCCGCACGCAAAAGAGCTGGAAAGCGTGCAACCAACGCACTCGGTAAGTTGGGCACGTTCGCCTGCAAAAGCGCATTCTGGGTATGCTGCAGTCCTTGCATCTTGTGCGCCCTATGTTACATCAAGCCCAACCCACGGAGAACAAGCTGCGTTGTTAATTCTCAGCCACCTCTACGACCCACAACACCCGAGCCTCGTCTGCGGCCACTTACCATGCCAGTCATGGAGATGCAAGACGATCAGAAGACTTTTGACCAGTCACAATCGCCATTCATCAGTAGGCTTCCTCTGGAGATACGGCGCATGATATACCTTGAGATGCTAGGTGGTGTCACTGTAAGGCTCAGAACAGCCGATGGAAAGCCTGTAGCTCAGCGCTACCTGTGCGACAGCGATCTCAAGGAGCCACTGTATCCACGCCGGGTCGAGCTCGAGCTCGCACTCGCTGTGTTGAGGACTTGTCGCCAGATGTAAGATGAGCTTTCCTGCGCTGCAGATGGCTAGCTGACTTTTCACAGATACTCTGAAGCGATTGAGTACCTGTATGCCTCCAACACCTTCTCCTTGGCTACTTGGGATGATGACTACCCAACCATCGACTACATGTCCTACTATTTCCTGCCACAGCGACTGATTCAAGTCCAAGACTTACGTATCGACTGGGAATTAGACAGCTTCTACTTCAGTCGCCACGACGGGATCACCGCGGACCAGCTCCAGTTCGCAGCGTGGAAGAACTCTTGGGCCGCCCTACCAGTCATGACAGGTCTTCGGAAGCTGCATGTCACCATCTGGTTTAGATGGCGCGACATGATCGATTGCTACGAGGAGATTTGGGAGCCCAACGAGAGAGCACTACTGGAGCCTGTTGGATCGGTCACAGCGCCGAGGAGTTTCGTCCTTGTGTTGCCAGATCGCAGATGCTCAATTGATATCGACATGGGAGACTCAGCATGTGTTCTCGAGCTACCGAAATAGACAGTCATTATTGACGGTCTCGAACTGGCGCCGGCTATGACGATATGAAAGGGTACCTACCGAGGCAAAGTGAATCTTGGCCTCTCACAGCCAAATCCCGCATTACCTATACCTATGGAGACTATCAGCTCGGCTGAGAAGACCAACTGGGTGACTGACGCCGGGAAGGATTCGCCCAGAAGACCTCAAGCTCAGCTCGGCAGGTACACACCATTGGGCCATCACTGTCTACCACCAACGTCCGAATCTCACTCCATCATTACGCAACGTGCGCTGCAACGTGCAACTTGGCACGAGGTTGGCACTTGGCGCTCTAGCCGCCTTCGCACAGCTCCCAACCTTCTCAATCGACTCGTCCAGTTTTCCGTCAGCCTCGTTCCAACACTAAGGAATTCCGTCTAGGGTAGTTCTCCCACGTGCAGAAGATACGGTGACCATCTGGATGGCGCTGCTGGCCCGCGTTCCATGTGGCTACGCTCTACAGCGGAGTACCAGACAGATAAGAAGGCCCGGTCGCCAGTCAAATTAACCTGCAGGGACGATCTATCGCTCAGTCTTCAATTATTTGGGCTTCAAAATCTCGAAATGCGCTCATTCGTAGCTTCTTCACTCGTGCTGGGTCTTGCCTCAGCTGCCGTCTTGCCTCGTGCTGGCGATCACTACCCCGAGAAGCATGGCAGCAAGCACAATCACACCAAGCTCAACGTCCAGGTTGGCGACAGGCCCTACTTCCTGATCGACGACATGGACGAGGGCTCGCTGAAGGACAAGCTCGAGAGCTGTTCAGAAGGCCCTTTCGCGCCTTCTGACTTCGTTTTCGCACATCGTGGCGCCTCCCTCCAGTATCCCGAGCATACTTATGCCGCCTATAGCGCCGCTCGTCGCCAGGGCGCCGGTGTCATTGAATGCGATGTTGCCTTCACAAAGGACAAGCAGCTTGTCTGCCGTCATGCGCAGTGTGATTTGCACACGACAACTAACATCCTCAACACCACGCTCGCATCCAAGTGCACCACACCCTTCACCCCAGCGAACAGCACTGCCCTTGCTTCGGCCAAGTGCTGCACCTCTGACCTCACACTCGCTGAGTACCAGACGCTGTGCGGAAAGCAAGACGGCTTCAATCCCAACGGCACCACGGTTAAGCAATACATGGATGGCACCCCGTATTTCCGCACTGATCTGTACTCCTCCGGCTGCCCCAAGATTGTCACATTAGACGAGTACATCGACATCGTCGACGGCTGGAATCTGAAATTCACCGCCGAGCTGAAAACGCCCGAGGTACCCATGCCCTTCGACGGCTACACACAAGAGCAGTACGCCCAGGACATGATTGATGCGTTCAAGAGCAAAGGTATCGCTCCCGAGCGCGTTTGGCCGCAGAGTTTCCTCCCGAGCGATATCTTCTACTGGATCGATAACGAGCCCGAGTTTGGCAAGCAGGCCGTGTATCTCGACGAGCGCGTCGACACACCTGCCGGGTATGAGAATGCTACTGCGTCTCTGCCCGCGCTCGCAGCGCGCGGCGTCAAGATCATGGCGCCCGCTATGTTTGCGCTGACCAAGGTCGACAATGCCACGGGCCAGATCGTGCCGAGCGAGTATGCGATCGCGGCCAAGGAGAACAACCTCGAGATCGTGGCCTGGAGTTTCGAGCGCTCGGGGTGGCTGCAAATCGGTGGTGGCGGATACTACTACGACTACGTGAAGAGCGTCATCAACAAGGACGGAGACATGTACACGGTGCTGGACGTACTGGCCCGGCAAGTTGGTATTAAGGCTATGTTCAGCGACTGGCCGGCTACAGTCACATACTATGCGAGCTGCTTTGGCCTGTAGATCTAATGCCTATTGAGAGGGTTGCCAATACATAGATATGTAATGTATTGGAGAATGACCATCATATCTGCTCTGCAGCTTGCACTATGATAGGAGCTACGATCTTCAGACTATGCTCCGGGGCAGAGGTCCCGCAACCATATTTCACTTTGCAATACTGTAAATGATGAGTGGTGATCATTGGCGATCACTCCAGTCCACACTAACGATTCTTACATGCGAAAGGTCCGCTCCACAAACCGCTAGGGCTGCTCCACGGCTCCGCCAGGTATCCGTAATCGTACCGCGGAAGCACCCATATCCCTCTCGACATTGCAGCTCGCATACGGCAGTGTAAGCTCGAACCCGTCTTGCGGTGCCCGCAGCTTCACCTTCTTGACAGGCTCCATAATCGCAGCCTCGAGCTCGAGCCAACTGCTCTCCCATATCCCCTGCGCGCTAGGATCCACCAGCGTCACTTTGAGACTTTGCAACCCCTTCATACTAGCCATTATACTCCATCCTTTCTCCCAATTCTCCGTGTCCTCGCGGTACGCCAATTTGTTGGATCCAATCCGGCGGAGATAGGGGAGTGCACGGATCGTCCAGCGCAGACGGAGGTGGCGGATGGAATCGAGGCGAGACTGCGGGATCCGTTTGGGCAGAGCGAGGAGATGGGTTGTGTGGAGGAGTGCGAAGGTGTGGACGCTATACAGGTAATGTATGCACTCCGAATAGCTGTTCTGATTAGCATGCTGATTACCAATACAGGACTTGAGTGATTGACTGAGAGAACAGTGAGGGGACATACAAGCGTCGACAGCTCCTATTCAATCCCAACTGCCCGACTTGAAGCTGGGGGAGGGACGTCTCGAGCACCGACCCAGCAACCACCACACGGCATGTACAAGTGCCGATGTGTTCCCGCGTGCAGATGAAGTTTCCAAACTTGGTTTCTCGCCGGCCTAGCTTGTCTTTCTTCTCGCCAATCGTGAGGTGTATTGTCTCGCTCTCATACAAGTATCCATATACCATTTGTCGGACCTCCAGCGGCAACTTTGCAAAAAACGTGCTCTGCCATTGGAAATTCGTACGCCTGTCTAATTCAGGGTCCGGGACAGACGTCAGACTGATCGCACTCTTACGGGGCCTGAGCAATTGGCTTTCCTTGGGAATTGGGGGCGTAGTTGAGGGCCCGGCCTTGATGTGAAAGGTTGTGCGTTCGTTGGGTTTGTCTTTGGGGTTCGTTGATGGTGTGTGGCGGGCGTCTGAGTTGGATCGTTGGCTAGGGTCTTCTGAACGGATATCTGACGGTTCCCAGCGGGGCGTCGCTTGTGAGAATACGCTTTTCAATCTTGCTTTCATCCTGGTCTATTCTTTCCTTCAATGGTTGAGTAGAAGCGACTGTACGCACGCAGACAGATAGAATTCAAATGAATGTAACAGACCGGGGCGTCAGGGTTTGGGAGGCAACCTTTATCAAGCTGCAAAATTTTGGGCGTGCACGCTGACGAGTTGTACTCGGGTTGGACAGAGTGCAACGGGTGGTACAGGGATCGGCGCTGTTGCCGGGTAAGTGTTGGCCCTGAACTCGGTCTGGGGTTCGTGGGGTGGAGCAAGACTGTGGGGTCGGACGGAATAAATCAGGCCGTGTACTTCGTACCTGCGCTGGCATGTGAGCTTAGCCAACACCTGCTGGAAGAGGCTCAACTTGCTTTACTATGTATACATTGCCGTGGTATCTTGGGCAACTTGAGCGATCCAGTGACGGTTAGTGAGCAGACTGAGCGTTTCGCATTGTGTCACCTTGCGAGGAAGGTCGACCTGTGAAATCCGACTTCAGCCAAGATTGTGAAGTGGAACCGCCGGATACTTTCGTAATAATTCGCTCAAATAAGAGGAGCAGTTGAAAAGCTGCGCCAAGAACTTGGAGATGTATAGCCATCAACGGATTGCAACTACGCCTTTGTGGCTTCGGAACCCAGCGTCTACATTCATTGATGATTTTGGCCGGTCCCAAAGAGGTTTGTGATTACGCATGTTAGGAGTAGAGTCTTTGCATGAGAAGAATGCGAGACAAGTGTGTTGACGGGATGCGGTGATAGGAATAGATGTGGAACGTGGAAAGAAAGAGGGAAGGTGTCGAAGGCACGCAGGAGCGTCTGTGCAGAGGTCCTTCTACAAAGACGCTGTCAGGCGTGGAAGATGATGTAATGTCACGTGACCACTCTGTACGAACGGCTGCGTCTCTCGCCAAACAAACGTCCTAGGCGCACTTTGCCTACCTTTTATTGATCAAGAGCCCAGTCATTCAAACATCGAAGTGGCTACCCCGGGCTTTGCTGATTTTTCAAATCGTTGAGCTGCTCAAGTCAACTTGCTTGAGTTGCAGAGGCTCTGGCAGCTAGCAACCAGACACACACATCTTCAAGCCGCGGGCGATGGACCAGTGCGCTTCATTGCAGGTCTCTAGTCATTGATGAAGAACCAACTGTAAAAGGCGCAGTCGCTCCATTCAGCACATGAGCACGCTCTCCCAGCCCTTGCCATGGCGATTCAAGTAGGTGTCTGATTTGTCGAACGAGGCTATTGGCCTCCTGCGCGCGATATGATATGACTTGCTTATAAATATTCTCTACCTCCCAACACCACACTCCAATACGATCCAGCGAGGACCCAGCGCATGCACAGCACAGCGACGTATCCAAAAGAGAAACTCCATCATCAGATATCCGCACTACACCCACGTCACGCGGCAGCGGCCTTTGTCTCGCCCGCACTTTTGGCCTGCTGCTCCCTCTGTAGCTCTAGATTGAGCGGCCGCTTCGGGTCGTAGCCGACCTGTTTGACGATGCCGAGGCCTTTCGTGCGGCCCTCGCGGAAGAGGATGCGGTCGCCGACAGTGAGATACTCGGGTCGTTGTACGAACCTGAACGCGACCTGGGCCCTGTCACCGGTGCGGATGTACTGGCGGTCGATGTCGATGATGGCGCAGGTCTGCGACACGGGCCCCACGTGCAGCATCGCCTGGTACTTGGTCTTGATGGTGGTGGCGTGCGACAGGATCAGGACCTCGGCGACGAAGTCGCGGTAGACTTTTGGCTGGGGGATGATGCCCGTCTTCTCGTCGGGCTTGTCCGACTTGTGCAGCACGACCATGCCTTTGCGGACGTCTTTCCGCCGTACGTTGCGCAGCGCAAGGCTGGCGGACTGGCCGGCGGAGCAGCCCGGCACTTGGATTCGCTTTCGCTCAATGGACCGCACCTTGGTTGTGGTAAATTGGCCGAGGCCGTCGGGTCCGACGAGGATAGTGTCGCCAGTGTGGATCTCGCCGGACTTGACCACGCCAGACACGACGGTACCAACAAAGGGCACGGAGAAGGTGTCGTTGACGTGGAACTCGAGAGGCAGCGAGCTGTCGTAGTTGCCGTGATGCGGCAGCACGTTCAGGAAGGTGCGCACGAGGTCGAGGTTGAAGCCCGTCACGTTGGACACCTGAAAGATGGGGCAGATGCGCCGAGAGACGAACTGGGTAGCGGTGTTGATGCACTCCTCCCTGTTCTTGATGAAGACGGGGATCTTGCGCGCGCCAGGCGACTTCAGAATCTTGCTCAGCTGGGTCATGGTCTGCTCGAGGATCTGGGGCGGGCAGATGTCGACTTTGGTGATGACGACCATGACTGGGACGTTGAGCGCCAAGGCGATGCCGAGGTGCTCCTTGCTCATGCCCACGAGACCGTTGTTGGCAGCGACCATCAGCAGGCAGTAGTTGGGCTCGCTGGACAGGAGGCCGAAAACGGTAGTGCGCAGGTAGCGCTCGTGGCCGGCCAGATCAGTGAAGCTGATGACTTTCGCCTGCAACGGTTAGCAGCAGCGCGTCTAGACGTGGAACCCGTACGTACAGCGCGACGCCCAATCTCCTCCCAGGTCAGCTTGCGGCCAGCGGTGGTCGAGACGACGACGTCGCTCTTGCTGTCGAAGCCCATAATCTCCATGCCGACGGAGCTGGTGCGCCCGCTCTCGATCTCGTGCTTGTGGCGGAACAGGTTGACGCGCGCCTTTCCGCGGCCGTCGTCGAGCCCGCCCTTGACCAGCACGCCCAGCATGGTGCTCTTGCCGGCGTCGACATTGCCAACGACGGCGATGCGCGTCTCAATGACCTCGTCCACGTCGTGCGGGCGGTGTCTGACGATCAGCTTGCCGCTGAGGCCCGTGTCTTTTGCGTCGCGGGGGCCGACCTCGACGTCGCCGCCGACATTCCGCGTCATGAGGACCTTGTAGTCGGCCTGGATGAGCTCGCCGACGGCCCCGATGCGCTCGAGGGCAGCGTCCCAGTCGGCGCGGGCGAATTCCATGCTCTCACCCGTGTCTTCAAGCCCGACGTCAAACAGCACCTCGCCGTGGCCCTCGGCCAGGCGCTCCGCCACGTGCTCGCCCAGCGCGGCGACATTCTCCTCGGCGGGGCCGGTTAGCAGCGTCCTCAGGCGGACGTGTGGCTTGGCGTCGTCAGTCAGGCCGAGCTCGTCGAGGATGCTCAGCTCGTCGTGGTCCTCGAGCGTGGCCGCCGCCTGTCCGGGCCGTCGCAGCGCCTGCTGCTTCTGCACGTAGTCGGCGAACTCGGAGAGGGCCTGCTGAGTCAGCTACATCCAGCGAGTGGGCGCCACGGCACTGACCGACTCGCCCTTGCGACGCTCGACGGGGTTCGATTTGGGTGCGTATCGCGAGCCCATGGCGGTGTGAGTGTGGCGCACTACGCCGTGTGTGCTATGTGTCGATGTCAAGTCGTACAGGCGTCGCGCCGTAGTAATACGTCGTGTCGTAATCGGGCGTGGTGCTGTGAATGTTCCATGAGATGTCGTGGCCCGGTCGCTGAAAGCCGCACAGGAAGTGAACTGCAGCGTGCTGGTCCGTTGAGCTGGTCTTTTGTGCTGGTCTGTTGTGCTGGTCTTTTGTGCTGGTCAGTTGTGCTGGCCAATTGTGCTGGTCAATTGCCCCGGACGCAGCTGGTATTTAGAGTGAAGCTCCGAGTCATGGGCCGATGACGCTTCGAACATGACCACCGCGGACCACCACGTACCACCACGAACCACCGCGAACAAGGGCCGCGACTGGACTCACCACCCACGGTGCATCGTTATTGGTCACATGACCCAATTGTTGACTGGACGCCTGCATCATGGCCGTGCACTCGTCATCGTATTGAAGCTGTATGCTGCTGGCCCACTGCGCCCTACCATCGCCGCTGCCTCGACTAGGTGACTCAGCACCACAGCTTTAACGTACAGACTACAACAGGCAACAAAGGGCGCAAAATTCGAGTAACATGTCACATGAGCGTCTACTCTAAACTCGAGATGGTACTTGACAATCACGTGAACCACGTGAATCACGTGAATCACACCAGCCCTGCCAGCCTCACGACGCAGCCGCAACGCCGCGCTCACCGCAGTACTTTGCCACTTCCTTGTCCAGCGTCTCGCGCTGCTGGTTGGCGACGTCCATGATATCGCTGGCGCCATTGATTGACTTGCAGAACTCGAACGTCTCGGACATCTGCGCAAGCACAGCGCCCAGCTGGTTTGGCAGCCACTGCATACGAACATTAGCACGTAGTCATCAGGAGTCATCAGGAGTCATCAGGAGTTATCGGGAGTCACCAGGAGTTATCGGGAGCCACAAAGGGAAGAAGGCGCTCTTACCGTGACAATCGGGCTGCCTCCCGTCGCCGTGGGGTGCGCAGTGTGCTTGAGAATGTACTCGCGCGTGAAGCACCAGTGCCGCCAGCGGAAGTCGCGCACCTGGTCCAGAGCCTGGAGGTACAGCGCCGCCGACACCGAGTCCTGTTTGGCGAACTCGCGCACGCCGCTCTCCTGCGCGCTGTCACGCACCGCTTCCAGAAACTGCCGGTGGTTGCCGGGCCGGTACTGGCGGAAATCCTTCAGGATGTCGGTCAGAGGCGTCTCTGGCATCGAAATCTGCAGCAGGTTGTCGCACATGGGGATCTGGCAGTGTCAGTCATGCAAAGTAGCAAGGCAGTGCCAGTCATGCAAAGTAGCGAGGCCGTGCCAGTCATGCAAGTAGCGAGGCCGTGCCAGTCATGCAAAGTAGCAAGAGATAGTCCAACGTACCATGCTATCGTTGGCGCCCGACTCGCCGCGGAACGACAGAGGCTCTTCGCTCACGCCCTCGTAGATGACGCCATTGGGGAACATGGACTGCGAGGTGATGCCGAAGATGAACGTGCGGAAGCTAGTGTAGCCATTCGGCTTGCTCTTCTTCCACATTGCTGTCGCGCGTTAGTCCAGCCCCATGCGCAAATCGCGAAGCACCTACTGTTCATCACAGCATTGACCTTCCTCAGAGCAGCGACCAACGTCCGCAGCCCATTGTCAAACTGCTCACGGTCCTTTGCCGAGCAGCCGTTCAGCATCTCGGCCGCGCCCTCGATAAGCGCACCAGACTCCTTGACCATCGCGATGTGCACCAAGACAAACCCTGCCTCGGACGACTCAGGATCCAGCCCGCACTCGAAAGCACGAATCAGCCTCAGATTGTCATACTCAAGCCCCTTGCTCTCATCCACCAGACGGTAGTTGAACAGCGCATAGCTCCCCGCATACTCCATGAACGGCTTGAAGCCCGCGCTACAACGACGTAGTCAGCAAGGCACCCATCAAAAGACAGAAAAAGCAGAAAGAGGGGGACTCACAGCTCAGCAACTTTGACAATAGGCAGCGCAATGCACCTCGGCAAGCTCTGGCGTCCCAGCCCGTACCCCTCCCCACGCATATGCCGCTCATGACACGGCTCGAACAAGTACCCGCTAGCCAAGAACGAGTAATCGCGATACAGCGCATTCATAACCACGCGATCCTCCTTATACGCCTCCACCGCGTCGCTGAGATCCGGCAGCTCGGCCAGCACCGCGTCGCCGAACTCGAACGTCGCCAGCAGCCCGGGCGTCCCGTCGAGCCGCTTAATAGGCATCCGCTGCAGCAGCGATTCGAGGATCGCGAACTCGGAAGGCAGAGACACGATGGGGTTCCCGCGGGGCAGGAACCCGCGCGTTGTGCTTACCATGAAGGCGGGCAGCGTGTGGTCTTCGGGTGTGGTGTCGTGCATGATGGGGAAGGAAAAGGGCTTGGGAGACGCCATCGTGGAGGTCTTCCGTGGATTCTGACGGATGTATGGGATGGGAGTGAGGGAATATGAGGGGGGTGAGGGGGGATAAGTGATGGAGAAGACCTGTCGTGGTACCAGGTGTTGAAAGAGATGGATGAAAGGACGTCGAAGACCTGAAGATGCTCAGATGGGCAAAGACTGGACAAGATGTGCTGAGAAGGGCTGTTCTGCCAAGACAAGTCTCTGTGTGTTGGGGAGAAAGAAAGACGGCCCAAACTGCGACTCCAAGCTGCTTATATCTCGAGGCCGGTTTGATTCCGGCCACGGAATTGGCCCTCACCTTCCCAAGATAAGGATACGTAATCGCTGGATCACTTGCCTCAACTGTCGCAGTACAGCCGTATACTTCCTGCACTGCCCGGCCTCGCGTTCCACACGCTTCCAGCGATGCCCATAGTGTTTGCGCGGCACACCTCGATGGCGCCAAGACCCGCGATGGTGTCGCAGCAGAGCGTCGGGTCGGTCTCCATGCGCCTGCTTGGGCAGTCTATCTATGTCTTCGAGCGATTCTGGATCGATTCGATGCTTCCAAGCATGCTGGGTTCGAGCGGCGATGTATCGTGCCTCACTGTACACTCTCTCTCATCCCTTCTCTTCACGATGATCCCCAACAGCCACGTCCCAGCACAACTTTGAAAGTCACCAACAGTGTCGGATTGCGCTCCCTCTCCACACCAAAATATTATAATATCAAGTCCAGACGACATCTGCACTCCACACCCGTCCCTCCCCCCCCCCCCCCTCAAAGACCGCGTCGTGTGATGTGATGAAGCGCGGCGTTGAGGGCGCGCTTATGAGCCAATCAGCGCGAAGCCGTTGGAAACCGAGCGCGGTGCGTTAGCGCCGCGACACCACCGTGCAGACGCGGAGCGCAGGTCCGAGGCAGGCGTGTCGCGTTACTTGCCTGTGTGTGCGATAGGCTTGATTGAGTTTCATCAGAGCTTCTATCCCTGCGTTATCGCTGGGTGCTGGGATATGTCCTAGTCCGTGGCTCGCGGTATGGCCTGCACTAATTATCAACTCTTTTTTTTTCGGTTGTCGGTCTGCTTGTGTCCTTTCGGCCTTGCCGCTGACAAACGAGTGGGGCGGCTGGAGGTCCTCACAACACTCACCCCCTCGTGCATCGACAGCCATCAAAGGCGCTTTTTAGTCGCCACTTTTACCATGAAAGTTTCGGATAATGACACATGATACCAGCAGAGGTGTGCTTCTGACTTCGATAGCATGACACCTTGTGAACGAACCGCTTTTACTGAGCGACCACAAAATTGAAACAACCATGTCGAGTGCGCACAAACCAATGCTATATCCCAAGATCACTCAGCATGTAGCCCAAGTAGTTAAAGCTCTGAAGAAGCTGGAACGCGAAGGCGAGGCCCTAGACGAGTATTACACGTCGAATCCCATCCCCCTCGTTGGGTACGTCAAACTGCACGGCACCCATGCAGACATTGTAGTCTACAACGACAACAGGATCATCCTGCAGTCGAGGAACGTATCCAACATCACTCCCACGAACGACAACTCGGGTTTCGCCGCCGCGATGGCGGACAAGACAGAGGCTATCCTCGACGTAAGAGACCAATACATCGAACGATGGAAGGCTCTCAATCCAAGCATGGTCCTGGAGCCCCAGCATCCCGTCATCATCGCAGGCCAGTGGATAGGCACCGGCATCCAGAAAGACGTGGCCGTGTCCCGCCTGTCGTGCCGCGGCAAGTGGGCGTTGGGGAAGACTGAGTAACCAAATATCAAACTCGTAGTGATATCCGTCATCAGCCCGCAGTACACTATCCGCTAGACCACAAGCCGCTTCTTATTTCGAAGCGGTCGTTGCAGGGAAAGAAACGAGGACTCAGGCATTTAATACTCAGTCCACCCGTTGGCCTTTGGCTACTGTAGACTTTGAGGAACTTACGGATGCAGCTTGCCGCGTGTTCACTTTTACTCTAGTGTGTTTCGCTGCCCTTGGCGTCGGTGTGGAGTGCAGCACCGCACCTTCCCCAACGATGCCCAAACTCGTTACTAAGCCAAGAGAGTGCATGCTGCATGCTCAGCTGTACCGAACGACGATGGATCATGTGACGCGGTATAAGTTCAGCCCTACGCGGCCAAGGCGCGCCGATCAGCCGCAGTCCGTGCATCATCAACTTTTTGGACAGCACCACGCGCAACGCACCTCGCGACTCGCCCACTCCGCCCACGATGCCGCCGCCAAAATCCAAGAAGCTCACCGCGCAGCCAATCCGAACGCGCCAATTTGCGGGTAAACCCGGCGCCGCCCCCGCCGCAGAGCAGTCCAGCTCCTCCGAGTCCGAGTCCGAGGACGAGCCCCAGCCCAAGCCGAAGCCCTTTGCAAAGCCCAAACCGGCGCCCATCGCCTCCTCGTTCCCCAGATCTGCGCCCCGGGCGAAACTCGCCGCGCGGCCGAAACCGGACATCGATGAGGACGAGTTCGAGACCGAGAGCGAAGACGGCAATGCGCAGGGCGAACGCAGCGGGTCCGGCAGCGACGAGAGCTCAAGCAATGAGGAGTCGGGCTCATCAGAAGAAGATGATGACGATGACGACGATGAGAGTAGTGCCGACGAAGCCCCACGCAAACTCGTCCGCCCCGTCTTCATAAAAAAAAGCGCGCGCACAGCCACCTCGGCGCCAGCACAAACCCCGGAGCAGATGGCAGCCGCCGACGAGGCGCGCCGCCACGAAGCGACAAAGCAGCTCGTGCAGGCGCAGGTCGAGGCGCGCCTCGCCGAGCGGGCCGCCGCGAAGAAGGACTGGGACGATGACGTCGAGGACGCAGACATCAACGCCATCGACGACGCCGACGGGCTGGACCCCGCCGCCGAGTTCCTCGCGTGGAAGCTGCGTGAACTGCACCGTATCAAGCGCGAGCGGGTGGCGATCGAGACGGCCGAGGCGGAACGCGCGGAGGTGGAGCGCCGACAGGCCCTGAGCAAGGAGGAGCGCGACGCCGAGGACGCGGCGCACATTGCGAAGCAGGCCGATGAGCGGGACGGCAGGGGGCCCGCGCAGTTTATGCAAAAGTACTTCCACAAGGGCGCCTTCTTCACCGATGAGCTCGCCGCGCTCGGCCTCGACAAGCGCAATCTCATGGGCGCCCGCTTCGAGGACCAGACGGATCGCGAGGTGCTGCCCGCGTACATGCAGATCCGCGACATGACTAAGCTGGGCAAGAAGGGCGGCACGCGCTACAAGGACATGCGCAGCGAGGACACGGGGCGCTGGGGCGACTATGGCGACGACAGGCCGAAGAGGGGGCAGGAGGAATATGGCCTCGATGAGCGGTTTCGGAGTGATGCGTACAGGGGCAGCAGAGAGGAGGGGCCCAGTGGAGCGAATGCGCGGCCGCTGGGGGAGAGGAAGAGAGGCGGCGATGAGGGCGGCAGGGAGGGCAAGAGGCCGCGCATCGACGAGCGGGCATAGCGACGCAGCGGCAGTACTCAAGAGCGAAAAACGGTTGCATTGGGCGGCGCGTGGGACGGATACGGATGCATCACAGGCGTCTTTCGACACATTGCATTTACCGTAGGCTCAGCACCACCATGGACCCTACGTTACTCACCTCCCTCGGCCTCCCTCCTGCACCGCCCACACAAGCACGGCTGCTCGAACCACGGCCACATGCGCTCAATCCTCTCCCTCCTCGGCGCGTCCTCGACATCCTGATAGCTGTCGAAGACCTCCTCGCCCTCTCCAATGTCCCTCAACGCGAAGAACCGCACCGTAGTACTCCCCCCCTCTTTCCTATACTCGACACTTGGCTCGCAACTATGATTAAACAGCGGCAAGAACGGCGTGATCTCGTCGACGAAACCCAGCTGCGGGTCGCAGCTCCCCGCCTTGTTGTTGGCGAGACGGCACCAGATGGCGTGTAACACCATAGTGTCGAAGCGCGCGTCGGCGAACACGTCGACGCCCAGCTGTCCCAGTATCTGCAGCGGCGCAGCGACTGACTCGGCGAGCGTGAAGACGTCGAGATGCCCGCAGTTGGCGAGCGGAGAGAGCCGGGCGATGAGCCCGTGGTCCAGAGGGTGCATGCACGGGCCGGCGGCGACGCAGAGCGCGAGGAAGCGGAAGAGGAGGAGGGGACGCATGGGGCTTGCGTTCTCCTGCAGGGACGCTGCGGGGCTGGAGAGCCAGGAGAAGTCCTGCCCGCAGAGGGCGCGGTGGTAAGTATCCATCGCAAGGTCGCGGCACAGAGAGGAGCAGAAGAGCGCGGAGCAGCAATCCATGTTGATTGGCGCTGTGAGGGGCGCATCGTAGCATGTCTCGCAGTGCGGGAGTGGTGGGGACTGGCTCACGGCGCTGGTCGCGGTGCGGTCGATGAGTATGCATTCGCCCTTCGTCACGGCTCGGGTTGCGAATACACCCAGCATATCTGCGACGGGCGCGAGGGTGCTGCTACCCACGCGCAGCGCGGGGGGCTGGACGTTGCGCTGCAACTCGTGATTCACGTTTTCAATCACTTCGGGGCTCCGGCTGCGATGGCGCCTCTCCATCCACGGGTAGTGCACGGTGACCACGCTTCCATCGCGTAGTCTGTCGCGCTGCTGCTGCGGTGTGCCGCTGTAGGGGGCGGCGGCCTGCTTCTTCTGCGCGAGCAGCTGTTTCAGTGCGTTGGCTTTGGTGAGTGCTAGGCGCGATAGTTGGGGGAGGTGTTTGGCTTGTGTGAGCTCGAGCCAGAACTCGAAGCACTCCCAGTGGCAGTGGCAGTCGTAGAGTGCCTGGCCCAGGACGGCGTATGCGTTGATGCGGACTTGTTCGTCTGGAACGAGCGGCTCTCCTAACCCGTTACTGGGTCCCCGGCGGTCTGGGGCTGCGTCTGCACGCTCGAAGAGCAGTTTTGCTCTGTACGCGTCGCCGACCGCAAGCTCGGGGTAGTTCAGCTGCAGGTAGTAGTCTGCCCGCTCCGTCCAGATCCCGGCATTGTAAGGATCGGCCTGGAGACGCGTGCTGCACGAGCTCGCCGCCTCAATCAACTGGCCCACAGCTTCTGGTGCCGGCGAAGGCGTCTGAACATCGTGCGTGCGGTATAGTGACGGCCTCCAGGACTCCATAGCAACAGCCTCCGGCATTTTCAAGAGCATGTAGATAACTCCTCGTTAGCATCGTTCTTGACCCCGCGATGCGTGACGTCATAGTAAGAAAGTTGTCCTGGGTGGCCTGGGAGAGGACGCTGATGCTCCGAATGCTCGATGCTTCGGTCGGGCTGTGACGATCTCATCAGACTGGAAACGACGGTCTGAACTGTGCTGTGGGTTTACTTTGAGACGCCAGCTTGAGGACGTTGGCCGCCGAATGATGGCCGAAATGTGCATTGAGCAAGGATGTCTTCACATAACGCTATGCCGACACGGATTTCGAAGCAACACATCTCAATCTCAGTATGGCTCTGATCGCGACTACCTCGCATCAAAGTCTAAATACCGGTATGCCGGGTGAGGCGTGACGGCCACCGATCGCGCTTCACTACGCCATCCGAAACCCGCCTAGTCCAGCCTCACATAGAAACCGGGACCCACTCCCGGATCACCACGGCCCTAGCACGCCCACCGATGTCATCGTCCATTCTCTGCTGGATGTCGTGAACACACCCCAATATGTCCCACTCTTACCAGGACGAGGACGAGCCAGCCGCCGTCCAGCCGCGGGTGCGTTATGAGGGCGAAGACACCAGTCCGACGACGACGAGAGAGCTCAATGGTTGGTATGCGTATCCCGTTGCGGCTGAGGTGTTTGCTGTGGTTGCTGTTGGTACGTATTCATCCGCACACATTCATTTGCATATGTTGATGTTCCAGGCGCCTTCCTCCCTGTAGTCCTTGAGCAGCTTGCGAGAGAGAATGGGCATTTCTTCTCTGACAGGTCGAAGCCTTGCGTCGAGCATGCCGGAAGTGTGCGGATGCGTGCTGAGAATGGTACGGCGGATGGCCAGAAAGAGCAGTGCATGATACGAATGCTGGGCAAGGACTTGTCGACAAGCAGTTTCTCATTGTACACCTTCTCGGCGGCTGTCCTCGTACAGGCTATTGTGCTCGTGCTGTTCAGTTCGTTTGCTGATCATGGTATGTCTTGCATATACCTATGCTCTACTCGACGTGTACTGATGTTTTGTCCAGGGCCGTACCGCAAGAAGATGCTCATGATTTGCGCCTACACTGGCTCGATCGTCAGCATGCTCTTCATCTTCATAACGCCTTCGATATACTACCTTGCCCCGATACTAGTTATTCTCGGGGTCACCAGTCTGGGCTTCTCCTTCGTCCTGTTGAATGCTTTCCTGCCATTACTAATCGCTAATCATGCTTCCGAATCGGATCTGAAGTCTCTCAACTTCGAGTCGTCTACCTCCCTGGACCAGGAGCTTGAGAGCTTCAATCCCAACGGTGACAGCGGTGGGCATCGAATGAACCCGGAGAAGCTAGCCAAAGATCTGAAACGGTCTGCGGTCATATCCAGCAAAGCTGTTGGCTACGGCTACATCGCGGCCGTCTTCGTCCAAGTTATAGCCATTGGAATCCTTTTCGGTTTCAGCAAAACTTCGTTCGGCAAGGCGCACCCAACCATCTCCATGCGTGTCATCCTCTTCGTCGCAGGGCTGTGGTGGGCGGTATTCACCATACCCACCCTCCTCTGGCTCCGGCCCCGTCCTGGCTCGCCATTACCTACAATCCAAGACCGCTCCTATGGCAAGCAGCCGACGAGGCTCAAGCGCTTCCTCCACTACCTCTCCTTCTCCCTCGGCTCATTCTGGATCACGCTCCGCCGTGCAATCCGCCTCCGTCAAACACTCCTCTTCCTCATCAGCTGGTTTCTCCTCTCCGACGCCGTCGCCACTATCTCCGGCACCGCCGTGCTCTTCGCACGCACAGAGCTGCAGATGAGTACCATAGCCATCGCGCTGCTGTCCATCACCTCGATTGGCTGCGGCATCATCGGCGCTTTCGCGTGGCCGCGCGTCGCAGCGCGCTTCGCCCTCCAGGCCAAAACAGTTCTGCTGCTGTGCGTCGCCGGCATGGAGATTATCCCTCTCTACGGTCTGCTGGGCTACGTCCCGCTGTTCCAGCGCCTGGGCTTCATTGGGCTGCAGCAAGCATGGGAGATCTACCCCATTGCCGTCATCCACGGCATCGTCATGGGCGGCATCAGCTCGTACGCGCGCTCCGTGTTCGCCCCGCTGATCCCCGAGGGACGCGAGGCGGCGTTCTTCGCACTCTACGCCGTCACAGATAAGGGGAGCAGTGCGTTTGGCCCCGCGCTGGTGGGTTACATTGTCGATCGCGCTGGGAGCATTCGTCCGGCGTTTTTGTTCTTGGCCGTCTTGGTCGTGCTGCCTGCGCCGTTGCTGTGGGTCTTGGATGTGGAGAAGGGAAGGGAGGATGCGAGGTCCATGGCGGATCATGAGGTTGTGGGGAGAGGGAGCTATGAGAGGGTTGGGCTAGGTGTGGAGTAGTATCTTTGTTCAGAGGGATGGAGAACTACGGGATGACGCTACGACATTATGATCAATCAAATAAAATAAGAGCATATCTGCAAGAGAGAGACTTGTGTCAGTTGGGGCTTGACAAACTTGGACTATGTGGTTCCGCGCATGGCCCACTTCTGATTGAGGCCTGGGATGGGGAAGTCTCCGGGCTGGGGCACCCACTTGCTTCGTTTGTAGACAAGCGTCTGTTCTGACTGGCGGGGATACGTTCAGTTGATCTCTTTGCTACTGAAGTCGATTCCTGGGTAGGAGACGCGGTCGTTATACGCGAAATCCTAGATCTTGTTGCGGAGCTCGGCTGGTAAGCGGAGTAGTAACAACTGCAGAGAGTTTTGCGATGTGCTGGTTCCACGTCAGCAATTTGCGATGCTCGAGGTACTCGGCGCAAGCTGGGAGATATCCACAGATCTACGGCAGTCTTTGATGTAGAGCTGTCGTGGCCGGACCCTCCATCAGCATTGGCTTTTTTGGTGGTTCTGCGCTAGTGAACTCAGCACAGCTCTGCTCAGAAAGCTTGTATGCTTCGCAATTTTACTGGGTTTACTTCGATAACACGTCGTCGGCACTGGCTCGTATCTTGTGCTGGAGGGCCTTCTGGGGCCAGAGATTTTCAAGACCTTTGGACGCAGCGAGGTTTGTTATGCGTTGCGCTTTCACGTATCTCCGTTGTATCGCCTCGAAGTCCTCCTAGCTGTAAAGTCTAGAAGCATTCCACGAACTTCCTAAGTGTGTCTTTAATTCCCTTGCATTTTCTAAGCAACATGATGAGGTTTCGTGGACTGGACGGGCTTGATGTTCTTCTCTGATGCGCAACGTAAGATGATATTCAGCATGTATACACACTACCCCATATAAACGCTAAACCATGTCTGCATAATCAATGTAACAACGTGGCTCACATCACATGATATCATATTGTAGCAGGCACTGCCCGGTGGGCAAGTGCACTTACCTGAGAGCTGAGAGCTTGTGTAACAACACACAACACGACAACAGATAGCAATACAACTGTTGTCGCAGCAGATATCATGCGTATTTACCAGCCAATTCAGGGGTGCTAAAGTATGTACATTTTGCCTCCTTTTTGGCTGCAGCAATTGTTGATCACAGTCTCTGACCGACACTGCTCGCGCAGTTACAATCAATGACCTCGCTGAGCGCTACTGCCTTACCGTGCCATGCAACGGTGGGCACGCCACGAGAACGACAACCCCACGACCAGCATACGCCACGGATCAGAAACTTCTTAGTCTTCAGGCAAAGACTCTTTCGTCTTTGGCATATGTTCCTGCAGTAGCCGTTCGTTCTCAGCCTTCCAGTCCGGAAACAGAAGGCCTATGTCCTGCCCCAGCAACACCGCTCTCATACTGGCTGCCAAATCCTTGCGCAATTTCTCCTGAAATACCTCATCTTCGCGGCGCTCGAGGTATGGGTCCTCCCTCCATCTCCTGTCCTTAGGATGATATGGGGGAGGCTCACACCATTTCTGCTTGTTTCCCTCAAAGAGATGGATATGAGTAACTTCGGGCTGGAGATGATGTTGCTGGAACGCGCGCAAAAACATAGGGAGCCAGTTTCTTTCTTCGTTCCATGAAGGGCCCTCCATTCGGCTGCCGTGAGACACAGTGCCATTGGGCTTGCCGTTGCTGTCGTATTTCCAGGTCATGCGTGTGCCGGAGTAGTTCTCGTCATCCTCGACCCCACGGCCAATCAGCAGCATGAGACCCTGGAGGCTTTCAAACTTCTTGATCACGTTCGAGCATCTTGCTGGACTCCAGATACGGTTGTGATGCTTGATGCCGAGCCCTAGTTGGACGACGAGGAAGCGCATGCGTCGCACGCTGTGTTGCTGCGAAGACGACAGTATGTACAGATCGATGCTGCTGTCGACCTTGAAGGTGGCAGATGCATAGAGAGTGTCCATGGCCTCGGTCCAGAACTGTTTGCTTACAATCGGCCAGAAGAAGGGTGTCCTCGTGCCGGCTCTTCTGGCATTTGCACAGCATTCAGTCATCTTCGTCGAGGAATTTGTAACCTGCTCAGGCTGCTGGCAGAGACAGTATTTGAAGGCATAGTGCCCTGAGGGCTTCATTTTCTGGTCGACACATGCTGGCTCAGCGTGTAAGACCAAAGATCCGTATGCGTGACTCCAGATTCGCTCGCGCAGATTCTGAGGTAGCTGAAGTAGAGGCGACTTTTGGTCTGTGATCGTAATCATCACTGCTTTAATTGAAGTAAGGAAGCATTCGGAGATTGATTCTAGAAGATTGGATTTAATCTTGTAATCATGTTGCTGCCTGGGGGCGATCTACCTGTGGACGCCTGAACCAAGACTAGACGTGATACCCAAGTCATTAGTGCACGGAACAGTGTAAGTCTGGAGAGGCTGTGCTGTCATTGTTGCTTGCATCCCCTTTCCAGAAAATATTTTCGGGATGTTCCGAATGGAGTTGTAGCCCATTGCGATGACCGGCCTTGAGGTGGAGCCGGATGTCGCGACCCGCGTGCGAGACCCGCCGAAACATTTCGAGAACCCCAGTTTTCCCCATCACTATTCACGATGGTAAGGCTGCCAAGGGTGATAATCAAATAAGGCAGTATTGAAAGACTTCTCCAGCGAAGCGGCCTGGGCTGCATCTGGCTGCCAGCCCATACTCGACTCTTCACGATTGATGTGTGTCGTGACAAGTTTTGGATCCAATTTGCGGTGCTGAAAAGATCGTACGGCAAAGGGCACGATTGGGTCCCGCCAGCGCACACCGTGCACGATGTCGATGTTGGAGGATAGGTATGGGTCAAACTGACCCTCGGTCAGCACCAATGTAAGACCGTTGAAGTCATCAGTATGCCCACAAACGGGGATGATAAGGCAGGCTTCCACTCCACCGCCTCGACCCAGTCTCCCACTTCAATCTCAATCTCAAGATGGCGAATTTGAGTAAGGTGCGGACTACCTGACAGGAGGAGGTCGCCGAGTGCGCTAGGAGAAAGGCACACGGGTGTCATAGTCGTCCAGAACACTGGTTGGACTTCCCACCAGAGCTGTTTACTCGCCGGAGGGGGCTCAGAAGTAGCCTATCATGATAGTGGCTGCGAAAGATACAGACGCCTGCAGAGCCCCCTCGGATAGAGACTCGATACTCAAACTTGTATCTGGAGTGGTCGTCCGGACAGTCCACATAAACGAATTGATTGCCAACAGCGTAGCCTAGGACTTTCTGCGCATTCCTGGTGGGAGTCGAAGTAGAGGTGACTGGGTAGCATTCAGTGTCGTGCTAAAGCCAATGTTAGTAACTACAATCAATCTCACGTTCGGCCGCACTTACATGTTGTTGAGGGCTGTGTTTTGCAGCCCTGAGCAAAAGACATGACTATGCACTGCAGACAGCTGAGGCTTATCTCTAAACGCGTCTGGCGCTTACTTGCAGAGGTGATTGATGGCTGCTTCGCCATGCTGCGCTTTTTCGGTGCCATGGCGAGGTTCCAGCTGATGGCGCTGAGTTGCTGCCTCCGCAACTCTCAGATCAGCGACAGGCGCATGCAACAGCGAATTCACCGAAGGTAAATTTCCCCCAAAGGTAATGCTACCAGAGCGCTCGCATGACCCTTTCTTGTGAGTCATATCAATATGCGAAAATGACGTGGACGAGATGCAGTTGAGAGGGGGTGCAAGATGAGGAGGTTGAGGCCGCCCGTACCTACAAGAAACAGCCTACCTTGCTACCTACATGGCCTGAAATAATAATGAGGCAGTGAAGAGCAGCAGCATTTGCGCCCAGCCATCGCTCGCCAATCCTCGTAGCATCAATAGGAGGAGCCGGCGAGCGTGATCGAGAGGCCGCCCCTCAATATGCTGGCACTTTCCACCCTCGAGGCCCGAAGTTGCTTTGCACCGATCCCAACCACGCCCATCGAAAACCGACCGTTGAAACAGCACCACTGGAAAGGTACATTCGACCAGTCTAGACATGTCGTCATCATCTCCTTCATCTCTCGATGCATGTTCTTCATTCACGCTCAGGGTCTTCCTCGCAGGAAATTAGCTCGCCGAACGCTTCCAGGCTTGTTCTTGATCAGGCCACCAAGTCAAGCCAAGAATCGCGGGCCCTCTCGAGATCATTGATTTCAGATGATCGTGCCCTGTGACAACAGAACGCAGGACTCGGGATTCGGTGGGATCCAGACGGAGCACGCGGAGCTCATGGTTGGAAGGAGCGCCGCGCACAAGTGCGAGTCCCACTCGCACAAAGGCCCGAAGGCCTGGATTTGTCGCCGCGCGAGGGCAAGTGAAAGCGAGGTTCTGCGAGATCGAGCCCTGGAGGTTCCCTACGATCTGCCCAATCAACATCATTTGTCCTCGAATAATTATTGAGCAATTATAGGTTCTGTTTCTCATCACGAATAGCTGGGAAAAGAAGTGGATAATGTCTGCTTTTGTTCAAGACCTGGTGGCTGCCCAGGGCAACCCCGGATATTCTCATTGTGTCGCTGACTGCAGTCTAGCTAGTCGCGGCTGATCCCTTGAGGGGCTATCTAGTTCTCCTTTTCCATGAAAGCCCACCTAGTCGGTGGGCCTGTTCCGAGCTGGAGGCTGCTCATATCTAGGGGTACAGGAACGCCAATAATGCTGATGTAAAACAGGTCGGTGACGTAAATCCGCCGACGATATGCACGCTAAAACGCTGACAAAGATGTTGCGGAGCAAAACGATAATTGACGCATCCCTGTATGTGACCGTGGAAAGATTCTGTACAGTGAATGCAGTCCTCAACGGAAGACCGGCTGCTGAGGGACGGGGAGTTGGTTGAACTGGTGCTGCTCGGGCCACGCGCTGTGGTCCATGTACGGCAGGGGACCAGCTCGACGGTCAGTCATTGGACGACCGAGAGGGTGGTAGTGCATCTGGTCGTAGGAGATGTTGCGAGCAGGGTTCTGAATAGAAGCCTGTGGCGGAGGCACTAGCAGGGTGTGTACGCCGCGGACCGGACGGTACGGTGACTGTCGCTGGTTCAAGAAGTAAGAGGGAGACAATTGTCGTGGTGCAGCGGGGAAAGAGGCACTAGTCGGAGATGAGTTATTCGAGTGCCCGAAGGGACTGATCTGGCGAGAGCGATCCGCGGTAGGTGTGTGGTGCGTAGAGAAGGGAGTCGTAGCCGAGGAGGTTGGTGTACTGACTGGCTGCTGCCACTGGACCGGCGGTGGATACACCATGGCCATGGAACGGTTGCCAGAGGCCGGCAAAGGCAGATCTGACCAGCTCCTGACCTGAGTAGCAGGCATGTGCTGTTGCTGTGGAAGTGGAATAGCAAGGCTTGGCAGGGGGGGCAATCTGTTGACCGATGGCGGTGGCTCGAACGACTTGTTGATGGGCGTTTGCAATGTCGATACAAGTGGAGCATTAGCGTAAGGTCCAGGTGCGAATCCATGGGCCTGTCTTTTCATTGGCGGTTCAGCGCTGTGATCAGTGCTTCGCTTGCGTTGCACAATGGGTCCTAGAGGAGGAAGAGATCCAATAGGCGAAACCTGTGCAGATGTTGCCTGGGGCTGCAGAAGGGGGGTGTTGTTGGAGAATGCCAAGTGACTGGGCGAGTACATGGTGGTTGGCGGAGAAGTCTGCAGATTCGTGGGAGATGGAATGAAGTTCTGTGGAACCGCGAGCGAGGGCGTGGGTGGGCTAATCTTGCCAGCCGCAGGGGCCTTCGAAGCTCGATCGTAGAAGGTGCCGAACTTGCCAAGAACCTTGTGCCACTCTTCCCATTTCTCTTTCGATGTGTACAGGCTGTACCGCATGTTGCTCAGGAACTCAACCTCCATGATGTGGACCTCTTGAACCGAAATACCAGACACCTCCGCCCAGGTCTTGTTAGTGTATGTGTTGTCATCGAGAAACTTGTTGCCGAGCATCAATGCAACGGTCAAAAGTCGATACTCGCTACCAGGCTTGCCCTTGACGCTAGGGTTGGTCTGCTTCAACTTCCACACGAACAGGAGGGCCAGGAGGATGACATTCTGAGCGACCTGCGTCGTGGTCAAAATAGTTGCTACCCATTTGCGGAATCCGCTGGTCGGTATCGCGTCCGGTACGAGGGGCTGTGTCTGGTGCGGGGACAATTTGGGATCTGTGACCTGGTTCAGGACCTTGGAGCTTTCGAACCAAAAAAGGCACGTTATCTGTGCCGATTAGTATTACTCCATCGTCTCGGACCGCTGCTGCACTCACCTCGGCTGCTAATTGGGGCAGTCCCTCCTGCGGTGTGCTGATGGTCGAGGGGATTCGGAGGTTGGGTGATATCGACCACTTTTTGCGCGGTGTCTGGGCGACTTCTTGTGGTCGTTGCTGCAATTGTCTCTGTGTGGTGGGGCTTATCGTGGCTGTTGCTGACCTAGAGTTGCCGATCGCAGGTAGTTGGTAGCCAAACTGCTGACCGACACCTTGGTTCGGCGGTAATGATACAACCTTGATTGCTGAAGTTGTTGACTCAGGAGGGGTCAAGGGCCGCCTGGACGCTGACAGCTCATAGCCATTTGATATGCGAGGTATGGGAAGCTGCATCTGAACGGTACTCGAGTCGAACTTGGTGGTGGGTCGAGCTGCGGATGAGAAGTGGAAGTTGAAGGAAGGCTCCCGGGGGAGGGCGTGAGGCATCGAACGGGGTAGCTGTAGCTCGAGCATGTGGACGATGAAGGTGAGGTGGTTCGACCAACGGTGAAGGCGAGATGAAGGTGAGGTGGTGGCGACGTTACGGTGAACGGGCAAGCATGGAGGAGGCAGCTGTGCTTAGTATAGCGCCGTATGGGTGTTTGCAAATAGACGACACTATGGGGCCTTCACGACACGGGCGTGACAAGGGAAGTGGTGATCCGGCAGGTGGTCTTGTGTCAAGCAAGGACGCTGTTGACAACGAGTCGTTGTAACTTGTAAGAAATATGCGAGTCCGCTGGGCCTATCAATGCAACCTTGTTTCCGGGTGGGCCACGGTTGCGAGCGTCGGTGTTTTGTGTCCTTGGTTCGCAGGCGCGAGGTGCTAAGGTGAGGCAAAGGGAGTGCAGGGCACGATAAAGAAGATGCAACAGGTCAGTAGTGGGCGGGTGAGAGGCTTTGGGACCGCTTGGGTATAGTGGTATTGACTATAGTCAGGGAGGCGGATTGTCGGTGGCCCGCTCGCAGCTGCTGCGCAGACATGGCTTTTGGGGCCGTTGGATTGATACATAATTCCTGTGAAGTCGGAAAGACCCAGGCAAGCCCCAAGAGCTGATCCAGAAGGAGAAACAGCTCTGACATCAACCGCGCCTGCTCGCTAGCGTCCCTAGCCAGCTAGCGCGCTCGGCCGCACAAAGCGAGCCAGAGCAGCGGACCGGGGGGCAACACGAACGAACGCGACGCCAAGGGTACCGGGTTAATTATGGGACAAAGCCTCAGCGCTGCATCAGCGATGATGAGCGGTGCACAGATGCCTGTCCGCGTCGTGACCGGCGGAGCGAGGAGGCCCTCAGCGCTCTGGGAGCAGGGAAGCATGCCAGCGGCGAGTGGGGTGGAACAAGGGTTGTCGCCGTCGTGTGCAGCAGCTTGATCACAAATTCACAATCGTCCTGTCTTTGGCTGCGCGTGTTGTGTTGCAAGCAGCGCTCAGACGACTCGGTGCTGCAGGACAAACCCGGCTGCGACTGCTGCGCTGAGTGGCAGGCCGTGTTTGAACCACCCGGTCAAGAGTCAAGCCGCAAGATCGTCACAGTTCTGTTGCCGTCGACTCCCGTCACGCTTGGACGGCACGAAGTCTGACTCTCCAGAACGCGGTTTCGCACGCTAAAGCATGGTGTGAAGAAGCAGCGAGCTTGTTCGACCTCGTCAAGCGGCTCGGTGCTGGCGCAGAGGCTTGCGTTTGCTGTGGCCCATGGACCACGACTGGCTGGTCAGGTCGAGTCTGCTGTGGAGGCTGCAAGCGCTGTAAGTCAGGCCAGCCAGGTCAAGTGCTCGCCGTCGCCGTGTCCGTCATGGGATTTGATTATTCACACGGCCGGCGACCGCCATCTGACCCACAGTGCGTCTCCGTCGCATCGCTTTGGGAGAGTCACGGCCTCGTGTCGCCGTGCTATGCCCAGAACGTCACCTCACTCCAAGTCTGCGCCGCCGTCCGGTCCCCAGCCTCAGCGAGCACCGCGGCGTCCTATTGGTGCTCAGGAGGCGTCGTGCGCGTCGCTTTATTAGACACCACCCGGTCCACTGTGCAGAGCGACTCCTCACAGCCGTCCTTCGTCTGCCACTATCCGTGGCACACCATCATGACCAGGCAGAAACAATAGCGCTGGCGGGCCTCATCAATTCTCTGCACGCCAGTAGGCTTGTCCCCCGGAGCCTGCGGTGCCATCCAAATCCATACGACGGCTCCTGTGAAGTGAAGATTGCGAGATCCCTTACGCATGCATCACGGGCTGCTGCATTGCCCACCCTAGCCACGCCCACCCTAGCCACGCCCACTCGACCATAGACTTTGCCAGCGTGCAGCAGGTGTAGATGCAGCATCAAGTCCCCGTAAGCGGCTGAGGAGCCACTGGGGCTTGGCCGGATGCAGCCGTTGTCCTATAACTCGGACAGCGTCGTGCAGCTTTGCAGCCGCGCAGCGCTGTCGACAAGCCGTAGCCATCACCCGCTTTCTAGACACCGCAAAGGGTCGGTGCTGCGTCCATCGATGGCTGTCAGACACCTGCCCCCATGCCGTGTTTGACTTCTACACCACTCTGGAGTACTCGCCCTGCTGCACGTTTTTCACAGTCGTCCCTAAGACGCCGCCGAACACCTCGACGCTTTGGCGGCTTTGCCCTCCGCGAATCTGCGGTGCGGCCGCCTTTGGTATCAGAAGCAGCGATACGAGCGTCGAGCCGCCAAACCGCCATGGCTCGCTTGTCCACCCCGGCAAGATTGCCGTCTTACATTGCCTAACCCCTCCCTAATTCCGCGCCCGAACCCTGTTCAACGCGAACTTTGCAAGCTGATGAAGGTTTGGGCGGAGTGCTGATCTTGCAATCCTCTCTTGCAAATTGTGCTGCGTCGTGTGAGCGCCCAATCAGCGGATGCACACCAGCTTGCACCACTGGGTCGTGCTGCTTTCGGCTAATCGCACGTCTGCCTTCATAGGCTGTGGTCCGGCGCTAGAGACATTCTATAAGACCAGATCAGAGATTATGTGGTTCCAAGTTGAAGCAATCTGCACCGCACGACCGCCTTCTTAACGCCCCTGGCGAAACACGTATGGACGGCACCGTGTTGCTTGCCCTTCTCTCCGCTCTGCTACCGTCGCTTCTGGGCTTCCTGTGTGCGTGAATGCCTCCAAGACTGGCGGCACGACGCATCCACTACTCACGCGCCAGCCTGGAGCCATTCACGGCTTCAAACGTAATCAGATGCCCCGAGCAGTGTGCTGTGCAAATCGCAGGCAGCTGTTCGCGGTGCGAGACTCTATCCCTGCACTAGCAACATCATCGTGAAGCGTCAATGCTTTTCGAACACGCGGTGCTTGGCCGGCAAACGTTCTGGTTAGTGATGGACAACGCCTCTGGTGAGGCCAGCAGCGCTAAATGTGCGACCGTGACGGGGATTGCAGTGGGAGGCGCGACGCAAGGGAGACACACCATCCTGGAAATGAAAAAATTGACCATCCGTGTCCTGCTGCCGCCCGTGATCCTGCTTGACGTGACTTGTCGTTGGCATGGTGGAGCAAAAGGCGAGACGTCTTGTCATCATCCTAACAAACAGCAGGGGTTTTGCGCTTCGCCCTCGGCGTACCACGTAAGCAGTCCTGCATTTCTCCAGCGCCGTGAAAGACCGGCAATATACCTGCCCGACACGGCTAGCTGCCTCCCACTTCAATGAAGGGCTGATCACATCAGGCTGATAGCATGCTCGGCTATCTGTGCATGTTTTGGCATGGTATCCAAACCTCACATCACGTCTGCAGCCCTCAGCTCGACGTAATCATCCCCAGCACACCTGCACGACTTCTACAGTGGATCGTGATACGACTTGATAATGCCGTAAAGATGGCCTCGCCAGGGAGCTAATTTGGTAGGCGTCCACCCTTTGACACGCACCTGCCGCATGCAACGAATATTGCGAGAGCGATCCCGCAGACTCCGACCGGATTGTGGAGATGACGAGCTGGCTCGGATGCAGAGGTACGAAAGTAGTTTTCATCAAGATTAGTGGGGGCGTGATACGGATGGCACTCGGCATCTCTTGCTATACGAGTCGTTGCCCAGCCGCCCTGGAGAAGCGTTGGGTGCAACCCGTCTAGCTGAGTTTGGAACCATTATTAGCTCCTACCTGTAGCTCTTCCATGGCGCGCTGAGACATACCGCGCTTCGACGCGTCCTCACACCACGATCTATCCTGGAGCAAGCCGGCCTCATGCCTCCAACAGTCGTCTTTGCCGAGGACTACTCGCCTAGCGCAATCTACTCGCGTGCAACAGGCGGCCTCCTTTTGCTTTATTGACCTGTAGCGCACCAGGCAACGGACCCTGAATGGCCATCGACACTGCATCGATGCAAGCCTCTTGACGGGACATCCACATTTTGGACGCGTTTCGCCTCTTCGTGTCGATCTGCCAATTGCACCCAGATTAATGCTATTACCGATTACGACTTCATCACGGCATCATTTGCAATTGCGATACGCTTCAGCCTGTCATCCGGAACACGACAACAACATCATCCGGCTTTGACGGAGTGTGTTCCACACCCAGTTAGGCGGCAAGGAACTCCCCAGACCTTCGGCAAGTGCATCACCCTGGAGGTATGCAACGAAAGAATGCTCAACTGCAATTCCTCTGCATGCGTGAAGGCTGTACCTCGGAATTTGGCAAACGTTTTCCCTCGCCAAACCGCAGTTTTCGGGTTTAAGTTTAGCTTCTTTACACAGCGTCTATGAGTCCTTTCACTTTCATGCCTCGCGCCCCGCCCGGGCTAGGAAAAGCAGGTAAGACGACTAACTTTCGACCAATCGATAGGCGCAGTCTAGCCCCTGCTCACTCCTCGTCTTCCAGGACCTCCGACCCGACTTCAGGGCATCCCATCACCGGTCTTATGGAATGTTGCTGTGCCCCAGGTCCCTTAACTTTTCCGGACGGCGTGTACCGCCACTGTGTCATGATCCTTACGGATGCAGCCACTTGGGCAGTCTCTTGTATCTGGCCGAGCCACGGCATGATGATGAGACCATTCCGTGGAGGCACAGTTGAAGGTTCAAAACCTGGTCAGCTTTGTGGGTGCATTGACGCTCAAATGCAGCACGGCGCTAGTACCCTTTCACCACTTGGTAGTGCACATCTGCCCTCGAGTGAAGGTGCGGTCTGGGTGCATGCTCCAGAACTGGCAACTCTAAACGGAGACAGCGTTGAATACCTCCACGACTAGTCTGCAGCAGTGGTAGCAGCGCCACACCTCGCAGCAAGCACCAACACCGACAGGTCGCAGTCACGCCTTGATTCATTGAGCGACAAGCAAGACAGATGCCCAAGGCGGGCTGCAAATTGCCCCTTCTGGCTGTCCACCGTCAAGCGCCTTTCTTCGGTCATCGGTCACAAAGCTCTGGCCACGCATCTTTGAAGAACGAACGCCAACATTTCAACTTGCCTCGCCTTTCAAGAGCAAGACGCCCCGCCAGCTGCAGGACACCCCGTGTCACATCCAGGAATGGCAGCGATGTTCCCGCCTGCCTGCACCTGTCGAGAAGACATGCTGCACGCAGCCACACCGTGCTGACATCCTCGATCAGACTACCAGATCAATAAGGCACACCATGTCCCACCAGTACCTTCATTATCTTAAGCCATTATCCCGCCAAGCCCAGGGAACGTCTGCGAGGACATAGCTTCTCAAGAACCTCGGCCCGTAGTTACATGCTCTTTCATGTGCCACCACCCGGACTGTATCCACTGCGGACGTACCTCGTGTGCGCTGTCATTCACCGGCTATTACCGCTTCTGTCTACCTCAACCCCAGGCACAATGAGGTAGTGTACACCACCACACATTGCAATGTGCCTACGCCTAGCGACATTCCCGGCAATCGATGTCGCAAGCTATCAGTTCAACTGCGTCTCGTCAGCACAGGTCTCCTCGGCGCTATCGCAATGAAGAGCCCTACAGTGGCCGTTTCCGGGTATCACAAGCTGCGAGACGAGGCTGTTAGATTCAGATTGGCACCACATTCCATCACATCGCACACAGCGCACTCGCAACTCAAAAGGAGAGCACCAACTGTTCCCTCTCAACTGCTGTCCCTAAAAGCCCTCGTAACAAGGAATGGCACCCAGGGCACCCGACATCCGCACACCGACCACCGGCCACATGACTCTCTCATCTTCTAACGTGTAGAGCAAGCTGGACGTACCCACATGGTCGTAACCTCCGAGGTCCTGTTGCTTCGCAAGTCCTGCAAACAATCGCTGAAGACCCGTGTTTCTCACACCACGGAGCGTATGCCCAGTCTCACTGACGATATGTGAGCATGCTGGCGCACGCATGGCATTCACGAGTAGAAATTTGCTCAAACACCCACCAACTCGTTTGCGCTTACAACGCCTTATAGATGTGATGTCTGACTCTAGCATCCGTCGTGTCATTGACTTGCACAGACTTGGCCTTATCGCTCATGGTCAGTCACTAGATTTGTTATACAGAACCCATTGAATCGCACAGTACGTCGTTCACCGTGATCAGCACGGCGTCCAGTGTGAACCAGAGTCAGCTTTGACAGCAAGCATGCGTATTGGCTAAACACACTGCGGGGTTGGTTGTCGCCCCCGACCGGTGGGAAAAGCTTGAGTGCAGGACCTTGAACGTTGCAAAGGCCGTATGTTGTCCATCTGCGAAGTTCAGTCTGCTAAACCACGAACTGCCAACGGCTCATGGCATGTACGAAAGTTGTGTTTACTTGCCATAGATGCTTCGTATGCGTACATGTACAGTATCTAGCTAGCTATGCCACCGGATACTCCAGTTCTACATCCCGTCTTGCAAATGTACAAACGTATGATACAGATCGTCTCCACGCCCCGTCCACTGTCCGTCTCAAGCTACCTAGAACAGCCTGTTCTCTGCCGATGCCTTGGCGGCGTTGCGCTTCGCAGTCTGGTTTCTCTTCTCCCGGGCCTCCCGCGGCGGTTTGAAGAACAGACTCGGGCTCTCGTTCGCATCTAGCGTGTACGCGAGGTACCCGCGATGCGCGGGGTCACGGTAGTACTCGATGTCCTTGCGCCCTGTCGCATCGGGCAGTCTGTACTTGTACTTTGCACTGACCTGGCGCATGACGGCGCCGAGCGCCTCCTTTCGCTGGGAAGCGTCGGTGGAGGAGGCGAGTGCGCTGAGGATGGGCGATGGGATGAGGGTGGGGGACGTGGAGGCGGCGAGCGAGATCAGGTCAGGGGAGGCGTCGAGCGAGACGACAGGGTGCGAGTCCCCGCGCAGCACGCGCTTGATGGAGGTTGGGCTGTAGAAGCGCGTTGTGATAGTGCCGCCGAGAGCTTCGATGCGGGCGATTGCTTCGGCGGAGGCGCGGGAGACGATGATGTTGATGGGCGTTGTGAGGGCTTCTGGATTCTGCTCATCGTTAGTACAGCTCTGACAGACGCCGTCGCCCGAGCCTCTGGCAGGCATTGAGGACTCACTTTCGCCAAGAGCTTGACCCCGTGGCGCTTCACACCATGCAAGCACCTGCTCTTGTTCAACTCCTTCATCGTAATCGGCTTGCTCGGGTCCAGCCTCCCCTGGTCGATCCAGCTCTGTATGCGATCCAGGTTGATCGGGCTCATCTCGACCTTGAACGGATTGTACTTTCCGCGTCCGCGCTCCGGGTTCGTGATCCATTGCGGTGTCTGACCACCCTCGAAGCCCGCAGGCACCTTTCCGTGCGCATGTTGACCCTTCTGACCGCGACCAGCAGTCTTCCCCTTTCCTGAGGCGGGTCCGCGACCACGCTTGATGCGCTTGTTGTAGGCGCCGCTGTTGTCCGAAAGCGCGGACAGGATTGAGGCGCTGCGCTGTTGGGCGAATTGGACAGTTGGGCGCGAGGTAGAGACGACGGGGCGGGCGAGCCGCAGGATTTGTAACCGGGGCGGCATGGCAGCGGGTGGCTGGGGTTGTTATGCGTCGCGTTGCGGAGAGATGTTGCAGCGGCCATGAAGAAATTCTGTGACTAAGCTGTGACTAAGCGGCTTCGTCGATTTCATATGGGACGCCACTCCAACCCACCATCCTTGCTGGCAATGACAACTGCAAATCGTTTTATACGCCAGCCGAATCCGGCTTCAAGCTTACCGCACTATTCACGTTCGTATGCTGACAATACTGGTGTGAGATGCATGATACTTGACAGATAAACTTGGGTGGTATTATTTGAGCACTTAAACGACGTAAGCTGAAAGATGTCAGTGGTCACGGCCGCTGCTTCGTTGATGTTGTCACATTTCCAGTGCGAAAAGATATCTGGTGAAATGGATATATTCTCTCAAGCGGTTCGTAAGTCCCAGCTTGATCATCGACTGCAGAAGCCCCCAGTGTCCGTGCAAGATACAGAAGGCTTACAGTTGACAGGGTATGTATCAAGTACTACGTGCGAGGCTAACCCACGCAAGCTTCTTCAGTTACCTGTGGAGAATACATCACCATAGCCCTGATTACCAATAAGACATCAATCCTCGATTACAGAAAAACATATTAGCTTAATGGTAGCCATGCATATAACACTGTGCATGATCAACCTCCACTGGGGACATCGATGCGCCACATATACAGCCCGCCTTTCACTGTTCGACATGGTTGTTTGAGCGGAGAGTTGCCACATGAAATGCCAAACATTCAGTTCGTCTCGTGCTCCAGACGTGAGACTTCAGTTCCAATACCACTCGACACTGACTCGTTCACATCACCAAACAATGGCGAACATATCCAACCACTAACACAAGCGCCTGAATGCTCTCGTAAAAGCTGCCACTGCTTCTTCATCTCCGGTCTTGTAAGTAAACCATTCCAGAAGCCTTGTGCTGGTTTTGTAATCGAATACTCAACACTTCCGGGACTGTTCGCAACTCCCGATCCGGATGATGAGCCTGCACAGTCTACTCAATGGCCACCCTTGCTGGGCGTCAGTACTAGACGATGAGAAGATTGCAACATTCGAATACCTCACGGGTGTACGATTGCTCATCCAGGTCGGAGCCAACGACGCGAGACTTCTTCGTGAAGACTTCGATGTCATGAATAGCCCGGTGTGGGATGCGACCGAGTTGCCGGCTATCATTCGCGCGTTCCAGCAGCACAAGCTCGAGCCTGACCGCACTGATTTTGCTATACTGATGATGATGAATCCTCACTCTCATCTGCCCAACGGACCTTGTCAAGAACCTGAAGACCGAACGCTTGCTGTTGTCGCCCAGTCGGCTCTTCTTGATTACCATCTTCGACCTTCGAATGACAGCGATGACGAATAAGATGCAGTCGATGCAGTAAATCTCGATGAACTAAGTTGTACAGATTCGAAAGTGTTCTAACCACATCATAGCTCGAAGTGGTATGGGCTTGGGCAGACACATGCGTAGTCTTCCTGCTGCGCTGATCCTTTTGCCAATAACATAGGCACCTGTAGCTCCGTTCGTACATTTCACGATTTCTCTCGACTGCTGGACGATCAGGTTCTCCAGTACTAATCCAGTAACCACACATGTCATCTTGCACTTCCTCTTTCCATCGTTGCTGGTCGTAGGTGTAATTCTTATCAAGCTACTCTTTCACCGCTCTTTCATCCAGTGCTCACAGCTTTTACTCAGCGTTTGCTCAGCGTTTGCTCAGCGTTTATTCAGTGGTTGTAATCTAGCTATCGTTACGAATAACGACAAGTTCGCTCTTCCTCTTACAGACCTTGTCCTAATCTATTCACAAGCTCACCCACTCAACCTCTGTCCCACACAGCTAGACTCGCCAACAATGCACCCAGTGTCTAGCAACACCATGCTCCACCGAAAATCCTCACTCAACAAGGCCCTGTTCACCCTCATACTCACCACCGCCTCCGCAGGCCGTCACAAGGAGCCCTCCCCACCTCCCACGTGCGATAACATGTGTTTCACAAAGATGCGTGAGTGCACACCCGTAAGTCGCTCTGCCCTCCTCTGTAGCACAACGTCATTTGCTGACACACTGTAGACCTGCAAAGACTCCAAGTACGCCCGCCACCCAATTGCCTGCGCGGTTGCGTGCGAATGCCAGGTCTCGAAGGCTGTAGCGTACTGTCGCGACGAGTGCGAGTACGATTGTAAGGACGACTGGCCGCCTGCGATGGGCGAAGTCGAGGGCGTTGAGGGGTAGGAGGAAGGGGTCATGGGATGGATGAGGGGTGTCATGGAGATCACTGGTCTAGGCAACAATATTGGAGCTGGCACAGGATATTCAAGAGACAGGACGCAGAGCTTAGCCCTGATCTGCGGAGATTTGACTGAATTGGAGAGACCATCTTTTATGTGCATGTACTGAGGTCACGTCAGCGGCTCGATTCCCGTCCATCCAGCGGTTATCTACTCGATTATCCATTTTTACCTTCTTCATGGCAGCTATGTCGAATATTCAAGCATCCACAATAGTGCATCACCGAAAAGTAATATTACATAATTAGGTGCAAGGCCATCCGACCTTCGTTGGGTGGATGGGCAGTATGATGATGGCAACCCTTTAACATGATTGCTGAAAAATCTTATGCTCGTCGAATGGTTGCGTTAGTGATACAGCGTTTCGTGTACCTAGGGACTTGAAGGTTTCCAGCTGACAGATATTCGGCTCTCGCACGTAATATGCATGGTTCGGAGAAAGAAGGGTCTGAACCCCTCATATAGATTCCACCGGTTCCAGAGCTCACGACATCTCCTTCAAACAAAACTTTCAACATCTGAACAAAGTGTCTCAAAATGCACTTCCTTCATTCCACCTCCGGCGTCACCCTGCTGTTCTGTCTGGGCACCTTCCTTGCGACCTCCAACGCGGCCCCCGCAAATAGCCGGCGCGGCAGTTTTATTATCCCTGACTTTGTGAAACCTCATTGGTACGGCGTCGGTAAAGACATGCCGGAAAACAATGCTCACTTTGGCCCGGCTCAGTTCTACCCTCCATCCCACCATGACCACGGGCCAAAGCAAGATCAGGTCTGCCTTCAATGCAGCTACGAAGTCGATGCCTGTGTAAATGTAAATCACCAAATCTAACTCCTAGCACCGTGTTGACCATATACAGTCCTTCATGATCACTGGCACTACCGATCCCGACATCGATGTTTCGCTGTACAGGCAAAATTGCCAGTGCACGCAGGTTCGAGATAACGCGTTCTGTCGCGACAAATGTGGCCGCACTTGCCAGCAGTGGGATTACGAGGGGCCCTACCTGACTGAATACTGCCCTGGTTGTTACAGTTACGACTGGTAGACTTGAACATGGGCTGGGCATGACGATACAATCGAAGGCAAGATCGGTGAGGATGTGCACGTGACGTGGGAAACTTCAGGTGGTGGAGCTGTAGCTAAAGTGCCTGGATCATGATCCGGAAGTGAATTATTCAATGCTCACCGCTGTCTTGCAAATGGTGCTTGCTGGTCGCAGCTCTGGTCTCCTATATCAGTGACTGCTCCTGTGGACTGTCCCAACCAATCTGAGTCCCTCCATCACACACATCACACACATTACGATCGACATCTCACACTGACAACATGCTCATATTCCAGTTGGCCATCATCTTCGACCTTACGCTCGCGCTCGCCACCACAGTCGTGGCTGGAGGCGGCCCGTACAAGCCGAACTGCCACTCCTGCACCGTCAGGGTCCGCGACTGCAAGAAGGTACCCACAAATCTGCCCTTTACGACTGAGAATTCAAATGTGCTAACGATGACGCAGAACTGTCTGAACAACTACCACGGCGACAAGTCTTACGAGCTCGCGTGCCAGGTCGCCTGCAAGTGCCACATCGGCCAGCAGAAAGCGTTCTGCCGCGAGCACTGCGGGCTCTCTGAGAAGTGCCAGATTCAGCTTGACGGTGAGGAGACTGTCGTCTGAATGCGATTCCAGAAAGTCAGTGCGCTGCTTCAAATGACAGAGTCACTTGCAGCATGGACATTATGGATAAGCGGCACTTTGGGGTCATGGAGCGGGCTATAATTTACCGAGGCCAGGGGATCCAAGTAACAAGTTTTGGACATCTAGTACAGCGATACTCTCACATGAGCATCCAAAATCTACTTTTACTCGAGCGAGACCTCTTGGTCCACTTTAGCGTCGGCCCGTGACATGTATGAACAATGCAACACACAGTTCACCACTTGCCCTCCGCACTGTTACTGCAATCAAACTCAGTTACTCAATCACTACACTCACATCAACCAGCTTCAACTCCAACATGCGCATCATCAAGGTCACCTTCTGTCTCATGGCTCTTCTCGCGGCCACCGCCATTGCTGGCCGCGACAAGCCAGAACCCAAGCCCAAGCCTTCCTACAACGACTGCGACATCAAACTTACAAAGTGTGCCGAAGTAAGTACCCTACTCCATTGTCCCGACCACTCCAATCATGCTGACAGATGTGCAGGACTGCGAGAAGGAGTGGAAAGACCCCGTCGCGTACGCTGCTTGCGCTCAGCATGCTTGCGCCTGCGCGGTCGGAAAGGAAGAGTTCTGTAGTGGAAAGTCTGGTATCGGTGGCCCTGGGAATCTTTGCTTCTCCTAGAGCCAGTGCGACGTTGGGGATGCAAGGGGACAGTCGATGGACATGTGTTGGCTTGCATCACGGATATGGATTGATTGAACTTGTTCAGCGATGAGGCTGGACGTGGAAATCTCCAGATTAGCGAACATATCTCGATGTTTAGAGATTGGTGGAACTTTTAGGGATTATATCACATTAGGGTCACTTCAGCTACCTCCCTTGTCGACACGCAGTTTTGACACTCTATTCTTCGTCTCTTAGAATTCCGGTGTGCTGACTTTGAGTTCAAAGTCATTGCGGTTATTTACGGGATGACCAGAGCAATGCTCTCTAGTCACAAAGACGGGAAAGAGCAAGTTTGTGTTTGCTCGGTCCACACTTGCACGAGTAACGATCACCGGGCACCAAGCTGTTTGCCGAAACCACGTATATGATCGTACTGTGCCTCCGAACTTTTTCACCGCACCTGACGCCAGAGTTACTGAATTTGCCCTCTACTCGATAGCACAAAGCGTCACTGCGCAAGTGTAGCAATAGTTCATCGGCTTCACATCCATCGAGTAGCCTTGATTCTCTTCTCCACTTTAGCGCTCGGTACGAGGCCATTTTGCGGGCGAGTTTCGCTTGTAGAACCAGCTCGAATGCCGGTCGACCAGGCAGTTGACCTTTACCCGCATTCACCTTGCACGGCGGTCAGCTGCCGGGCTGCCGCACTATCTATATAAGCTCGCAAATTCCTCGATATACGCTTCTCTTCTTCTTTTTCTTCTTTTTCTTCTTTTTCTTCTTCACCAAAGTCCACAACCTTCACTACGAAAGTCAACTCTTCACCACTCGATTCCGACTCAAGCTTCAACGACACATTCTACAACATGCGTCTCTCCGTCATCTTCACCGTCGTTACGGCCGTCTTCGTCTTCGTCGCCACCGTCACTGCTAACAAGCACAAGAAGACGCCTTGTGATATTTGCACCGATGGCTACAACACTTGCGATGACGTACGTATGCTGATCTATTCTTGCAGGTAATCACACTGAACATTCCCGTAGCGCTACCGGAAACACCGCAGCGAGCGCATCTGCAAGGCCGAGTGCGACTGCGAGAAGGGCAAGGACGAGACTTGCCACATGTGCGGCCATGGTATTGGTTGCGAGTGAGCAGAGCTTGGGAAGGTTGCAAGAAACTTTTGTCTCGTGGACGTGGTTAAAGTGCATTTGAGATTGGCTTTGAATATACTGTGCACGCTTTACTAGAACAATTTCGATGATAGAAGATTGGGGAGGTCCACAGGGACCTGGCATGTGTAGAAATTGCCACTCTTTTCACTTCTTTCTGTATTGCACTGCGATTACTTCTCGTTCTATTTGTCTCTATCTCATGTGCTTGGGAGCCTCCAGACTGCCGCTTACGCCTCAAGTCCTCAAGTCCTCAAGTCCTCAAGTCCTCAAGTCTATAGAGTGGGTTTAACTTACTAGCTGAAGATGCGTTCAGGATAGTGACAAACGAAAACAAAAAATCTAAAAGCTACCTTCACTGCGTCTTCCCCATGCTCGTCTGACTAGCGTGCGCCGATCACGCAGCTTTGGAAACCCGTCCAATATAAATAACTGCTCGTTCAACATTTGGGGCTCTTTCCACCTCACTCCAGCTCAATCCGCAAATCCACTCAACTATCCAACCAAATTACATCACACGTACCAGCAATTGTGTTCGGTTTCCGCAACATCGCTCTCACCCTCCTAGTTACCACAGCCATTGCTGGTAGCGACCAGCCCACCTGCGACGACTGCCCCTCCCGCATGGTCGGCTGCCTCGAAGTAACACCCGCACCCGCACTATAACGCGAGTAATCTGCTAACGAAGGCTTCAGAGCTGGGATGGAGGCAAGTACTGCAAGGTCGCCTACAAGTGCCAGCTCTCCCAGGTCGACATTTTCTGCAAGGACATGTGCCAGTACGGCTGCGACAAACCTATGGGTCCTGAGCTCCCGGCAGATCCTCCCCATTAGGGCTAGACGTGCTGGAGGCATCCTGGGGTTATGTTGGTTACCTCACTTTCAAGAGAAGATCGCACAATGACTGGCCAGGCGGAAACGAAAAAGGATCTGAGATGAACGGTAATACAATGATTGCGCGCAATGATTTGGGAGAAAGAACTTATAGTGCGATGCTAGTCACTTTCACAATCGATCCTGTAGAGGCGACAGTCTAAATCACAAGGTGGAGGGACGAAATTACATGCCTACAATTTACCTTCATTGTAGTCTCTCACCTGCATCACTGCCATCTTCAAGCCACTAGCATGCCGACTCCGCACCCTAGCTGTGTTACATATGAGTGATCATAACCACCCGTATCCACTCTTCGCTAGTATACTCATCGAACTCAAAACACCACATCGTATACAACAGCACCATGTTCAACCTCCGCACCATCATCATTACCCTCTTTCTCACCACCGCCATCGCAGGCAAACACAAGCAGACTTGCGACGACTGTGCCGTCCGCATACTCCCTTGCTACAGCGTAAGTTGTACTCACCTGTCCCAACCCCATTCAACTCCAACGTCGAATGTCAATATGATGACGTTACTGACTGGAGGCCTAGAACTGCTGGCGCGACGCTGAGTGTGTGGCCCGCTGCGACTGCTGGCTCGCCCAGGGCGACGACTTCTGTCGCGAGCAGTGTCAGTACAAGTGCACCTGATCTCTGCAATCGGCGCTTGCTTAAAGGGGCAGGATGATCGCGTGAGCGATGGGTTCCATACTTGATTTCGATGAAGAACCGGAGAATGGCTGAGTATGCCTCGAGTGCATACGGGCTCAGCGATCTATGATACTTGAGCTCTAATGCTAGTCAACACTGCGATCTATCTCTAAATCCCCCTGCACGAATCTAACGCTCAATCTACAAATGCAACAGATTAAATGGGTATGCCACGATGCAAGCACTTCGCCAAAACGCCGTCTGTGTCGTGCGGTACACGTGCGCATTTACGCTTCTTAATCCAGCTTCTCCAACGCTAAAGTCTCCAACAAATCCTTAACCTTGACCAACAACTCCGGAACCCTGAACGGCTTGCTCACGACATCATCCATGCCGCTCTCTCGCGCTGTAGCGATCTGCTCGCCCCGCACGTTCGCTGTGACTGCGATGATTGGTACGTGTTCCTGGATTTCGCCGTCGAGCTGCATGCGCCGGATCTCGCGTGCGCACTCTAGACCATTCATTTCTGGCATCTCCCAGTCCATGAGGATAATGGAAAGGGGAACTCCATCAGGCGTGTAGTAAGCGGTCTTCTTGAGCTCAGCAAGTGCGAACAGACCGTTATCAGCAGTCGTAACGATACAACCGGCTTTGCGCAGCTGTTTGGCAAGGACCCTCTGATTGACAATGTTGTCTTCCACGACAAGGATGTGGAGCGGGCCCGATTCGGCCGGTGCGGGGGCTGATGATGCAGCTGGGGCTCGTGGTGTGATAGTACCAGGTAGCTCGGCCACGATTTGCTTGGGTGTAGGTTGTTCAATCTCCATGCCTGCTACTGAGGCGGCAAGATCGCGGTTCTTCTCGGCGTGATCCATGCTCTGGCTTGTCATTGTGCGATGCATAACGGGTCGACTCGACTCGATGGTGCGCTTGCACTGGATAAAAAAGCCAAACGTGCTTCCTACGCCTGTTTCTGAAGAAACGCCAATTTGGCCACCGTGCAGTTCGGCGAGTTGGCGGGAAATGAAGAGACCGAGACCACTGCCGCCATAGTGTGCATGTGTGCGCGGAGAGGCTTGTGCAAAGCGCTCAAACAGCAGATCCTTCTCTTCTGGTGTGAGTCCACATCCCGTATCTCGTACCTCTACCCGTAGGTACAACAGCTCGCCAGTACCCCAGTCTTCGCCCGTTGTAATATTGAGGAGAGGTACTCCTCTTGTCGGTACGAACTGGAAATCCTTGGTGTATGTATCGGGCTCTTCCGAATAGGCACTGACGTGTACGGATATCGCACGCTGAGGCTCTGCTTGCGTAAATTTGATTGCGTTGGTGATAAGATTGACCGTAATCTGGAGCAATCTACTAGGATCCAACAAGACCCAGTCAATGTTCAAGTCCGTCAAAGAGGGATCGGGGTGGAAAGTAAAATTGATGCTCTTAGCCTGAACTTCTGGTTTGAACATGTTCATGGCACGCTGCACGACGGCGATTGGCTGCGCGGGCACAGGTGTGATAAGGAGCAGATTCGAGTCCAGCTTCGACACAGTCAGGATATCGTCTACGATGGACTTCTGATGCTGTACGCAGAGGGCGATGTTGTTGGCCGCTTCAATACAATCTGCCACGACTACTTCGTCTGCTTTGCTGAAGCCGTGCTGGGTCAGCGTATCGCGGATGTCGTCTGAGCAGATCAAAATAGCAGATAGGGGATTGCGCATCTCGTGCGAAGTGATACTAGAATCACGTGTCAGTCGCTACGACCAAGGTGGATGAAGGATTTGCGTACTCGATAAACTCATTCTGTTGCCGTTTCGTCTCTTCAGCTTCGCGCAGTCTCGTCTCCTGGAGTCCTTGCGCCCATTTGATCTGTGAAATATCGGTGATGGACCCCATGATGCTAAGAATCTCGCCGTCAGGGCCTATCTCGGGAGAAGAATGGGACATGACCCAATATTCGATGGGGTTGCCACTGAGATCGCGAGGCTGCACATGCGAATTGTTGACTTGCAACTCACGAACGCAAGTCTGCTTGGTCTCATGGAGATCATCCCACATATCTTGACATGGCCCTTTGCTTTCTTCGGCCATCAGCTCCAGGAAGGAGAACTCTTTGCAGCCTTCTCTTGGATGACCAGTCATCTCAAAGTACCTGTCATTGCCTTCCAAGAGCATGCCGTCTGGGTCGAATAGGTACATGCCCAGCGGAGACAGCTCAGTCATACGCCGCATGCGGCTCGTCTGCAATGCCAACTCTTTGCTGAGTTGTTCCCGCTGGACTTGAGCAAGTTCGAACGCGCTCCTGCTCCGCTTCATCTCGTCTTCGAAGAGCATAACGGATGCAAGTGATGTCGCGAGTTGTCTGTTCATCTGCGCTGCGAAAGCTTTGTACTCATCGTCATAAGCCCTTCGTGGTTGCACACCAACCAGCAAGAATGCGAACACCTGCTCCCCATTCGTTGGCCGGACAGGGAAGATGATAGCTTCCTTGCATGGATCACCATATCCTCGCCATTCGATGCCTTCGAGCAGAGATTCGGGTAGTGTTCCGTCTCTTGTCTGCAATGTCGTTGGTTCGCGTGTCCTCATGGCCTCTCTGAATGCTGGGACGAACCCCTCCTGACTGCGTTTGAGATCCAGTTTCCGCGGCGACGCAGGATGTCCTGCAGGAATGCCGATCGAGCCTTCCAGTAGACAAGATTTGAGAGAGATCGTGCTGTCTGATGAGTGAGACGCTGTGTCTGCATCATCATTGTCGACAATCGAGTACAACAACGCGAAAGGTACGTCGATGGGATTGTGCTCAAGCCCCTCAAGCAGACGTAGCCAGAATTCCTTCACGGTGCGTGTCGCGCTGAGACGCTCACTAAGGTATCGCAGCGTTTGCATCCTTCTGGTGCTAACAACCTGATAGGTGGTTTCGAACGGTATATTGTAGAAGCCTAGGATCTTATCGGTCCCTCCGTACATTGGAGTAATGGACCAGGAGAAAAAGCACTCTTCGAGATAACCAAATCGTTCGAGGGGCAGGTGATCGTTCTCGATCTGTGATGCTCTCCCTGTATCCGCGCAGCCTTTGAACACAGGCGCAATGCCGTCCCATACCTCGGCGAATGGGCCTGCCATTCCAGTACCCATGAGTTCTGGATGTTTGTTGCCAGCGACCTCGACCTTGTAGGCCTCGTTGTAGATGACTGTAAGCTCCTCACCCCAAAACATCGCTGTGGGATAGGGACTGCGAATCAACAGATTAACGACTTCTCGAAGGGCTGATGACCATGTATCCATCTGCCCGAGCGGAGTGCTCGCCCAGTCGATGCTCCTTATGAACATGATATGTGGGTCCATAAATTTCCCTTTCGGTTGGGCAACTGTAAAGTCGGGGGTGACATCTTCTCTTGTTTGTATTGTTATAGACGAAGCGAGACTCGAGGCATTCGAGCTAGTGTTGGTGATCTTGCTGAACGGATTCGATGCAACTGCTGAAGCAGTCTCAGATTTCGGATATGCTTGGCGTGCTGTGGGCGCAACATCTAGTGCTGAGGTGACTGGCGCTGATGCTTTGCGGGCTTTCGCTGCCTCTGAATCGCGCTTGACGATGGCTGGTCGCAATGGCAGGGTAGCCGAGAGCCCACTCTTTGGGATGTCGGATGCACGGTACAACGCGTTGCCAGATATTATTCGCCACCTTTGGCGGATAGTAGATCCAGTCCAGAGCAAGCCTTGATAGAGGATAGTCAAGGGGAAAATGTCTTTCGAGTTGTTGAACCTGCTGATTCCTGTAGCCCAGATTCGAAATTCATCGTAAGTCGATGCGGCGAAGTCTTTGCTATTGCATTCCTCTGAAGCCTCCACGATGCTGTCCAGCAGCCGACTGTGCTGATTGAGCGCTGCATTACAAAAGACTGGTCTGATTGCGAGAGTATCGTCGATGAAGTCCGGGTCCAGATCGAGAACAAAGGTAGGCCGGGAGTCTTCGTCCAGAATTTCCTTCAGACTGAGGCTGTCTAGCTCCTGGAGCGCTGCAACTTCCAGCGGACTCGGACCGCCCGCATGAGCACCATCTGAGGCTGTGTGCAGCTCAGGTGATGCGTCGTCCATGGTCAATGGGTAGATGTCAGCGTAGACCCCTTATCTGAAAAGAGGCTGGTGGGGTGGCATTGCAGCGGTCGGTGTGATCAGCCGGGTTTTCGCAGTCGAGTCGGGGCTCGACTATTTGGAGGAATCGGTATGATGCAGCACGCTTGCTGACGCCACAAGCGCAACAGTCATCTTCAAGCATGGCGAAGGCGTGCCGGGAATACTGATGCAACTTAGGGTGCCTTCCATAATGCGTCAGCGGTCCTGTCTCTTTGCTTTCGCCTTTGCATCGTCTCAAGTAGACAGAAAGACACGCTTCTCATCGCTTGCGTCCGTTCTCGTTATTGCTTGTGCGCGCCGGCCCGATGACGTCGAAATCGAACCGCTTTGCCGTGGTTTCACTGGGTTGGCACTGCGATCTGCGGAATGGGGTCTAGGCCATTAGCTATGCCAACGCTCAGCACCGCGTGCGCAGGGCTGCAGTCAATCAATTTTGCTGGCGAATTGCCTCTGAACATCGGTGTGAAAACATGTCATGGGAACTTGATTAGGGCGCAAAATTGCTTTACACACAAGTTCTCAAAGTTTGGGGGTGCAAGTATTCATAATCTTCATTCTGCGCTAGCAATATGATGTCATAGTCCGATCCTTTCGATGCGGTCACAGCTTCTTCAGACTTCCAACATCTACACTCCAGCTGCCATCGAAGCTCTTGTTCAGCTCGAATGATTGTGCGTCACCGCTGCCCAAAATCGTCACGCTCTTGATCTGCAAGACCGTCGGGAAGCCGAACGTTCCCTCAGCCGTGAGTGTTGATCCGCTTAGTGTGAACTTGATCTCGCTGGTACCAGACTGTTCAAGACTCTCGCCATCGTCAAGGTACAGGGAGCCACTAGCAGTACCATCGCTTTCTGGCGCAACCAGAAGCTCAAAGGGCTTGTCACGAAGAGCCCTGGTAGTATTCGCGCTCTCGGTGCGCAAAGGCACAATGGAACCGCCATGGACAAGCACGGGAATATCTGTGGTAGGGACATTGGAGTACGTGATTGTGGCTCCAGCACCTTGTACCGCCCTGCGTGTGAAAAGATCGTACCAGACTCCGCCGGGCACATAGAAAGAGACAGACGAAGAACCCTCTTGTGTCACGGGGTTGACCATCAGTGAAGGGCCATAGAAAAACTGTGTCTCGATCGCGTATGTATTGGCATCTTTGGGGTAATGCATCCTGAACGCAGTTTAGCTTAAGATATAGAGGTATTTGGCCGCACTTACCATAGCGGTGCCAGCATGGGTGTACCGTCTACAGTCTGCCTGTGCATAGCGGTGTACATGTAGTCCAGAAGCCTGTAGCGAAGATCGATGGCTTTCTTTGCAGCTGCAGTCACGGAATCCCAACGATACGCCTCCTGAGACCTGGCTCCGGCTACGTTGTGGTTTCTGTAGAACGGGTAGAAGGCGCCCAGTACAGTCCATCGCGCACAGAGATCCTCGGTTACGTCGTTCAGGAAACCGCACACGTCAGCGCCAGCCTACGAAAGTCAGTGTAGAAAACAAGGCATAGAGATAGATACATACCATTGGGACTTGGAAGAAGGAGACGAACTGAAGGAGATGTCGGATGGATGTCAGGTACTGGTCCCAGGCCGAAACATTGTCACCTAGCCAGTGGCCGACGTAGCTGCCGGCACCAACGAACGTACTGCGAGTGATGACCATAGGTCGCTTATCAGGACGTCGCTTGAGCATGCTGTTGTGGCTAGCCTCGCTCATCATGGTTCCGTACAAGTTATGCGTATCGTACTCGGTCCAGCCTCCCGAGTGGACGAGATCGGTCTGAGCGGTCTTGTTACTTAGCCCGCCTGCCTCGTTCTTGATCTCATATTTGGGGAACAGAAGGTCCCGGTCAGGAATTCCTTTCTTGTCACCACCGGACTGTCTATTTGTGATTTCAGGAATGTTAGATGATGCGGCCGAACTAGCCTTGTTCTGGTCGCACGGAAAGTCGCAGAAGCTTGAAGGTTCGTTCATGTCGATCCAAAGTGCGTCAATATCAACTCCAGTGTCTTTGTCGAAGAAGGTAGCGAACTCATTATCCCAGTAGCCTTGCGTGTTCGGCGCAAACCAGTCGGGAAATGCGGTAGTGCCTGGCCAGACCTGGCCCTTCCAAGGATCACCAGCGCTGTTCTTGACAAAAGCACCAGCTTCCACACCCCTGTTGTAGGATGGGTAATCTTGAGCAGCGACGGCAGGGTCGACCATGACGATGTAGTGCTGGTTACTGCTGTGCAGGTTGTTGACGAGATTACGGACTTCGTTGAGCGGGAATCTCTCGCCCAAGGTGAAGACCTTGTACTTGTCCATGTAATCAATATCTGTCCACATTGTCTCTAGAGGGATTCCGGCTGCGCTGTAGTTGGCAACCACGGCTGCGACCTCACCGATGCTTTCGTAGCCGAATCTGCATTGATGGAATCCCAGACCCCAGTATGGCATCATCGCAGCCTTTTTAGTGATCTCGCTGTACTCTCGAGCAACATCAAACGGTAGGGGCCCGGCCATGAAGTAGAGATCAGCTACTCCACCGATGGTGTTGTATTCCAAATACTGGCCATTATCATTGTTGATTTTAACATCCATACCATTGCTGTTTAGCATCAGGACCCCGTGCGACAGGCCAGAATCGGCCCGCTGCTCGAAGTAGACCGGGTGAGTTCCGTAAAGGTTAGTCTTCAGAGGCACGGCACCAGCGTCACGCCCCCACATTGTTCGGACATAATTCGAAGTCGGTAGTCGTAGAGAATCAGTGTGCTCGCCCAGACCGTAGATAGACGGGTTGTCCGGCAAGGATGTTCTGAGGCGCAGATACTGGGTTTCGAAAACGATGTTAGATCCCTTGGTGCTGAAGAGGACCTCATCATTGCTTTTGCGCGTGACGGTAAACCAGAATGGCTCTTCTCCCACAGAAACATCAAGCAGCGATGAATCAGAGCTGACCGATCCACCAGGTCGCGGCACGACGAAGTCCGGTATTTGGTATACTTGTTCGTCTTTGTCGAAGATCATTACATGGAGGCGGGAGTCTAAGGTATTAGTGCAAGATCGATCAAACTACGGGATTGCAACGTACCGGTTTGCCATTCTGCCAGAAATTTGAGGTCGGTCAGGTCTGGACTGTAAAGGTTGCAAGCGGCGCCAGCCAAGGTCAAGTCGGCTGTTATGCTGTTCTCTCCGCGCACGACATTGCTGGCTTTGTAGCCAGGACAATCGTCAGCTCTTCTCAGAGGGACTGCATTTCCCCACTTGGGAAAGTACGAGCCGAGTAGCAATAAACCCTGTAGAAAAGCTGTTGTTGCGGCTGGCATTGCGGAAATTGCAGTCAGGGAGCCATTGTGGCGAGGAAGCCATGTCTGCTCTATATAGTCCGCTGAACATGACCCTTAGCCCTTGCTCTTTGCGATCATCGTGCTTGTAGAAATTGACATGACATGTGGTAACGGTTCCACGAGAGTCTGAGATGATTGGCGATCTTACAATTCGTCACGAGTGCGTCCAGCATACTTGAGGGTGCTATAGCCGAGGGCATGCAAGGCAAACGGCTGTAGTAGGCCGGTCGTGTAATGCAGCTACCGATTCGGGTTGACGATGGACACGCTATGCGGAACGAGCAGCTGTAAGCGGTCGACTGTCTGCAAAAGTGTCAGAAGCTGCAATGAAGGCCTGTAAAAGCCATGACGATCCCGCTGTGCTTTGTGGGGTAAACAATAGCCTTGTGGGACCACGTGCAAGCATTGCCCACGAACGCAAACACGCACCTCTGTACAACGTCGTGCTATGCGTGCGATATAAAATGTATAGGTAGCAGCTGATGTAACCAACAGTTGCTGAGCAGATGGTACTCCCTGCTGCACTGCGAATAGGTGGGCGCATGTGTATCTGAGGATCACTACTCGGCAGTCTCCCCTTCCTCTCTATAGGTCCGAAGAGGCAAGCTAGATCAACGTATTCGGCCGAAGCCATCGCCATCCCTACCGGCAGGTCACAAGCCACCATCAACAACACCGACTTAACCACTCATTCCCACTCGGTCGGACAACCTTCCAATCGCCATCCGCATGCCGCAACAGCTCGCGCTGTTGCAAACGCCGTTCCTCGTTGGGCGACGTCATTCGCTACCAATAGAGTTCCTGCCTGGCGGGCTGCGGCTAGGACCAATGCCTCCCTTGCAGTGCTAGCACGATCTTAGCTGCTGTTCGCCCGCGCAGGTCACAGGTCAGGTTGAGACAGCCACAACACTGTGGACCCAGGAATTTGTGCAGGCCAGTCCTGTACGCCGGCCCTGCGATGTAACGATGGTTGACTAAATACCCAAGTCCTGCGTCCAAATGCTGCTGGGGAAGGTTTGCCTGTGGTCAGAAGACCTAATCTGCCGTCACGCTGCAGCAAAAACCACATCGTGGCAGCGCTCCAAAGGAGTGTCTCATGTCACGCAAGTCCCAACAGACAAACAGCTTTTCAGCTCTGAAATTCCAAGACTTTCCGAGCCTATACACAGTGGATGATCATACCAATGCAGCATCTTGGAAACATGACTTCATTCCTGCGATTATACAGCATCCTGCTCCATCCTGCCCTGCACAAGCATATGCTACAATCGCGTGCATAGTCACACAAAATCGCTGGCCTAGGTCTCAACTCCTAGTGGTACTGAGCATGAGCATCGACACCAACGATGTTGCCCTTCCGCGGCTCGGCTCTGTCTATCAAAGAAGCTCGTTAAGCATTCTTTGACATTCCCATTGTCCCTGAACGCCCAAGAGCAAGGTGGGAGACCTTCTCGTATCATTTCTTCGACATGCTGAACATGGCAAAGACCTAGTCTCGCTCTTCAAGGGCAAGCTACCATGCTGTGGAAACTGTGTGCAGTTGCAGCCAGTGAGAGCCGCGCGTGTAGGTACCGTTTCGAGGAAGGGAGATATCGCCTGGATCAAACGTTGGGTAACAGATCTGAGGAATGCGTCGCCCACTCCCGAGCCAAAAGCTAAGGGCTCACGGAGCTGCCGCGATTCGATGAGAGTATCCCACGTTCCTTAATGATACCCTTTGTACCCGGTAATTGGATTCCAGTGTCGGTCCAGGCCGACTGTTTCGCTTCTACGGCTCCACCTGGCAACTCTAGCTTTGGACTTTTGGATATTTCTCCTGGTCCCATGACGAGGCACGACTCTGTGCGAGAGGCTTCGCGGTAGGCTTCATTGGGGACCCAATGTGAGCTGAATCTTTGCGGGCCTGGTTCTTAGGCTCTTCCGCCGACTGTGGAGTACTCGGTCGACGGCCGATTGGTCTCTGGCGTGACATCGATCTACTGCCACCATCGCTTAACGAAGGTTGTGGTAGTCTGCGCTCTCGTTCCTTCGCAGGAGGGCTTGGTGTCTTCGGCTGTCCAACTTCCATCTTTGCCTCGGTATGCATTGGCTCTGGGCTGTCTACGAGATCGGGTGTCGAGTAGTGCTGATCATCTCCCGTAGAGACAGACCCTGATCTCACTGGAAGCAGCACAGCTTGAGGCACAGGCTGTGAATAGGGGGTTGCGCAGATGGGACAGAGTGGCGCTCGCAGGAAGCCGAGACTAGCAGGGTAGGTCCGTGGCTTTGGTGGGTGGGCCACGAACCTAGATGCAGGAAGTTGTCTTCCAGCGTTACCTGTGTAGACTTCGTGTAGTTCCGTGACAGCCTCCTCCGTCCTCTTGTGCGCAATCCAGGTATTCACGTCCTCGGTTGTTACTGCCTGCACTTCCTGCACTTGCAGCTCGACAGGCACCTCTGCTGCTTCCTCGTCCTCGTTGGTTAGGAATTTGCCCTCGCCCGTGAATTCTTGATACTTCGTGTCGAAAGCGTCCTCGATCGAGTCTTGAAAAGGATCAAAGGCGTCTTCCATTTCCTCATGCTTCTGATCGAAGTTGGATAGGTACGTGATCCAATCACCAAGGATCGCATCTGCACGGAACACCACTGGCTCCACTCCCAAACGTAGGGCAGTCAGGACGCTTTCTGATATACCCATCTTGCGTCCAGCACGACTGAGAGATCTTTTGAAGGAATCCTTTCGCTCGAACCTGGGTTTCCGCAAAGAACTGGAACCGTTGCCATTGACGAAATGGCCCTGCTCGGGCTCATTGCTTTCGTCCGATCTGCTCACCTGCTCGACTGTCAGAATTGAAAGGATAGCAAAGCTGAGCAACTTACCTGAATCGCCTTGAGCTGATCGAATGTCACTGTGTGCGGCTGGTCAGTCACAGCCGACACCTGTGATGCCGTTGCCTGGATAGTAGTGACTGGTGGTTTGGTTCTGGTCGTGAAGGAGAAACGGCACTTTGTATTGGCCGGCTGTGGCTCGATGGTGACCTCCTTGACCACTCTGACTGAACCTTCTGGCGCTGACATCGACGCTGCTACTGCGACAGCAACATCGCTAGCAGATGTAGGGGCAGCAGCAGGGCGGTTTGCAGGAAGTGTATGCGCTGATCTAGCGGTAGCAGCTGCTGCAGTGCGAGGCTTCGCAGGAGCCTGTCGTTGTTGCCAAATGTTGACCTGCGGAAGTGGCTGTGGCTGCTGCGTCTCAGCGTACCCCTGCCAGTGGTTGAGTGTTGGCGCGGCGGGTTCTGGGATGGCTTGTTGCTCCATCTCATTTGCCATGTTCCAGTCGCTGTTGGACGCAGCAGTTGGTAACGGTGCGCCGTAGTCAGACGGTTGTCTTGAGCGAGGTCTGTCCAAAGGGCGTCCGCTCATGTCCCACAGGTGATCAACGGAGCTCTGGGGAGGAGAGGAGAACGCTGGGGTTGCCCGGTCCTTGTGGTCATTCCGATCCCATGGTCCATTGGCTGAGTTGGCGGAGGGACGAACACGAGTGCTAGACACGTAGGTACTGGGCGTGTGAGTGTCAGACGCCTGAACACTGGAGGTGGGTGGATTGCTGTCAGATGCGTTGGTACCTGAGGTACATTTGCTGCTCTGATACCTGTCTGGGGGTGGTCGACGAGCAGTGGTTGATGACCGAGTAAATGGGTCTTCACACTGATAGTTTGACATCGTGAGTGTCACTGTACACGATAGAGTGATTTGTGAGTGGAAGTCAAATTGGGTGGGAAGGGAGAGTGCCCGACGAGGCCAATTAGAACGGGCAGTGGAACGGCGAGTAGGTGTGAGCGGTAATAGACAGTGACGGAAGCGAATTAGCCATGAAGAGCAGCTGATGTTCACAAGGTTGATAGATTCCACACGCAGGAGGCGAAGAGAACTGTGAGTATGTCAATATAAAGATCCGGCGGGGTACAACCCACTCGACCCGATTCCAACAGTATATGTGATGTATCCTTTGCTCGCAAACGTGGTACTGCATACTCTCCAGGAAATCATGACGGTACACATATACATCACAACACGAAACGCCCTCCAAACCCGTGGCCATTGCTATGCTGCCATCTGGAGCTGCACTGGAGTCGCACTTCGCAGCCATCTGCAAGAATCAAGTCTGAGTTCATGACGATCTGGGCCATGGTTGTGGTCCTTTTGCGTCTCTATCCTCGAGGAAAGGACGGACTGTTTCTTCATCGTCTTGCAGAAGGATTCGACTTGCTCTTATGCCCAGTCCTCGGAAGCCCAGACAGAGTTTTTGTGGAGCAGCAACACATTATCTAAGGGTGCATAATGACGATGATCATATGCGCTCATCTCAAGTCCTTACCCACTTGTTCGCGTCACCTCGTTCGGACAATGAAAGAATACGTTTCGGGTTCCCTCAATATTTGCCACTTATCCAGAACGATATCATCTGTACGGTTGGCGAGTGTGCTGGTCTGAGAGCAGATGCAGAAGTCATGTGCAATTTTGTAATCAACTACACGAACTCGAGCGATGAAAAAATAATGCAACCGCAGCCATCTCGCACGAGAGCTCAAAGGGCGATCCAGAAATGCAGCGAATATTTATCACAAGACCGTGTGACATCGAGAACCCAAAGGTGGTGTTGTAGGGGTCAGCAACCCTCCAGTACCATGGTACTAATGGGGACATTTCTATTGACTTGCCGTTTACAGTCGATCGACTTGCAACATACAATGAAGTGGCTGCGACATCGACAATGGCCGGTCCTCACGCTCTAAACTACGTTCTCATCGCGCTGAAAAGTCTCTGCTGTAGGCGAGTTTCCTGAGCACCGCACAGCGGACCAGTGGGCACAACTGTGACTCATTCAGCTGCACTGTCCCTTGGTGCACTGAAACAGGCGCATCCAAGATACACACATCAGCCAGCCATTACCACATCCAGGATAGAACCGTCTACACACAAGCGTGCGGGCTTACAAACGTCACTAGATACGCTACATACACATCTCCCGTTCGATGCCATCTATCCAAAAGCCAAGGGTATCATCGCACTCCTACATGACATTACAGCAGCCCAGCTTCTTGAGCAACTTCGGCAACCCCTTCTTGACCATCTGCTCAATCTCATCGTTGTTGTTGTTGTTGTTGTTGTTGCTCTGCTGCTGCTGTCCTCCGTGCTGCTGGCCGTAGTTCTGACCACCGTGCTGCTGGTTGCCATGCTGCTGGCCGCCCCAAGCCTGCCCGCCATGTTGCTGCCCACCTTGCTGCCCAGGATAACCTCCTCCGCCATACTGCGGATGCTGAGGCGCAGGCGGCATCTGGTGTATTGCGCCGCCCTGCAGATTGACATAGATCCTTCCCTCGTTCTCCTCGGTCTGGTACTGGAGTCCGAGTTCGCGGCAGACCTGCTCGACGCGAGGTTTGATCTTCTGGACGTGGTTGCGGGAGTGATTGCCCTTGCCGACGATGACATGGAGGTGGTCTTCGCCTCTGCTTCGAGCGGCCTTGATGCGCTCTTCGAGCACGTCCTCGGCTTCTTCAACGAAGAGTCCATGCAGGTCAATTGTGTCGCCTTGGACGCGCCCGTTTGCGTTGTTCTCGCGGAAGATGTAGTCGCGCGCTTGACGGTTGTATTGCTCCATTTTGGCAGCGTGTTGTTTTCCTTCCTCAGAGAGCTCGTGGGCGCGGCCGCCGTCGCCGGATTCGTAGGCTTGATGTGCGCGGTCGAAGCAGGAGCTGCGCTTTGCCGCTTCCTGACGGGCGAGATCGCGGAGGCGGTCGTATTCTGCTTCGGCATCGCTGTTGGAGTGATTGAGCGCTGGCGGGTGTTAGTTGAGAGCAGTGCGCAATCGAGCAATTGGGCAGAAGTATACAGCGCGAGCCCATTGAAAGCATTTCCATAGCGGCCATGTTGCAGCAACTCCCAGTCTAGGTCGTTCGGTTGAAAGAAATGGGTAGAAAAGACACGAGGATGTGCTGTTGTTCTTGAGCTGGCAGCTTGACAACCGGTCCGGCGCTAAAGCGGCTGAAAGCAAGCTTGCGCAGGGCCCAGATCGCCGAGGTGCGCGCGATCGCATCCATCTGCACTCGGTAAGGCCGGCTGGATGCACCACAAGTGGAAAAGCTGATATTGGCTGTACGATGCTCGGGTATATTGCTGCTGTGAGTAGAGAACATTGGAGCAAAGTCAGTGTACTGCGCTCAGAACCGTATCTTGGGCCCCACGAACACTATGAGGAACGCAATCAGCCAGAGCCCGCCGATCATGGCGTAGAGCTTCATGCGGTCCCACCAGCCTTTGCCTTCGGTCATCCGCCTGAGCGTGCCCATTCTCTGGCTGGCGGCGTCCATGTTGATCTGATTCTTGTCCAGCCCTGATACTGCCCGATCCACAACGCCCTTGTCGCTGTCTAGAGTGTTGCCAAAGTGCACCGACTGTGCTTTGAGTTGCTTCGCCATCTCGAGAAGACTCTCCGTGAGCTTCTCTTGCTCGTTGCGGTCGTGCGACAGGAGCGCTTCGGTTTGCGACAGCGAAGGGTTGCCCGTCGTTGTAGTAGCCTTTGAGGGATGCAGTGAGTTCCCTGACGCTGCTTGTGCCCCCCCAGCTTCCTGTGCCTGTCCTCTCCGTCGCATCTGCGAGGTCAGGTTCCTCGCAGCGTTTTGCAGCGCCTCGTTACCCTCTCCCTCCTTCGATGTGATGTCTATGCCGTCCTGGGTCATGATCCTCGGTGCGTACGAAGGGAATTGATCCTCATCCTCGTCGTCAGAATCGACCGAAGCTTCTGACTCTGTATCGTCCAGCTGATTGAGCTCGTATATCCGTTGATTTAACTGCTTAATCGTCTTGCGCTTTTGCTGCAAGTCTGCTTGCAGCGCTGACTTCTTCGATTTCGAGGGCAGCGTAGAGGCCGAGTGCTCGAGGCTGAGGAGAAGGGTGCGTGCATGTTCGATGTTCTGTAAGAGGCCAGTTAAAGAAAATTGTTCTCGCTCTTGTGCACAGCGACTTACTGCACTAATGCGTGCCCGCTCGTAGGGCGACTTTCGGAGCTGTTGTGACGGCTCAACGAGGACAGTGTGTTCCAACCTTGATAGCAGCCGGGTCAGATTTATTGGCGTTGGGTCAGGGAAGCCTGATGACGATTGTGGCCTTGTCGCTGCCATTGTGCAGTGCTTCGGAAGTTCGAGATGCGCCCAAGGGAAAGTGTCGTGTTAAAAGCGCGTGTCCCTGGCACAGAGAGCTGAACGAGCTGCTGGTTGAATGAGGACTACAGCGCGTTGTTGTCCTTGTGGTCTGCCTGAACGTGTGATTTGGTGTAAATCTGGTCGAGCTGTTGTTTTCGAGGTGTCGATCCAGGAGCAACGTCACCATTCACGACTTGAGTAGCCAAGCATTGATGCCTCTTTCCCCGCATAGCCAGTATTCACTTCACAGCATCACGCATCCGGTTTGTTCAATTCTCGTTCATGAATCAAATATATCGGACCCTTGATTGGATTATATTGTACAAAGGCTGTTGCCAACGTCTCGCACACGCTTTCGACATATTCAACAACGAGACTTACTACCGCTAGTCCAATATACTACAACGGCAATTTGGTCTACTAACACGCTCACCCTCTACTCAGAGATTGAGGTGAGACCGCGTGTTTAAAACCTCCTCTAGCCGCGAAGAGTCGTGACGTCTCGAGCTTCCGCTTGTTTGGGCGCAGCAGGAGGGCTTGCGCTGGCAGGACCGCGGGTGAAACTGCGAACGCTGTCAGTGCGTTGAATCTGGGTATGAGTTTGGGATGACAGACTTGTTCCACATAGTTCCAAGAAAGCCCGACTTTCCGTATGAGTCGTGGAGAGATGCGCGGCGAGCTGCACTTTCAGGGTCTTGAGGGCGTTTGAGCGCCTCGAGGTTACCGAACCGCTGGGCAGCAGATGACTGGAGAGGATAAGTATATGACGGATGCGAGGGGTGTAATATCAATATACCTGGCGGCGTGCGTCTGGCGAAGAGGGCTCTGTCATTGAGCTGTCTGAGCCTCGACGCTGAGCGTCGTTCTTGGGTGCTTCAGGCATGTCTGGAACGATATTGTCTCCAAAGACCTTGTGACTTTGGCTGGAGTACTTCTGGTGGAACGGGGAAGGCATTGATGTTTGAAAAACCCTCAATTTGATATTTGGTTCACAGCAACGAAACTGACAGTCGGAGATGCGTATAGATTTGTTGAATGTAGTGTAATGAATCAAGACGAGGACACGCCGTGATATATAAATCCTTTCGAGCTCAGCTGAAACCTTTTAAGCACCCTCGATCGCGTGTCATTCGAGCATTACGCAGAGGTTGCGTGATCGTACCAATCAATGATGGTATGGCGTTTCCCCGCACTCCTCTGTACAGTTGGACCCTGGAGAACGTATGCAACAAAAATACCTACGACATGGATACATATGAAATGAGTAGCAAGCACGACTGATGTGCTTTCTAAGCGCATGGTTGCACCAAGGTTCGACGAATCAGAGCCAGTAAAAGAAACAAAGACTTTCCTTTCGTGCTTAATGCAGATGTTCTGGCCATCGACCCTAATGCTGAGCGCAACTCTTCTTCCAATCCGATGCTCGACCCTTCAGAGACCTTCATGAGCCTCATAGACCTTGTGAAGGGATCGAGGAGGTCACTAACGAGCATAAGCACGATCGCACTAACTCTCCTTGCAAGCAGGATGCGGGAAGCAGATCCGGTCCGACTGGGGAGATCGCGGGCGCCGGGCGACTACAAACTTGAAACGGAGTGATTGGAGCGGAGGAGCTGTACCGTCATGTGCTTGACAGGAAGCATTGACGGCTCTGGTGGCTGGTTCTCAAATTCCATTTTGGACTGTCAAAAGCTCTCCGAGCGTTCTTCCGCTGCAAGCTTGCTGCCTTTGTGATCACTGATGACTGTAATTGCACGTGAACAAGCACCCGTTCTTGATCCTCTGATGTCATCTATCACGACTTCGAATTCCTGTTGTTTCACAGAGGCTATTGATATGACCATAAAATATTGCAGCGTGAAGGTGGAGATGTTGAGGCTTTGCCGATGATCGAGTTGATCCTGGATAGTCGAAGTTGGACACTGGCGGTGATGTCATAGTGCCAAGAAAGGGCAAGTGCCGTCGGCGATTCAAGTTTCGCCGGGAAGCGACACGATGTCCTCTGCAGATTCTGCTCTTCTCTCTCAAGCCACCTCCATCATGCGTCGCACTTTCGCAATCTTGGGTCGTCCAACGGGAGGCCGCCAACCACAATGTCCACCAATCACCACTGACAAATATTTGTAGCACGACTCTGAGTGAGTCGCATCGGTTGAACAGCAAGCGGAGAGGACGCGCAGCCTATGTATGAAATCTAAGGCTTGCAGTTGGGCAGCAATTGTGCATCAGGCGTGCGATCTTCAGGGACTTGCTGTGCCGGCGCGAACCCTCCGTTCCTGGTAATTCCTGAGCGATTAACGACCGCCTTTCGCCAGCATGCGTCCTGGATTTGGTTTGTGCGATCGTCCCGCGATCAGCACCGCCAAATGATCAGACGGCACGAAGCCGTCTGGCTGAGCGCTTTCACATTTCAATCCGAAGCGGCAGTCCTGACATCGGTTTTGATTCAAACAAGTCAGTCTGCATGCGCAATCACAAGGTATGTTTCGAGCCCTGTTACAACACTACCCCCTTCATGATGATACACCTTTTATAAGCATAGTTCAGCCGAAGGTCTACTAGGCCGTTGTGGAAACAAATTCAGCAATGTCTTTCGCTCCTATCTGATCTCACAAATTACGCTCCTGTTTGCACAGCTTTCTCTTAGAGCCAGCGCTGACAGAAGAACAGGACTATCGCGCTTGCACTTGCACGTGTGTGATCTACAAAGGGCGCATTATTAATTCACGACAGGCTTGGCATAAGTTCTTTGTGCGAAAACAAAGCCTTTGTTTGCCCAACGTCCTGTCATGTCTCTGTTCGTACCAAGCTGCACACAAGGTGGTTCAATCATATCCGCCGACGCTTTGACATGACACAACGTTCGGGAAGTGGGCGCACGTAAGTTGTCGCGTCATTGTGTGTTTTGCAACGGCGAGCACCATCCCGTCTTGATGATTACATTTGCTCTACCATGCTATTATTGATGCACTACTGCTTACAGTCCCTGAAAAGGGCCGGGATGAGCCTCGGTGAGTGATTTGATGTTTCGGGCCGTCTGGATGTTAGGTAAAAGCAATCTCAAAAGCGTTCTCATCGACCAATGGCATCAGATTTCAGCCGCTCATGTTGCGATCTGTTGAGTTGCAATGTGTCGACGCCTTTGCTCCGCCACGCGTCCGCGTCAGTAGATCTGATGCGGACTGGAATACCTAGCAGCCCGTGTTGATCTTTGTGCGAGCACAAGAGCCGAAGTTCGAGGTTGGCGGGTTTGGCGTCGCCCTTGGAGCCGCAGCCCCAGGGCGCGGTTGGCGGTCCGCCAGCGTTGATCCCTTCCGTTTCACCAGCCCGGGCGCAACAAGTGCGACATGACCCTGATTCGCAGCGTCCAAAATGGAAGAGATTGTCTTTCTCCCGTGAACATCACGAACTTTTCGCCGAACAGAACGTCCCGTCACGGCGCTTCTCGGGGACGAGGTCCCCTCTCTTACGAGAATCATAAGAGGTCCGACTGCCCCTCGACCCGGGCGCGAAAATTAACAGCCAATCTTGTGCGGACGACCCGAGGGACCGTGGACTTCAGCAGGATTTTGGACGTCGATGGCCTCACATCGTATCGGAATTGGACGCTAGCCCGGATTTGGTTATAGCTGCTGCGTTGTCACTTCCTGCCCAGGAAGCGAACCGCTCAGCATCTTCTGCCCACATTTGTTTAACTCTTTTCCCCTCTCCTCCTCACGTTGACTCTACCAAAATCGACCACACTCGCCACCATCAGAACCGCTATTACGACACAAGTTTCGTGCGGCATATCACCAATCCTCATCAATAATTAGATCTATCAGAGCCCTCGCTCAGGATGACAATTCGGAGCCCAGACGGAGCCTTTACCAGGTACTTACTGCCCAACGGTCTCCCTTACTGTTTTGTTTGATTGATTGCTTTTCTGCGTTTTGTTACCGATAATCTGTTACGCTCGAATCATGTACATTTGTTCCATTTGTTGTTCTGCTGCATTCGCCGCCATCTAGCATCCAGGCTACAGGAATCCACAAGGACATCCGTTCCATAGGACAATTTCCTAGTAGGGCTATCTCCGTTCCCATGGATCTCCCAAAGGACCCTCCAGCTTACCCCGTTCCTCGGGCAGCATTGGACCACTTTCCCGGACATTTCAGCATTGGCAACAACAACACGTAGACACAACCGAGCTGCAAAGTACTCGTAGATGCGACGATTCGATCTTTCGGTGCGCCGATTTCGGAGCTTCAAAATTAGAGCTTTCGAAATGTCGGTGACCAACGTGGATCTCAGTGCGTGACCCCGGGCGCTTCTCGCTTTCGGCCGTGGATCACTCGACACTTCCGCTGCAGTGCCCTCAATACTCGTAGACATGCAACACACCAGCGACGTCGTTCAATCATGTTCTTGTTCGACTGAGCTAGGCAACAACCGACCATTCTGTTACGGAGCACCGCCCTAAGGAAGGTCACCAAACCTCACCGGTGGAACTATCCAAGGAGCCTACCTGGAGTTGCACTCAGGATACCTGTCCTGCACGCCTCGTGGATGCTAACTGCAGTGGATTCGACCACGCAGAGTCGACTGTCGGAGCATTTGGAGAGGGGCAAAGTACGTACAGAAGGCTTATGCTTGCCTATCCTGTCTACCTAATCTCATATGATCGTCGAAACTGACTTGATGTGGTGCTGAAGGAAGCGGCTAGCCTGCAGATCAGGTGACCATGCCAACACTGGTTCCATGGACCCTTGTTTACTTTGCGACTGGATGACTGTCTGACCGCGTGGACTACACTGGGTAACACTGGAGCACTGGCGTGCCTAACTTCTAGCTCGCTGGACTGTCTCATCTGGCTGGCAGACCGAACGTCACTTCCATTCCTGGTGCGTACTGCCCTTGCCCAGCTTATTGCGATATTCTAATGCTGTCTACAGGCTCTGGCACGACTAACGCGGCGCTTTCCTTTGTCACAACATCATTTATGCTACACATTGCGATTTGGTTTAGGCACTAACCCCTGCGTTCAGCGTATCACTCTTCGACTCACCACCGGAGGCTGATTTCTACATCTCCAACATCACTGAGTGGCGAAAGGATATTCCCACACCCGTTGGCTCTGGACAGGATCTTTCCTTTTCTTCCGATTTCCAGGACATGCAAACTGAGCTGTTTGACTTCAAGGACACTGCCTCCCAGTGCAGCATGGACAGCACATATCAGAGCCAGACTAGCGCAAGCCGGCGCGGAACCAAGAGACAACAGCCCTTCTCCCAGGATAGCCAGAGCACAATGGGTACCCACTTTGCTGGCAGCGACATCTATTCGCCATCAATGAGCTCTGACAGCCACAACGCCTTCATGGATATGAACCAGATGCAGCTCCCTGCTGCTTGGGATGCCCAGAATGGGTCTGGGGGATTTGCTAACTACACTACTGGGCAGGACTTCTCCCTCTACCAATCCTCGAACGTTGCACGACTTAACCCCACATCCGCTGTTAACGTTTGGGGCCCCGTGGACTCCCAGTACCAGAACGCATACAACTTCTCATCCTACCCTACAGACTCGATCGAGACGATGTTCAGCACAGCAGCACCAGTTCAGCACCAGTGGGGCAACGTGCGCCCAACCCCCGTACGAGCCCCGTCGTCCTACACTGTACATCAGGCATCGCGACGGACTTCGTCCAACGATGCTGGCTTCAACGCTTTCGTTGGTTCACCAACTAGCACAGCCAGCGTCCAGCTGCCTCAAGCTGTCGACCTTGAGCAGGCCCACTACATCGAACAGAGGTATGTTGAGCTAACAGTCAAGTTTAATAACGATCTAACAAAAGCAGGAACGGCACAGAGGAGAGCAATTCCACCTCTCTTGCACCACAGTCCCTGAACGGACACGAGGATGTCCAGTCGCCCACAGACGCGATCGAGGCCAAGCTGGAAGAGGAGCGCACAAAGGTTGCCCGCAGCCACGCCCTATACCAGCAAGGTCCTGACAAGGACGGCAAGTACCACTGCCCCGAGGAGGGCAGGCCCGGCTGCACCCACAAGCCTACACCTCTAAAGTGCAACTATGACAAGTACGTCGACTCGCACTTGAAGCCATTCCGTTGCAACAAGAAGACCTGCGTCGGCGTTCAGTTCTCCTCCACTGCCTGCTTGCTCCGTCACGAGCGCGAGGCCCACGGCATGCATGGACACGGTGCTAGGCCTCACCTCTGCCACTTCCAGGACTGCGAGCGTGCTGTCCCTGGACACGGATTCCCTCGCCGCTACAATCTCTTCGACCACATGAAGCGTGTTCACCAGTTCGAGGGCCCGACTACCGAGCCTTCTCCACCTCTACAGGGCCAAGCCCCTCGCAAGCCTGTCTCCCGCAAGCGCAAGGCCTCTGCCGAAGACATGCCTGAGAAACGCCCAAAGGTCATCAAGCTCACTGCCGAGCAGCAGCTTCAGCAGCGTCGCGACCAGCTCGCACAGGACTTTGCCAGCAAGAAGCAGCATATCATCGACTTCTTGACCAACCTCACTGGTCCCAACGAACTGTCCGACGACCTCAAGCTCAGCCAAGACGTCATGGCACTACACGACATCAGCACCAAGTTCAAGCACGGCGGCTGAATGAAGCTCAGATGCCTGTGGACTCTGGTCTGCTCGACGCCTGAGCAAGGTTTGTTTGCGCCCGGACTCCTCGACACTTCTTTCCCCACAGCCTGGCATGTTTGTACCCTGCATGCCTTGCTCTTTGCTGCGTTCTCCACATGCCTGGATGGATCTCCCGCCCCAGCGGATGTTGACTTCCCACATGTATGGATGCCCTTCCCAGGAGGATTACCCTGCCTACAGGATTTGTCCCTGCCGTGGACTGGATACCATGGATTGCCGGACCTGGACCGCTTGAGCGCTTTGCGCGACAGCAACCCCTACAGGTGTAGAGGGACATAGCTCCTGCGCATTGCATCAGGAATGGCATGAGTGTAGACATGGACGATCCTAGATTGATCAAGTTGTATTGATGCTTACTGGAGTTTGTGGTCATCTGCTAGTATTGGAATTATTGGAGTTGGAAGCTAGGCCAGATTGGTCGTTAATGTAGAGTGCAATCTGTGCTGCTCGCTCTCAGCTTGCCCCCTCATTGAAATTATTAGTATGCACACCTCCCATGGCCACACTTCCGGTGACATCCGGCCATGACCCACCATCTCCATCAACACCCGCGAAGCCCAAATTCTCGACTTGTATGCTTTGTGATATCCAAATACCGTCGCGCGACACGCCTCGGTCCACTTTGACCTACCTGTTCTGACAGCTACCCTCGGACCCTAATCCCTCTACCCCCAGCTCTGATCGCAGCGCATCCCAATGCAGTACTTGCGCCGTGCAAAAGACCGAATTACGTCATCGTTTTTCCCTGCTCGGGCGTTGCACCGCAGTTTCGTCCGCACGGCGCGCTGCGACCGAGGCATCGAGTTTTCCCATCGCGCTTGCGCCAGTGGATTTGGTAAGCTGAAGAATGCCGACTTGGCCCAGAAGCAAGTTACACGCCCAATGCGGATCGGTTCGCGGGTTGCTAGCATGTTCATGGGACTTTGTCGGGGCCAGATTCTGATGATTTCACATGACATGATTCGAGCGACGAGACTTAGTGCCCCGCGCATCGTGACAGGCGTGAGACGTGTGCAACTGCAACTTATAAGAGCACACTCCTGTTTGACCGCCACCACTTCGAAACACAAAGTTGCGTTCGGAGCAACACTTACATATCCACGCGAGCGATCTTTCTGGAACAAGGCAATAGACACTTCAGCCATGGCTTCCGCAACCTCCTTCTTCGACTTCAAGCCCAAAGACAGTGCGTCTCCCCGCCCCGACGACTCGCGGCTCGCCCTCACACACAACGTACACAAAAGCTAACGTCATCCAGAGAAGGGCACCGACTACCCGCTGTCCAATCTGTCCGGAAAAGTCGTCCTGGTCGTCAACACCGCCTCCAAGTGCGGCTTCACACCGCAGTTCGCCGGGTTGGAGAAGCTGTACAAGGAGCTAAAGGGCCAGTACGGCGACCAGGTCGAGTTCCTCGGGTTCCCGTGCAACCAGTTCGGCGGCCAGGACCCCGGGTCCAACGACCAGATCCAGGAGTTCTGCCAGCTGAACTACGGCGTCAGCTTCCCCGTACTCGGGAAAATCGATGTACGTTTCCCTCGATACTACGCTAGTGCTATTACTGTCAGGACTCGACTAACACGTCAACTACAGGTCAATGGCGATAAAGCGGACCCCGCCTTCGAGTGGCTGAAGAACGAGAAGCCCGGCCTCATGGGCATGAAGCGCGTAAAGTGGAACTTCGAGAAGTTCCTCGTTGGCAAGGATGGCAAGGTCAAGGGCCGCTGGGCTAGCACGAAGAAGCCTGAGGACCTCAAGGCGGATATCGTCAAGGAGCTTGAGGGCAAATAAGCGCAAGACGAAGGGTCTAGTGCGACTTTGAGGGCGAAAGAATGAGAGAGGATGGGCTGGAGGAGGAGCTATGATACCACAATTTGCATAGAGAATACATGAATCTGTTACACGGACAGCTCGCACTTTGGTGATTGTTGTGATATCGGACGAACATCACACGCTGGTGGGTTTCGAGGATGCTGACTCTCGAGGCTGCAGGCTTCAACTAAGCTACTTTGTACTCAGGATTCACAAAGGTAGATAATGGAAGTCCATGCATGGAGAGCTTCGAGAAGATGCCGATGCCCTTGAACGAACAAGCAGCATGCATGTCTTTGAACAATGAGAACGCTATTGGTTTGTTAACGAATGTCATTCTCTGTTACGCGCAAACAGGTACTGTGTAAGCTACAGATTTTGTAAAGCTTGCAACAATGAGTGAAGCTGTCGTCGTCACTCAAGGGGCATGTTTGGAACAGATATGGGGTATCTCGAAAGTTGCATGCGTTGTGTCTAATTCCGGACGTTTATCGTCCACCATGCGTATGCTCGCTATAAGGACAGCGTCTATCTCCACCATTGTGCACATCGTAAATCGACGCCACTGCGTATCATCATCTTCACATGCTCGTACATATCCACCTCATATTTCATCCAAGTGATATTCAGGCTCGTCTCTTTCGCGTCCACTAGGCGTCGCCGGCAACGATGTCGTTCATCTCCTGGGTGGTCTTGCCAGCACGAGAGCTCTTGATGACCTTCTGGATGAGTTCTTCCACGGCATCCCAGTCGCTTGTATCGATCGGAACGAGGTCGGTCTTGAAGTATGTCGCAATGTCGTTCAGCTGGTTCCAGCTGTTCTTGTCATGCACGAATGTGAGAGCAACACCAACACGTCCGAAACGTCCGGTTCGACCGATACGGTGCAGGTACGTCTCGGGGTCCGCGTCAAGGCCGTTGGCCATGGTGGGAACATCCTGTAGGAAGTCAGTACATGGTTATGCAGCAATATTGAACTGCAGCTTACGTAGTTGATGACCATAGTCACGGACTGCACATCTATCCCACGTGCAAGCACGTTCGTCGTGATCAGCACCTTGGCCTCGCCAGACCTGAACTTATCGATGACTATGTCACGATCTGGGCCTTCCATAGCGCCGCTGAGTTGCGCAACCTTGTGTCCCTCGGCTGTCATGCGACGCTCAAGCTCCTCCGCAGTTCGGCGAGTGCGCACGAAAATAATCGAAGACGCTTGTGTCATGAGACCGTAGAACTTCAACAGCGTCGCAAACTTGTCGTTGTCCTTGTCGATATCAATGTAGAGCTGCTTGATGCCCTCGATGGTCAAATCTTCGTGAGCGAGGGTGAGCACGTTGGCGTTCGGTGCAAAGCGGTTGGCGTAGGCGATGACGTTGGGAGGGAATGTGGCAGAAAACAGTACCGTCTGGCAGTCCTTTGGTAGCATCCTGAAGCTGTCAGTTTCTATACGACTAGTGTGGCGCGCTGACACTCACGTCTTGACACGCGTACACTGCTCGCCCAGACCTTGCTGGTCAAGCATGTTGTCGGCTTCATCGAGCACCAGAATCTTGATGCCACTGTGGTCGATAAGGCGCCTCCTCAGCATGTCTGTGACAGTTCCTGGTGTACCAACAAGAATATGCGCCTCAAACTTCTGGCCACGTCTGGAGGGATCAGGAATGGCAGCCATGGTCTTAAGGCCGTCCATGAACTGTCCCATGTGTGTGATCACGCCCAGGATCTGGCGCGCGAGCTCCCGGCTGGGTGCGAGTACCAGCGCTTGCGGTCTCAGCTTTGAGAGATCGACGCGCGACAGGCAGTTCAGAGAGAAAGCGGCGGTCTTGCCAGTGCCAGACTGCGACTGCGCGATCATATTCGTGGGAGGGTCCATAAGAAGCAGAGGCAGGGCCTTCTCCTGGATCTTCGATGGCTTGCGGAAGTTCATAGATTGGATACCCTGAAGAAGGTCCTTGGAGCTGCTTGAGTCAGTGTGCGGTCGCCTCGAGTGCGGGCCTCTCGGCTTACAGCTTGAGCTCCTCGAATGTCTTTGCAGAGAATAGGGGATTGTCTGGGTCCGCCTGCATATCCGCAAGCTTCACCTCGACGTTGAACTCAGTCTCGACCATGTTAGAGCCGTTTCCTGGAAGTTCACTGCCATCGACTTGGGCCTGCGCGACCGAGCTCTCTTCTGCCGGGGCTTCATTGGTATTCCCAGCGGGGATCTCGGCGGGAGCCTCGGCAGGGGTCTCCTGCGCTGGAGGTGTGGCGATGGGCTCTTCGGCGGAAGACATGGTGACGGGCGCGTCTGTTTGTGAGGGCATGGGGTGACGCGGTGTATGGGCGATGGCGGGCGGGGCGCCTTTAAGCGTGTTGACGGGGTCCAATTATAGCTTGGCGAGGTTGTGGTGAAGCAAGAGCTCCGATGACCACCTCAAAGATTTTGGTGGAGGCAGTCAATGGGGTCGAGTCTGTGTTTCGTTGTTTGCGCAGGTCAAAGGATGCGAACAAAAGCTGTTTGGTGCGCTCATCGCGGGGAAGTTCTAGGCGGAAGGTGCCTGAGCGCTAGGCTGCTTTAGGCGGCAAGGCTGCTGCATGAACAGCAGCTGCCAACGTTCAAGCTGGAAGCAATGTAGACCATGCTGTCGTCAGTGACGATTTCACCATCTCCACGGCCCATAGTCAAGTATTACACATTGCTAGCAGTTACGCGGTGCCAAAGGAGACACGGCAGAGAACCCGGCTACCCTGCTCGGCGCGCACCGCCTCCACCCCACTTCAATTGGGCCGCCAGTTGGAGCCCCGAGGCCCTTCAAGCACCGCTCGCTGTGAGCGAACACTCCCTTCTGGTTCGATGTGCCGATCGCATTTGCACTAGCATTTGCTGCACCACATCTACAGCGACATGGAAGTTGATATTGCGCCACAATTCGGCGCCGAGTTGAAGGTACACAGTCGCCGAACACCCAGACTGCACCGCCGCAACATGGACTGACACGGATAATTCACAGGATGGCTTCAAGACAGTCAACGCTTGGGTACGTCACCAGCAAGCCCTCACCAACACATGTTATGCAGCATTGCGCTCCGCTGGCGCAAATCCACGACTGCTGCATAATCTAACATAATGCTGATTCGAGGCTTAGGTCTCTGGAGGCATCACATGGCTCGACGACATACAGCAATTCTATCGTGAACGAAGCGCCATAGAGAAGGAGTATTCTCAAAGGCTCAGCGCGTTAGCAAAGAAGTACTATGAGAAGAAGTCGAGGAAAGTGAGCAGCTTGAGTGTTGGTGATACGCCGACGGTAACTCCAGGCTCGCTGGAGAGGTATGGTCTGGGGATGATTGGGTTCAAGGCAGTCACTGATAGTTTTACAGTGCCTCTATGACCACATGGGGCGTGCAACTGAACACCCTCGAACAACGCGCGGCCGAGCACGACCAATTCGCTATGGCTCTCATATCACAACTCGCCGATCCGTTGAAGACGCTTGCGACTCGAACCGAAGAGCTGCGGAAACTCCACGGCGACTACGCAGCAAAGCTCGAGAAGGAACGAGACGGACAGTACGCCGACCTACGCAAGACCAAGGGCAGATACGACAGTGTGTGCCAGGAGGTTGAGAGCCGCCGCAAGAAGGTGGATGGTGCTTTCGACCACGGTAAGAACAAGGCGCGGAACGCTTTCGAACAGCAGCAGATCGAGATGCGCAATGTCAAGAACACCTACCTCATTACCATCAATGTCACGAACAAGCAGAAGGAGATGTACTACCACGAGTATGTCCCGGAGCTTCTGGATGTGGGTACATCTCTCCTCGCCTTGAATGGTGCTAACAGCCGAGCAGAGCATGCAAGATCTCTCAGAAACCCGCGTCAATAAATTGAACGCAATCTGGTCATTAGCTGCCTCAATCGAGACCCAAACGCTCACCCGCAGTACCGAATGCCTGCAGCATCTCTCCGCCGAAATCCCTCGCAACAACCCACTGCTCGACTCCATGATGTTCGTCAGACACAACGCAGGAGGGTGGCAGGAACCCAGCGATTTCCAGTTCGAGCCGAGTCCGGTGTGGCTTGACGATGGTAACCTTGCGGTGGACGAGTCCGCAGTCACCTTCCTACGAAACGTTCTGCTGAAGACCAAAGGCTCGCTTGGAGACTACCGACGAGATCTCGACAAGAAGTTGAAGGAGGTCGAAAATGCAAAGGTTGTTCGGCGGAATGTCCGAGAAGGGAAGGACAAGAGGGACGAGGTCGATGTGGTCCGGGCCATTTTTGCCATCCAGGAACAGGCCCACGAGATCGAGAAACAGAAGGTCAGCGCCGAGGTTGAAGTCTCAACTATCACGTCGGTGGTTGGCGATGTAAGCATTGGCGCAAGGAACCACAATTTCAAGTCGCAGACATTCAAGATACCCACAAACTGCGATCTGTGCGGGGACAGGATATGGGGGTTGTCTGCAAAGGGGTTCGACTGCCGAGACTGCGGTTACACTTGTCATAGCAAGTGCGAGCTGAAGGTGCCGGCAGATTGTCCCGGAGAGCAGACAAAGGAAGATAAGAAGAAACTCAAGGAAGAGCGACAGAAGGCTTCACACACAGTCACATCAACAAATGGCGCTGCTGCAGGGTCAACAGCTGATATGCCGCGATTAGGCAGAAGCGACACCGTGAACTCGATGAACACGCTCAGCTCTGGCTATTCAGCGACAGCTCACAGATCAATTTCCGGAGGGATGTCACCGACCGTTGAAGAACCGCCAGCAGAGAAGAAAGTACCAGCGGCCGGTATTAGGAAGCACCGAGTCGTTGCGCCGCCACCTGCAGCATACATCAAGGCTGACGAAGACGCTCCGCCGCCAGCATCTGGAGCACCAGAAGTCAAGGGCAGGATGTTGTATGCCTACGAAGCAGGCGGCGACGGCGAGTTATCGATTGCTGATGGGCGCGATGTCACCATCTTGGAACCCGATGGTAGGTCCTCTCTCAAAATCACTCCCATGCTTCAGTATCTTCTGGACATGTCGCTTACAGACTGTACAGACGGATCTGGCTGGATGAAGGTCCGCGCTGGGGGCAAGGAGGGTCTTGTGCCTGCCTCATACGTTGAGATTCTCGCTGCCGCGACACCACCCACCACTGCATCCACATTCTCTTCAACCCGGCCTGACTCGACGTACTCTGCGTCGTCAGCCTCTACAACGAACCTTGCAGCTCAATTGACCGGCGGCAAGAAGAAGGGACCAGCCGTGGCACCAAAACGGGGCGCGAAGAAGCTCAAGTACGTCGAGGCGCTCTACGAGTACAGCGCACAAAGCGACGTAGAGCACTCGATGAGCGAAGGCGAGCGATTGGTTCTTATTAACATGGATGCTGGAGACGGGTGGGCAGATGTCGAAAAGGACGGCGTCGTACGGAGTGTTCCTGCGAACTACCTCCAGCAGGTATAGACCACCTGTCTGGCAGTCGTGCAAGAGTACGGCTGCAGTGCATATTGAGCGCTTAGACATCATCAAATATCACATCACAGTCAACACCATCATAATCATTATGTGCCTGCGTGAACCGTGCCACCAAACGCCTCAGCACATGAGTCGGCAATGCATGTGGGGGCCTACAGTTGTGTTCTAGCGTAAGGGTCTCACCCCGAACCTTATCCTCATCGCTTTCATCGCTCATCTTCGCTTTCATCTCAAGTTGTCCCTTATTTCATCAGGAGTCTTGCACCATGCGTCGCTGATCGTAAGCACTGATATTGGGCGGTCTCGCATGCTATAGAGTGCATGCACGAGATGAGCATGTAGGACAACAGCGAGGCGTACTGTACAAGTCCAAAAGTCGCACGAGCGGCAGCAGCACCAAAGTTTGTACAGCTGGTGTATTCCCCTCCGGGTCTCTGCAGCGTGTTGACAAACAACAGCACGAGCCGCAATCTCGTAGGCGCAGCAAAGACTGGCATGCTTCGAGGGCGATAACTTAATATAGCAGATCTGGACCTGCCCAAAGGATATCTGTCGCAATCATCTTCGGTGCCACATTCTCATCCCGTGGAATGTAGGCGCTCAACAAACATTGGAGAATCAGCCAGGGACCCAGTGTCACACAACAGCAGTTCGCATTACACGCCGGCGCGGCCGGCAGGGCGAGACATTTGGCGGCCATGCGCGCGCTCTATGGAGGCTGAAAGCCTCTAGGTGATTTGACAACGCCATGACGCTAGAGAGAGTCGCAAAGCGTACCAGCTGCGACTCGCTTTGCGCAGGTCTACGGCTGAGGAACGTATGGGACCACGGCCAACTCGACTGGCAGCCCTCATCGCATAACGCGCGATACAGGCGAGGTGGTGATTGTGACCACCGTGTTACAGATTCTTGCTGGCAAGCTTCCCAGGGCAGCTATTCTCTGAATGTCCTCGCTGCCGCCGTCGCCCACGTTGCTTTGATCCAGTCTCTCCTTTCTCAGCGTGGTTTGTTCGTTGTCTCACATTCTCAACGTCCGTTGCCATACACTATCGCTCGCTGCCGAGATCGATTCCCACATCTAGCCAAACAACCGATAAAGTCCTCGTGGACAGTGCCAATCCAGATCCGGGCATTGTCGCATTCTCACCTCCACTGCGCCTTCCCAGCGAGCACACGCAGACCCTGGGCTTGGCATGCGCTTGATACAAACAAACTCCACCACCCCGGTATTCTTCTACCTGTAAGCGGCCGACTCCTGTGACAGTACTCTCAGCTCGCTGTTCATATACCTTTTCCTTCTGTAACCTCGTTGGGATCTTCCAGTCCGCTCCTTCAGCATCAACAGTATATACCATTCGCTCCTTCTTCATTCCAGGCACGTGCTTCACCAAAACAAATCTACGAAACAACGACTTCGAGACGTCCGCGCAGATCACCACGCGAAGTCTCGCACGCACTTGCGCACTAAACAGGTACAATGTCTCATGCTCGCCTGCCTGCAACACACCGACTGACCAAGGCCGCAGTTGTGAGCGAGTGCGAAGTAACGAGTCACGATGAAGTATCAATACCTTGCTGTATTCGCTGCCGCAGCTGCAGTCACCGTGGCGCAGCCTCATCAGCGCAACCATCGCCATGCTCAAGCACACGCTGCGCGCATGGCCCGCCCAGACAATGCTGTGTATGCGCCCGCGCCCGTCGAGACAGTGATCGTGTACGAGTTGGACGGTCGCCTGATCACTGAGGAAGAGACTCGTCGAGGTATTGCCAATGGCACTCTGCGCTGGGGCGACGATGGCATCTTGTCAAGTTCCGTCAAGCTGCCTATCGCGCTTCCCACGGCTCCGCCAGTTGCGCCCTCGAGCGAAGTGAAAGAGCCTGCCCAGAAGCAGCCCACCACCACTCAAGTCCAGCATGCCGAGACTCAATTGGCGGCCCCATCCGAGGCTTCTGCTACGGTCGCGCCTGCTTCGTCTTCAGCGCCGGCGCCGTCTTCAGCACCAGCTCCACCCCCGCAAGAAGCCCCAGCGGCACCAGCACCGGACGCGTCGCCAGATGATCCCAATGACCTTGTTGACGACAACGGTAACTGCCCATCTTGCGACCAGCCCTTCCCTAACGGTGTCATCCCGTGCAGTCAGTTCCCTTATGGCTACGGCGCTATGCCTCTGAACCACGAGGGACTGGGCGGTTGGTCTGGCATCCAGGATCCTGTATACCGTGGCGCTGATGGCTTCGACAACATCAGGACAGTGGTCAAGGGCTCATGCTCCGATGGCTCGTGCTGCACAGAAGGAACGTACTGCTCCTACGGCTGCCCGAACCCCTACCTCAAGCTGTCCTTCCCCAAGAAGCAGGGCAAGACTGGCCAGACTATCGGTGGGCTTTTCTGCAATGAAAAAGGCATGCTCGAGCTGGCCGATGGCTCTATTGGCAAGACGCTCTGCGGCAAGGGCTCCGAAAAGATGACGGTCAAGGTGCAGAACAAGCTCAAGAAGTCTGTCTCTATCTGCCGCACTGACTACCCTGGTGAGTTCTCCCACGCCCCATATACTCCTCACAACTAACATTCCAAGGCACTGAGTCCATGACCTTTCCTCTTACCATCGGATCTGGTGAGACCGGCTACCTGGCGAATCCAGACCAGAGCAAGTACTTCTTCTGGGAAGGCAAGCCTACCTCCGCTCACTATTACGTCAACAAGCAGGGCGTCCCTGAGAGCGAAGCCTGCACCTGGGGTCATGACGGCGGGGGCGTCGGCAACTGGTCACCCACAATCTTTGGCACCTCTTTCGATGACATCGCCTCCAACGTCGGCTACTCTAGCTTGAAGCAAAACGAGCTGAACTTGAATGAAAAGCTTGATTACTCGATCACCTTTGTCGGCGATGGTGTCACCAACGCTTGCAAGTACAAGGCATCGACAGACAAGTACGGACAGGGCGACAAGTGGTTCAACAGCATCGAGGACGGCTGCACCGCTGGCATCAGTGAAGGCAGCACTTTGACCCTTGTCCTGACCGACGACTAATCGCCGTGAGGCCTGCTCAGTCTTTGGCTCGGCCAACATCTTCTCTGTCCATGTTTCCCGATGTCGAATTCCACGATCTTCTGTACCTTTTCATATCCTGGTTCATACTTCAACGCCGAGAACGCGCGCGGATCTCTACGACCTTTTGGAGGACTTCTGATCTCGCTCAGATGCATGATTCTTTTTCAGCTGTATCATATACTTTCGGTTTGATTTTGCTACGGCCTTCCTGTGTCGTCGAGGCTTACTGTGTCCGGCGAATGGTCGCAAGATAGCATGGGTACACACGAGCGGGTGTTGCTGCCATGGTCTTCGGCTGATACAACCATGAAGACTCAAGACCATTTTGGAGATTTACTACCTTTCGTATTACTGGATGATGCAGTGGAGGCGTTCGGTTCATTCGTACAGGATCGATTAACCAATTCAAGGGTCAATTCACTCCCTAGTGGTGCAAATACTCTGACATCCAGGCTCGAAAACTTTCTACCGCCCTGTGAATTGTTCCTGTTCTTGCATTTCTCAATTACTATCTTCTAACATCCTGGACACAAATCTTGGATACTTTGCACTCTTCACGCACCTGCAGTGCTCGCGACGGTGAGCTGGGAGGTTTGAGACTTTTCGCGCTATCGAATTCATGTCTTTGCCTTGACGATGATTACTAGGTGACCACAGGTGCACTGCACTGATCTGATGGGTTATGATCGGTTGAGTACTGGCGAAACTGCCACGAAACACAACAACCTACGGGTATCGGCGCGAAGCCACAGTCTAAATGTTTCCCAATGCTATCCATCCCAATGAAAGTGCTTCCTTCTGGCTGCTGCCATACCCGGCGTGTCCTCTCGCGTTCTCTGGCGTACAAAACATGTACAATGAAAGATTATAGAATACCTCGTCACCCCTCAAAACTCAGATCCGCGACTGTCGTCAGCTCGTAGAACTGAAGTCCAAAAACGAATGCGGATCGCCCAGATCTAGAGTCAATCCTGCATCCGCCGTAAAGCTCGGAAACGCCTCATGCTCACTGACAACCGGCGCATCGAGTACAATCCCGTTGTGTCCTCCATGCGTCAGGCAGCCAACGCACTCACACCCGTCTCCGCACTGACACGTCCCAGTCGCGTCGTTGCAGCCGGGGAGCACCATCTCATTCCAGAAGAAAGACGACGGCGACAGCGTCGGTGTTTCTTCCTCAGTGCTACCGCTTGGGCTGTCGGCGACGGGTGTAGCTGCTGATGGAATAATACGCGGAGGCGCCATTTCGAGTTTGAGTTGCGATTCGGTGGGCGTTGGTGTTGCGCTGTCGAGGAACTGGGACTGCTCTGTCAAGGGCGTGGAGATGGAGGATTGGCGCCAGGGGCTGGACACGTTCAGTGGTGTGCCGGCCATAACTGTTCCGCCGAGGCTGGCTTGGTAGGATATGTGTGGTGGGTTGGACGATGCGTAAGATTGGGGTAGAGGCGAGAAGCTCATGGCAGGGTTGGCTTCGGCGCCGAAGCCGGGGTGATGAGGGTAGGTGGGCATGTCGTATAGGGGCGCTTGTTGACCTCCGAATGCACCTGTATACTGGAACTGTGCCATCAGCCGGACATACTCCATCATGGTAGCGTTATTTGGATGAGCAGCGCAACCAAAGCAGCTACATCCTTCTCCACAGTGGCAGTTGTGCTCCGGGTTATGCCGCGGTATTTGGTGACTGTTAGCATGCTGTGGTAATGGGCCAGACATACCGCCGCTCATGGGCATCGCCATCGACTGTTGGTAAGCCGCAGCAGCGTGGTTGTAGATTGGTGCGCCAAATCCAAAGGGAGGTTGCGCCGGTGATGCTTGCGTTTGGAAGTTCTGGTACTGTGGTGTCCTGAAATGAGGTTGAATCTGGAACTGGAACTGCTGACCAATATTCTGCACGCCGTTTTGGACGTTGGGCACGTTGCTCGGCTGTAATTTGCCTGAGCAGCATGACTTAGTGGGCGCAGCAAGCGGGGCTGGAGGTAGTGGAGGCTGCTGTTTGACTTTGATACTGCAGCAACTCCCTCCTTGAACGACTGGTGCTGGAGCAGTATTCGGCTTACAACAGCTCGACACCTCCTCTGTCTGCGTGGGAAGCATTCGGGGGGTAGAACTTGCACTCGAAAGCGGTGAGGCTTCATCGCTGGCACTTCGCTCGGTTGGTGTGTTGTACGACGATGTGTCAGTCTCGTTGTCCTGGCTAGCTTTGATGGCTTTTTCTAACGAAGTAGGATGTATCGCAATCGACTTCCGTTTGGGCTTCGAGATTCGACTGCTGCCAGCGACAGCCACCGATTGCGCTCGCTCTGACGGACAAGCACACTCTGAGGTCTTGGGGATGGTGTAGTTGATGATGATCCGCTCACAACTGCACGAGCCGGTCGGATGGGGACAACTACTCAATGGTCGACCAGGTTTCCGGACCTCTACAAGTACTCGGTCACGGTGATCACATTTTGAGGAGCGATGCCCTCGGATGCAAGGGCCGCTGGTGCGATGTTAGCACGGTACAATACATGTTGGTGAAGAAAGCCGTGTGACTGATGGGATGCCGTCCTCCATTCAATGGCCATAGCTCTAACTGCCTGTCTGCATGCCGTGACCACACACCTGGCACAGCAGAGCTTCGCCGGCTATAGGTGATTACTCATCACTGGGTCGCTTCGCTGCGCATTGTCACGCTGCCGGCGAGATAAGGACACCAGATGGAAGCAGGATAGAGACGTACAACTCATGCCGAGCAAAGAGCATCGCACACGGGAATAGAGTGAGATGGACTTACCAGGCGACCTTCTTGCGTTCTCCGTTGATGTCGGCCCACATGATGCGGGGTTAAGACAAGTCTGTCGAAACTTGCTCAATCCACGACAACAAGCCCGGCCCTGAGCCGAGTGAAAGGAAATGAGCAGTATTGTTGATTCGAACAATCGTATTTGACTTGATGCGCACAGCGCACGTGGAGAAAATGTTGCAGAGGGGTACAATGGCGTGTCGCTTGAGTGTTGGCGATAGGCTGTGGGCTAGGCACCGATCCTGGTCACACGGCAAAGGATCGACTGGGCTCGACTATGCCCTCCTGTAAGGGCCCTGCAGCAGCTGTTCGTGAGCAAAGAAGTAGCCGCTCGAGACTGGAAATGGCCTGTGCGACTTGTAGGGGTCTTCTACCCGTGTGGCTGGTGCTGTCTTGCAACCGGAAGGTTGCCGACGGGATCCTGCGGTTTGGTGCTGGACACGCTCAAGACGACGGGCGTTGCTGAAGCGAAGAGATGTTCAACACGAAATGCCCAGAAAAGATCGCTGTACCTAGTAGAAGAGCCGGAGCCGACCCGTCAACCACAGGAGATCAGCAGTGTGGATGTCGCTCACTGTGGTTTGCGCCTGTTTCCCGCAGCAACGGAGAGAGCGGCAGTCGATTTTCGAGACACTCGAGGTTCTTAGCCTCTTGTTGCACGCCTGTTGAGCCGGGGTCGCAGCGTTAACGCACGGTTCTCGTTGGTTGGGCTGGCCGAATGTGTCGTAAGTTGCTGGACGTCGTGAAGACGGCGCTAGATGAGCAGGTTTCCTCTCGTTCGGGTTAGCGGGCTGAGACCGGACACTGGATGCTTCATCTGGCAATATAGCCTTGGACGGGACAAGAGTACTGAATGAACGATGGCGAAGAGACGAGATATACCTAGGCAAAATAGCGGCGGGCGTAGAGATATGTGGGAGACGGTGCGCTGGTCCAGAGAGTTGTGCCTCTGTTCGAATGCGGAAGGAGTCACAGCGCGGACCAACAAGGGAACGTGTGGGGAAGCCCATAAATCCGGTCAGCTGTGAGATGCTACCACCCGACAGGCGTCGATTAGGTTTTGAACGGGCTCTCTCGACGTCTGACGTCGGTGTTCGATCGAGGACAGTTTCTGGAAGGCCACCTGCTTAGGCGAAACAGTCAAAGCCGCTCTTCAAGCATTTCCCCGCATTGAACCGCTCAGCAAACACCAGGGTGCTTGCGCATCGCAATTCGTGGACCCTTCTTTCCGTTTGGCACGTGATTGTGGATGCTGCTCTTGGCATGCGGCTCAACTTGTTAGCTTGAGGATTTAGCGCCTCGCTCATTCTTCTGGGGCGCACAACGCACGGGCGAGGTGATCTCGTACCAACTTCCCTTATCGCCATGGCTTCAGACGATGAGGGAGGCTTGGACCTCTTCCAGGAGCCTGCTGACTATTTCAAGCCAGAGAAGGAGGCGACTTTCGCTACGCACAAGCTGTTATCAGGCAGAGAATTTACTGTGCGATTGGTCGGTCATAATCCGCTGTGGGTAAGCTGCACCATTGTGTGGTCGTGCAAGAGCAAGGTCCTTCTTCGCACTTACGTTCTAGAAGGCTTCCATGTTTGGAATCGTCTACGATAATGACCAAACTTCTATCATTTTTACGTTGTCAACGGCTGTTGCGGCACGTTCACTGACGTACACAGGGGCACTTTCTCTGGAACGCTGGTCGAACGATATCGGCTCATCTGGAAGAGCATGCAGGTGAACTGGTGCAGGGGAAGTCAGTGCTCGAACTCGGTGCGGGGGCTGGACTTCCCAGCCTTGTCTGCGCCATCAATGGAGCCTCGCAAGTGGTCGTAACGGACTACCCCGATGCTGAATTAATTGAGAATCTCCGGTACAACATTGATCATTGTGATCTGTTGCCTACGCCAAGGAAGATTGCTGCAGAGGTCAGCAGACCTTCATTGTTTGTACATCGTCACTAATTGCTCTAGGGCTATCTATGGGGTGCATCGACGGAGACTGTGACAAGTCATCTGACCAGCGATGCCGCCTTCGACGTGCTCATCCTCGCAGATCTTCTGTTCAACCACTCCGAGCACGCGAAACTCCTCAAGACAGTGGAACTGACCCTGAAGAAGGCACCGGGGTCAAAAGCCTACGTGTTCTTTACGCCGTACCGACCCTGGCTACTCGAGAAGGACCTCGCGTTCTTCGACTTGGCCTGTGAGGCTGGCTTTACTGTCGTCAAGACTCTGGAAAAAGTCATGGACAAGGTGATGTTCGAGGAAGACCCGGGCGTAAGTGCATTTCGTGACATCATGCTCATGCGCTGATTTCTCTCAGGATGAGCTTCTTCGCCGCACAGTGTACGGGTACGAGCTCACGTGGTCAACTTGAGGCGATACCAAGAGCAAGAGCAAGAGCAGACGAGATCGAATCGATAACCGAAGTCAGACTGACGCTGGGGTGATTTGTGCTGTTTCGCCAAGAGCACCTTTCTCCACGTGCAAGCGTTGAATATGGCCGAGAAGCTCTATCGTTCGTTGTGGGGAATATCGCCGCCGACGAATGTACGGAAACCGAGGACTTAGAGCGTGTCGCTGCAACTACGGAACTTTGCCAAACTCTCACACTCCGCCATCATTATATCGGTGGTTGTTTTGCGAGTCACAATGATGTTGTGCAAATGTCGCAGGTACCTACAACGTTCGACCATGTCATTCTATCATTGTGTCGCATTCTTCTGGCCCTCGTATAGGCGCGAGACTCTTTGTAGCCACACAAGGTAATGTGGCCGTCTGCGAGACCTATGTCACTTTCACTATGCGATTGGGAAACTCGTATATGGGGCGTTTATTGCTTTGGTACTCTTGCAGTATCGAATCTACCGCACACTGCTCAATCAAAGGTATTTCGTCGACAAACGGCCTCCAGGTCGAGATCGATCCTTTCATCATCGGGCTTGACACACCTTCCGCAACAGCACCACCGAGCCCGACAAGGGATGCTAACGCGTACTATTACCTTTCCAGCCCTGTGTTCTAGAAGACGCCACTCGCTGCCATCTCACTAGGCCTGCCATCTCGCCTTGTCACAGAATCGAGCTCATGCGGCTTTCTGTCTGAAACTGACAATGTCGACCTACTCGACTTCCTCTTTTCGCCTTCGCCGCCCTCACTCACTCTCTTTGAGACTCTAGTTCAAGGCCCCACGCCGAATCCCCGGGCAGCCGTTCTCCGCTATCTGCCACTTGTGCCGGTCATTCAGCGCGATATCCCTGCGCTTGTACCTGCTCTGCTTGACGATGAGGAGGGCATGACAGCCCTTGCAACGAACATTGCATACTACCACGCCCAGGACTTCATTTCCGATTCCGAGCTAGGATATTTGCTCAAAGAAATCCTGGTCTGCCGCAACCGAGAGGGGGTGTCTTGGACGATCAGATACTTTACTTCTATGACTTTGTGCTTTGGCAGATCCAACGACATCGCAAGCTTCTTGTCCCTTTGTCAAGCAGCGCGAGCAGGATGAGGTCCAGCAGAAGCTGAAGCACAACGTCAAGCCCCAAGAGAAGCAGTGGAGGCGCAAACGTGCGGAAGCTCAGAGCCGCCTAGACTTGCTATTGCACATTGAATCTGACGTTCCGCTCCCATGAATGAGATGTATGGTCCGTCAGCCGTCCCACCTCCGCCGCCATGGTGGGCGCAATCGATTCCTCACTCGAACGAGGCCAAAGGCATTTACAAGACTTGGCCCCGCGCCAAAATACCGGAAGAAAGCACCGATAAGCGCAGGCTACAGACTACTGAACACACTGTCACAATCTCTGCTTGCGAGGGTAGGTGGTTCTCGGAGACGCGGGCGTCATTTGAGCTCTGTACGAAGAACTCCATCGGTATTGCAGAAAACAGGTGAGCATTAATTTTTCAAGTTTCAAAACAGTGTCAACGTATTGCAGACCTCACGCATATACCATCCCACTGTTTGCATTAACGTGTTTTATAAGCGAGTGCGCATTACAAGCGAGTGCGCACCCTACCAACTTTGCGCACCTCTACAAGCGTATATCTCAACAACAAGATGAGATAGTATGTAGATATTAATAGAGTAGATTAAACAGTATCTAAAGTATCTTTCTTGCATGTACGAGAGTTATGCCCAGTCTCTCTGCACCTCTTACAGCGCGCAAGAGCCTGGCGGCTAACACCTGATTGCTCTCCTCCTTGGCGCTCTTCACAAGCAATCTGCTGATTAGCCTCACGTTGAGCAAGGATATCCTCGCCAGCTCCCTTCGTTAAGACCCCACGCTGCTGTATACGCTTTTTCTTGCGCTGTTTACGTGCAGACGCTGCCTCATTTGCTCTCTCAAGGCCAGTGATCCGATCGCGCATCAGCTCAGCTGAGAGCATCATCACCTCAGCGCCCTTCTTGAGCTGGTCAATCGCGTCAATAATTGAAGCTGGCGAGGAGCTCTTATGCTTTCTTACGCGCTCACGAATCAACGTTGATTGAGCCTCAAGCTCACGTACGTTGCTCGGCGTACGAGCCTGCCAGGGAGCCTCTGGCAGAGCAGCTAGAGTAGGTGTACGCAGCTGCACGTCAAGCTTTGACAGTACAACGTCTGGTTGGAGAGGTACAAGGCCTGCACCTCGAAAGGCTGAGCAGATATTGGCTGAGGTAAACGATTGATTGAACGCTGCCTTAAATGCTGGCAGGAATTCAAGCTTCGTGATGTGGTTGATGTGGTGGCGGATCAGCGCCTCAATCTCGCGGCTGTACGCGCGCTTCAACGGCAAGAAGCAGCCAACGTCAAGCGGCTGCAGCAGGTGGGATGAGTGAGGCGGCATGCAGAGCGTGCAGATATTGTTCTTCTTGCAGAGCTCCTGAAATTCAAGAGAGTGGTGACTCTCATGGCCATCCAGGATCAGCAGCCGGCGCGCCCCAACTACCTTGCCATCTGTATGCTTAATAAAGTGCTTCAGCCACTCAACTCCAAGCTCGTTGGTTGTCCAGCTGTTCTCACTGACTGCAACAGCCCAATCGCGTGGGATGTCTTCCTCATACCAGGCAGAAAGGTGGTACTGGCCAGCAAAGATGATGAACGGTGGGATAGCCCAGCCAGCAGCATTGATTCCCTGGATCACCGTGACCCACTCGCGATTGCCAGGCTGGATAGCCTTCGGCCGGCCTCTCCTTTCTGATCCTGTCACAACAAGCTGGGTTGTGATCTTGCCCATCATAAAGCCAGTCTCGTCAAAGCTGTGGACGTCCTCGTCAAGGATGCCATACTTAGCCTTTGTCTGCTCTACAAGCTCAAACCAGCTCCTGATCAGTACAGGATCCTCACATAGAGCTCTCTGCCTGTCGTACGCTCGATTGAAACGCGTTGTGAGACTGTCTGTACGCTTGACAAAGTTGCGCGGCCAGTGGACGCCGACCTGACCAGCGCCGCGCGCAGCCAGCAGCTTATTAGCTATATCACGTACGGCTGCGTACGTAGGCGCAAATCCACGTCGATCTAGATCGAGTATGTAGCTGACTATCACCTCCTCTTCTTGCTTAGTGAGCTTCTTTGAGTTGGGTTGGCAATTGCGTCGGGCAGGCTTGCCAGCAAGTCGGCGGTGGAGTGTGTCTTGAGAGACATTAAACGTCTGTGCAGCAACTGCCTCACTCTGAATTTGATTTCGCTGGAGAGCTAAGATAGCAAGGTGTATATTAGCCTCATAAGAAGCTGGCTGGGCTTGAGTTGGGGGTGCCATGATAGTATAAGTTCACGCGTTGCAAAAAGTTGGTGGGGTGCGCACTCGCTTGTAATGCGCACTCGCTTATAAAACACGTTAGGTACACGGAAACAAGGTGGTGCACACTTCAAGATCGCGACAGCCTGCAAGCGTGAAGAACGCTAATTGCAGATGACAAAGACGCCCGGATCCTTCGTTCGGAACATTGCAATCCATGTTTCACCTTAAGCTTCGGGTTAAGCTTTCTGAGACATGCGCCGTTTCCGCATGATCCCTGTCCGGAAAGACTTGAGAAACACCAAGTGGAGCTGTCAAAAGTCTAAAGCACTCTCGAGTCGGAGTTGCAGACTGCGGAGATGAGTCAAGCCACTTGCATCATCCGAACGACAAGGCAGACATCACTATGCAAGGCTCGAGTTATGAACAGATCCAGACTTGCTATATTTACACTACCAAGATATTACGTACCCATTGGTTCCAGTCCTCGTACTAACTACAGCGCGAAAATGACTAAGAGAAAACATGAGTTACAGTAAGGAACGGGCATCAACACCTCTGCGGAGGCAGCCCCCTATCCGCTCATATTCTAGATTGCCCAGCAACCACCAGACTCCACTATGCTCTTGTGAAAGCTTACTCGGGCTTGCCGAGGATGCCGCGGGCCATGTGGCGCTTGCGGAGGTTGTATTCGACGGCGCGCTTCTTGGCTGCGGTTGACTGTGTGAAGGCAGCGGAGCCACCGAAGGGACCGGCCAGAGCGGCGTTCTGCATGCGGACAATGCAGACGTTCTGGGCGCCACCAGCGGTACCCTGGCAAGTCATACCCTGGGGCATTTGGACCTGTGGTGTGTTAGTTGTGTTGTGAAGAGAACCGGGTATTGCTTACCGTGACGGGGAAGTCCATGACAGCAGCGGCGGAAAGACCACCGATACCAATTCCGGGAACGTCCTGGGTGACGGTGGCCTTCTGGAAAGCAGCGGGGTCGGTTCCGCCGGAGGTGGCATCGATGGCAGCAGCCAGGGGGCCGGCACCGTCCTGGTTGACCTGATGGAATGTCATGGTGATAGTACCATCGTCGGCGGTCGTAGGGAGACCCGAGGAGGCACCCTGTCCAGCTGCAGCAGCGACACCGGTCTCCTTTGTACCCTTGGGGGTCTTGGTTCCAGCAGCAGCAGCAGCACCTCCAGCGCCAGCCTTACCACCGGTGAGGGCGTCGAGAAGACCTCGCCTGTTGGCAGCGCGACCGGCAGCGCCAGCACCTGCAGCATTACCCGCTGCAGCGCGACCACCGGCAGCACCACCGGCAGCAGCACCACCGGCACCGCCAGCAGCAGCACCACCGGCACCACCAGCGCGACCACCAGCAGCACCACCGGCAGCACCACCGGCACCGCCAGCAGCAGCACCACCGGCACCACCAGCGCGACCACCAGCAGCACCACCGGCAGCAGCACCACCGGCACCACCAGCAGCAGCACCACCGGCACCACCAGCAGCAGCACCACCGGCACCGCCAGCAGCAGCACCACCGGCACCGCCAGCAGCAGCACCGCCAGCAGCGGCACCACCGGTACCCATGAATTTGGCGATAGCAGCACCGGCGTCAATGGCACCGCCACCCTGGGTGCGGCCCAGAGCGGAGGCCTTGCCGCCCATCTCCTTGGCGCGGATGATGGAGGTGTCGGCCTCAGAGCCGGAGAGAGGGTTACCAGAGTCACGGGGCGTACCGTCGATGATGGAGAGACCGGGCATGTTGACACCGTTGGCGCCCTGGACCTGTGTGATGACGCCGTGGGCGGAGACGGAGCTGGCAAGAGCCGCGGCGGCGAAGGCGATGGAGTAACGCATTTTGATAGTTGGTTGAAGAGCTTGAGCTATTAAAAGTGGCTAGTAAAGAAGGTCTGAAGATTGCTGGTGAGCGTAAAAAATTGAGCTGATTAAACAAGCGACCGGCGCAAGGAAGTAATTAGTAATAAGGGACTGGAAAGCAAGTCTGGAAATGTTGTGGATGTTGATGGTCTTCTGGGAGGGTGAGGCCGATTCCTTATATACAACCTGCGCCCGTCTGTGGCGATTGAAGCTTAGCCACACTCAAGCATTCGCCATTGCGAGTTCCGTGGACTAGGCCGCATGGCATTGATTCAGGTTTCCAAACGTGAAGATAGCGACTGTGATACCTGGTGCGCAGCCCGGCTATGAGAGCTGAGACGATGCTGGTCGAACGATCTTACCGCTGGGCCCACTATGATCACTCGCGTCAGAATGCGTAGCACGGGTAGATCTTCTCCAGTCTCTCGAACGGGTCTGTCCCCGCGGCAGTACATTCTCGCGTTGTCGAAGGGCGCATTGACGTTTGGTATCTGGGGACTCTAAATGTATCAGGAGCCAAGCCTTGTTCTAAACTCGGCGATCGAAACGTAGAATCCGGCATTTTCTTGTTCGAAGAGACTCTTGAGGTGCGCCGTGCGTGCGATCAGACTTGGGTAGCGGCCATTTGATCGTCGATGATGGCAGGAACGGTCGTCAAGACGATAACGAGTCTGCCGGACATTGATCGATATCGACAAGGAACAACAACATCCGAGAGTTGATTTTAGCCAGCCTTGATAGCGTTTCAAAAACGGCGCGCGAAACTGTTCGGTTTGAAATCAGTTGTGGCCTAGTGCTGTACAGCCTCACCAGTCTCCTTCCGACAATCTTCAGGCTGTTTCAGGGGCTTCGAGAGAGACTCAACAACGTCACGATATTTTTGACAGCCCATCTCTGACGATTGGCAGCACTGTAATCTGCAATCGCATCAAGATGCGACTGCTTCAAGGCAAGCATTCGGTCCGGGCTCAGGTGGCAACCTCGTCGCGCTTCCTAAAGCGATGCGACGTCGGAAGTAGTGTTGACCGGGAAACACGCCGATCGCACTCGTCGCGTATCTGGGGCTTCTTATCATTTTCTTTCGGGGAGTCGGCTGGAGATTGTGCTGTGGCGATGACGGCGAGGAGCTGGGAGCTCGCAAGTGTCAGGAGCCATGGCGCTAGCGAACGCGTTACCTTTGCGTCACTTTCTCATCTATCATCCGTGCGAAACCTAGTCAAAGTGCAGAAGCGTCCTCATTTTTGTACTTCGATTATTACGCGTGATCGACGATGGTATGTCGATTGCCCGTTGAAATCATTTTAGAAACTTCAACAATGGTAGCTACAAAGCATCCACCGACTTGATGGTAGAACGCACGCGACTCGATGTCGAAGCCAATACCCAATACTTGACGAATATGTGTGGATGGCTCTTAGCGGTGGTCGACCTTTATAGGGAAGACTGTTGACATGACTCGTGCTGCCAAACAGGAGGGGGATCGGGTATTGAAGTGGTGCAGGCGCAGAAGGCGTGCTACCAAATGGGCGCAACGGTTGTCCGATGCCGACCGCGTTCTGCGCTTGGCTCCATACTTTCACCATAGACTACAGTACGTGCAGTCCTAGCTACATTCTTATAGAGCTCCATAATGTTAAGCCTCTTACCAGTAAAGCGTTCAGTCCAACCCGCACAAACCCAACCACCATGCACCCCACAAAAGCGCACCCGAACCCCACAAACGCAGCCACCTTAGCCTCGCTTGCGTCGACCTCGGCCTGGGCACCCCGCACCAACGCGGAAGCCACGGGCACGCGCCTCGGGCCTTGAAGACGCGTCGCATGCGGGCTAGCAGCAGCCTGCATTGGGAATTGTGGGGTAGCCAGGCCTTCAGAGTGCGTTGAGCTGGTTGAGGTGCTTGACGGGTGCTGGTCGACGGTGAGGGATGGAGGGCAGAAGGTGGTGGATGTGGGCGGAGGGTGATGGATATAAGGCAGTGGAACGATTGACGGCCATTGCGAGCCGACTCTTCTGCTCGAGCGTAGGTATTCTTCTCGAGCCGACTACTCGAGGCGGCTTACTCGAGGGTCGGCCGAGCCGAGCCTCGCTGCACCCGCGTGCGAGCAGCGTTGATCGGCTATTAAGAATTCAACTATCCATTCTCCCAGCCCGGTATTATTATCACGCTCTCCGAACCCTCACGCCACCATGGTCATCAAGTCGCGCTGGAACGTCCCGACGCCCGCAGTCTCGCTGCCAACGTACATCTTCGACTCGCCGCACGGCGAGCTGCCCAAGACGCCCGCGTTCCTATCCGCGAAGGAGCCGAACAAGTACTTTCTCTCGCTGCACGAATACCGCCTCTATGCGAAGCGGTTTGCGTCTGGGCTGCGGCGCGCGGGCCTGCAGCCGGGCGACCGCGTGCTGCTGTTCTCGGGCAACACGCTGTTCTTCCCGTCCGTGATCATGGGTGTCATCATGGCCGAGGGCGTCTTCACCGGCGCGAACCCCACGTACGTCGCGCGCGAGCTCGCGTACCAGCTGAAAGATTCCGGGGCGAAGTTCCTCGTGTGCGCCGAGGGCAGCCTCGACACGGGCATCGCTGCGGCCAAGGAAGCCGGGCTGTCTGCGGATTCCGTGTTCATCTTCGACGATGGGAACGCGACCTTTGACGGCCGCACGGTGGAGAAGAGCACGGAGCTGGGGCACGTCAGGCACTGGACTGCGCTACTCGACAGCAAGGCGAACGGAGACGCGTACGCGTGGCCCGATCTCAAGACGCCCGAGGAGCTCGACCGCGTCGTCGCGCTCAACTACTCGTCCGGCACGACGGGCGTCGCAAAGGGCGTCATGATCACGCACCGCAACTACGTCGCCAACAGCACGCAGCAGATCCACATGCAGGCGCTGACGCCGAACTACACGCAGGACCTGCCCAAGCAGCGGTACCTGTGCTTCCTGCCCATGTACCACGCCATGGCACAGTCCGTCTTCGCCGTCAACGCCGTCAAGCAGCGCGTGCCCGTGTACATAATGCCGCGGTTCGACTTTGTCGAGTTTCTGACGTACGTGCAAAAGTACAGCATCAGCGACCTGGCGCTGGTGCCGCCGGTGGTGGTTGCCATGGCCAAGCACCCCGCGACGAAGAAGTTCGACCTCAGCAGCATCAAGACTGTGACAGTGGGCGCAGCGCCGCTGGGCCGCGAAGCCAGCCAGGAGTTTGAGAAGCTGTGGCCCAACGGCCAGGTCAATGTGAAGCAGGGCTACGGCATGACCGAGCTGACGTGCGCGGTGATGATGTTTAATCCGGCAAAGCACTCGGCGTCGTTCAGCGTCGGCGAGGTGGTGCCCAACTGCGAGGCCAAGATTGTGCTCGACGACGAGGGCAAGATCGAGGCACCGCAGGGCGAGCGGGGCGAGATCTGGGTCCGCGGGCCGAACGTGATGAAGGGGTACTGGAACAAGCCCGACGCAACTAGGGAGACGTTTGGGCCGGGCCGGTGGCTGAAGACGGGCGACGTGGCGTATGCAGACGAGGAGGGCCATTTCTTCATCGTAGACAGGAAGAAGGAGCTGATCAAGGTCAAGGGGCTGCAGGTGGCGCCCGCAGAGCTGGAGGCCCTGCTGCTGGACCACCCTGAGGTCCAGGAGGCGGCGGTCATTGGTGTGCCGCAGTGAGTATTCCGCGAGACATTGACGTGACATGCTGACGCGGACAGCAACGACGACGAGGCGCCCCGGGCGTACATTGCGCTGCAGAAGGCGGACAGGGCCACGCCCGCGCTCGCCGAGGCCATCAAGTCCTGGGTTGCGGAGCGCGTGTCGAAGCACAAGCGGCTGGAGGGCGGGGTGCGTTTCATCGACGAGGTGCCGAAGAATCCGGTGAGTGCGTCCTTGACGTTTACAAGCGCATACTGACGAGTGCAGTCCGGGAAGATCCAGCGGAAGCTGCTGCGTGATCAGGCGGCGCTGGCGGATGCGAAGGCGAAGCTGTAGGTTAGAGTGGAAGAATGTACGCTACGTTGAAGCAGGGGACGGTGACTGATGTGTGGTGAGGCGGTGACTGATGTGTGGTGAGGCGGTGACTAATGTGTGGTGAGATGGCGACTGATGTGTGGTGAGATGGCGACTGATGTGTGGTGAGACGGTGACTGATGTGTGGTGAGATGGTGACGGATGTGTGGTGAGATGG